AAGAGAAGAGAAGAGTGGACGGGCGACTTTGACACGTCTCTGCACCGGCCCGTGTCATGAAAGGAGGAATTTCTTTTTTGCTGATGTCGGGGGTCTCCGCCGCCCGCGCCGAGCAGTAATGTTTCATCAGGAAGTTCCGTATTCAACAAGCGCATAGTTGCCGGTTTGGTCGCCGATTTCAGCCACCCCGGTCCTATGCATCCCTCAGGCTCTGATGCATACTTGGGCTGAGCTCTATGGCAGCTAGATGAGCGACTGGCATGGTCAGAGGCCATGTCTATGCAACTCGACTCGACCGTCGGATATGGCCGGTAGTATTTGAACGTGTATATAGAGACGAGTAGGCGCGGTGGCGGGATGAGGCTCCCGTATACACATTGTGCCGCGTCTCCGTAACCTTTTCCCACCGATGTATTCTCGTATAAACCACCTTACCACAAGTAAACCCATCCTGATCCAAGTACGAAAATGTTCACAAAAGTGCAAAAAGAAAAGAAGTGACGCGAGTGAGATTCGAACTCACGAGCCCGAAGGCACCACATACTTACAGAACATAAGATAGCAATGTGGCGGAATAACCACTATCCGATCGCATCTTCGCTTGTGAGGAGTAGATTATATTACATATATAAGCCAGAAATAGTTGTAAAGACCCGGGACCTCTTCTCTTGACAATCCATCTGATAGTCCTGCTGACACCCCTCGGACTCTCTGGCAGAATTACTCAGCTAATTCCATGCTCTCACACCTATTTTTGAAGGACGCAGACCAACGAAAGCGCCATATGCCCCATAACGTCAGCCTTCTCAACCCTCGCGACCGTAGCCCGCTGCAACAGATGAACCGCCTCCCCCTTCCTTCGTCGGTATCTACTGTCTATGCTTCTCACCTACTAACTCTTGACCTTGACGGGCTTTTTTTTGCGTGGCAAAGAAGCGAGCCCAGAACTCCCCGGCGGTTTTGCCCTGCTGTTTCCATTAGTGTCTCATCTTAGTGCTTCTGGCAATGAGCCTTGACGTCGATTTTAGCTTCACTACTCTATCATAAACATCTCGCACAGAGACATCGTCCTTTTTCTCTTGACAAGAGGTGGGTGAACGTTGCCCATACAGACCTCGCAATGTACTCGTTCCGAAGGACTGCCGTCAAGATTTGCGTAGCTCCCGATCACAAGGCGGTCTTTCACAACAAGGTCTGGTAAGAACATGACCGATCAGTATCATGCGGAATCTGACCGGCTGGTGAGTCCTGAATAGCCTCGATAAGCCCTCGAGATCGTCAAGCAGGCCTTATCTTCGTTTAATATGCCGTACTAGTACAATTTATTGCATACACGTCTCCTTGAGAGGGAAATATACTACCGTGTACCAGACATCCCCCACTGCGGCACTGTCTCCTCACTCGAATCGTTCGTGTTCCCACTCCTACTCGTCTCTCCCTTCTGGCGACTATTGTTCCCGATGCAATCAAACAGAGCCCAATCACTCATCCCCATGTTTGGGTCTGATGCAGTGCCCGTCCCCATTCCTCCCCCTGACTGCAGGCTCCCGCCAGCTGTACCAAGATTCATTCCCTGCCCCAAAGTGTTGTATCCGCCGAACCCATTGAAGCTTGTGTTGATGGATGCAAGACTCTGAGCCCACGGAGGCGCGCTGGCGGAATTGTGGGACATGGGATCAAACGCATTGGGCGAAGGGTCGTAATTGTAGTTGACGTTTGACATGCCCAACTGAGCTGCTGAAAAGTCGAATGTAGGGTCCGAGCCGTCCATCGGAAGGAGTGGCGTTTGAGTGTCAGTGTCGATGCCGAAAGATGATATGAGACTGAATGCGGTCAGTGATGATCACTGAGTGTCTGAAAGACTTACGAGAAGAAATCTTCCTTGATGCCCAGACCGCCATCGTTCCCAAACGTGGGCCCTGCAGAATGCATTGTGACATCTGAAGTCCATTCGGCCCCATTTCCATCCGCACCCGTACGCCCCCACTTGTCTGGCGACGTCTGCCGAGCACCCAAGTTGGCCATCGGTGCCATGCCGGTGTACATCCCGAGCCTCCTCATATCGAAACCTGCCGCATCCAACAACTCCCTCGCCTTTTGCTCTTGTGCCAAGCCTTCCGACTGCCTCAGGCCCGCTCCACCCGAGCACGCCACATCTGCCCCGAAAAGCGCTTGCATCTGCGTCGGCAGCTCTTTTCCATTCAGCTGTGTCGGCTGAGGGGTAGAATGAGAGTTGTTGACGAGATGGAGGAACTGGGACATGATGTCGACAGGAGGTTCCGGGGCTGTAGCCTGGGCGGACTGTTGTTGACCGGAGGAGCTGGGTGGTTGGAGAGGTCTAGGTCGGCCCCGATTGTGGACCGAAGGAGTGGAGGAAGTAGCGAAAGCGCTGGTTTGCAGATCACCACCAGAGGTCGTTTCTTTCGTCCGCGTCTCCCAGGCATCTACAAGCTCCTTGAACAACTTCTCGTGCCTTTTCGCGCCTCTGAAACGTTCTCCCCAGATACCAAGAGCAGCTTCACATTTGCGTATACCGCCCTCCGCTCGGTGAAGCTCAACTTCGGTCAAGTCGGTTGGGAAGGTCGTGAGGATATGGAGGAGGGTCATGCCTGCAAGGAAAATTCGGTAGAATCGCCATGTCGAGAGCTTTGAATGATGCACAGGCGGCTGAAGGTATTGCCATTGGGTCTGCAAACGTGTGAGAAGCGCTCAATGTACTACAAAACTACTCACCTCGCAAAGGGCCACAGCAGACTCCAAACACAATCCCACATACTGTTTCCCAGCCTTTCTACTCGCAATGATAGGCCTCAAAAGCATCTGCACACAGTTGTGGTACTCTAGCTCCCAATGCTCCTTCGGTAGCATAGGGACCTGTGAATCGGGGGGAGGGTCTGGGTGGCAAGCGCGCCATTGGTCAAGACGCTCGAGAAGAATGTCAACTTCAGTTATAGACTGGCGTTCTGGTGAGTACACGTCGTTTGTGGGCCGGAGAGGCTTGTCCAAGCGGTAAATGGCGTCACTGTCTGACGTTAGCTTCATTCAATACATCGGACAGGCGACGTACGTGACCATCTGCTTCAGCTGGTTGAGTCTGATGTTGTGAATCGCCGAAGTCATGCTCGTCACTGGCCCATACCCATTCGCGTACTCATCCCCCGGTCTCTTACTGCCCATCAGCTCCGACTGCTTGCTTTGCATTGCTGCCAGTGCTTTGGGCTGGTTGAAATCAACATCCACGTTCAGCGGCAGTTCGACATCAATGTCCCTGTCTTGAATCCCTGACGGTCGGCCAAGCTGAGCCGACATCATCCTATCAAGTGAATAGACGGCCCAGAAGACACGTTTCTTCATCTCGTATCGTCTGGGGTCTTTGTCGCGTTCGGCTTTCGAACGAGTCCGGCGGTGAAGGCCAATCTCGACTGCGGTACGCATAGACAGACCTCCAACCTGCCAGACGGAAACTTCGGCGGTGGGATGACGGAAGCCGTAGATGGTGAGAAGTACGAGGGCCTGTACTGTGGCAAGCGAATGATGGGACGTAAGGGTGGAAAGGCACGCAACGGCGGCATTATAGTACACTTCGTGGTTGACGGCCCCCGGGAGATTTTCGCCTTCGCTCAACCTCGCGCCATAACCATAACAGAGCCAGAGGAAGAACGCTCCGAGACTTCTCCTCTCGTCTTGGCCTGTGCCAACACCCCACAATGGCCGTCCTTGGCATATAGCCTCGCGATTTTCATGCCAGAAGCGCACGGTCTGCCAGTCAAAGCAGCCGTATCTTGCTTGTACGTGATCATATACGAGGTTCAAGTAGTGCGCCGCAAGCGTTGGAGGCGGCAGAGGAGGAGTGGGATGGTGGAGAGTGTATTCGAGAGCAGACTTGACGGAGGCGAGCTCGGGCGGGGCGAGGTAGTTGAAACGTGACAGATGGGACGGTTGAGACCGACCTTGAGGCCGCTTCAAGGCGCTTGAATACCAGTCAGCACATCATCAACACCCTGAATGAGATACTCACGAAGCACAAACTCGCGCCCAATTGACGCCCGAAGATGGTCCTACATATACCGGCTCTTCGCCCCCGCCGAGACTCAGCATACCCATACCCAAAGCGAAATCGGCTTCATCTCCTTCGTCCGCATCACCCTCGTCACTCTGTCCCGATTCGCCCTTTTTGCCAGAATCGTCGTCAAACCGAGCCAGAGGTGTTGCCGCTGCTTGAGCACTGTTTCCCTGAGCGGTACTGGGTCCAGCTTCTGCATTGTCGGATGCTGAACGCGGCGGCCCAGAAGGATAGACCGTGTTGAGCTTGTCGACCGCAGCTTCTCTAGCCTCTACGGGCGCTGGGATGTGGTCTGAGGCAAATTGCGATTTGGGGTTGTGTTTCCGAAGCTCCATTTCAAGAGCAGCACACCGCGATTCGAGCTGCGAGACGTACCTAGCGAACAGTCAGTCCACATAGAGACGAGTCATATACCAGCACTCACTCCAAGAGGAATATTTCGTTAGGTGTCCGATCCAGATATATACACTCTTTCCTTGCACCGAGGCAATTGGTGCAGGTGGGGACAGGGCTTGACCCGGGAGGTGCAGGTACACACTACGAGTTGATTAGCCAACATGCTGCTTTCAAGTTGGATGAACTTACCCTGGCTTTCCTCTCCTTGCATCTCAAACAGGCGATAGCATTACGCTTGGGGGCTGTGGACCGCTTCTTGCTTGCGCCTGGTGCTGAGCCACTTGCCGCGCGGTTATCGGGAGGCATCGCGAGGTGGATGCGCAGGGCCTGTGGCAGCCAACTGATATATATGCAATGGCTTGGGCAGTTGTATAGTTGTGGGCTTTGGCTTGCGAGGAATTGTTACGAGTGTTGCGAGCGGTGACGAGAAGAGAATTTGGGAATGCTGCTCGATGCACTTTCACTTTTTGACCCGTGCCTGGATGCAGCTCGTTGGTTCTCCGGTCTCTTCCTTGCTCTTTCTCTTCTTCGACTCTGCAAACATCATGCTGTCGAGGAAGAATTCATGTCCTGCTGCCAGTCATCTCAAGAGGTGGATGGCGTCTCAAGCAGAAGTCACTGCCCCAGCTCGTTCAACGATAATGACCTCTCCTCTCTACAACCCTCCCCTGAAACCGGGTATCTCTGGCTATCCTCGCGCAACACCTCTCAAACGTCACCGGAAGGCGCAAGAGGCAAAGCAAGTAGGGGCTGGCCCTGCCAAGTCCGAACATGACCCGTGGAGTGCGTTCACATGCAACTGGTTTTGACAAATGTTGACCATCGCACAGTCAAAATGTTGACCTCGAGAACAAGAATGTGCTGCGTTACTCGAGAATTGCGACCCGTTGGTAAGTCTGTGATATAGCCCCAGCCTTACAATAGTGAGCTCACTCGAGTCGTAGCGCATCTCATACGTCTCACCCCCATATACTTTCCATCAACCGGCGATAGACCACACTCATTACAACTTTTACCTGACGGGGTCGCTGAGTCAAGCACCGCTTCAAAGGGTAAGAGTCTGTATGTGACGTGCCATAGAGACTACATAAAGCGTCTATATGAACCGAAAGGTAATTGACTACCCACTTCGAGTCATGCCTCTGACACAAGTATAGGCCCTCATCTACCGTTCATCCGCGGAATATCATCCCTCCAACTGCCCCCCAATCTTGTGGATATCATACATGCTCAACTCCTCTCCCGGGTGCTTTGGGAACTTCGATATATCCTTCGGCGTATCAGGCACTTGCCCAAAGGGCATCTTGAATCTCAAAAGAAGACTCAAAGAGTGCTCGTGCGGTGGCCGAATCCTAAAGGTCAAATGGACAGTGCAAATGGGGTTGTAGCTTTGCTCGACCTGGCCGGCTTGACACCTGCACCCGTCGACTCACCTTTTGACCTCAAAGAGATCCCCTTTCCAGCCTCGCTCCCACAGAATGTCCCCAGCCCATTGATGACACCGTTGTCCGAGCACCAGGACGTCCCCACCTACCATCTAGCCTCCCTCTTCCCTCCTTCGCTTCACGCTTATCTACACAAAAGTCTTTGGTCTATATTCCACGTCGAGAGGCCGAGGGGAGTGCCCAATACATCTAGCTCTGATACCAAGGGCAAAGAGCAGAGTGAACATGAGCTGTTGGCCATGAGTACGCTAGAAGCGAGTTCTAATGGATCGGCACTAGGGACAGATGTGGCCATTGCCCTTTGGAGACTGGTGTGCTTTCACGGATATGGCTGGGAACAAACATAGACGAGATGCACCCGCTCATTACCGAGACAGAATATACATGTTTCTGATGCCACGAGAATGTGATTGACTTTGAAATTCTTTGCTTGTTGATACTCGCCTACTACGACCACTTCCACAGACCTTCGCCTTCACCGTACCGATCCCAATGAAAGGAAAAACTATCAGAAAAAGAGACAAGAGAAAAAAAATGCGAGTCGATGGAAACATATGATATGAAGAATGAACAATGAAAAAGAATCATGTATACAGATTGTTATCTCTTTTAGCCCGCTCTCCGGCTCGCTCCTGACTTTTGAACAGACTTCAAGCAGCGTAGGGGTTGCCTGTAAGCCTGCATCAGTAACAAGCATAGAAATCCCAGACATTCTGACTTACAAGCATACACAACCAGCACAGGCGGACTCTTGCTCATATCGCTAGTCACGATCACCGGCAGACTCATCAACTCCTTTACATCTTGGATCTTGTGACCACCCTCCGCGCTCCTCAAACCCTCAAACTTGAGGGGCCTGGGGTGCACAGACTTCTCGTACTGTTTGGAAACTACGCCAGAATCGTTGCCAGAGAAAAGAGCGGATTCGGCGGTCGTGCGGGAGGTGGAATTGCCGAGGGCGAGGCGTTCGCCAAGGGACTTGATTTTGAGAAGGTTGGGGTCATCGGTTGTTTCAGCAAGGTGGGAGATGACGTCCTTTGCGGTCCAGTAGAGACTTGAAGAGATGTCAGTACGTTCTCGTTCAAGGTCCAAAACCACTCACGAGAGAACATCCTTGTGCTCGTCGTAGACCGCTGTCTCGACAGGCATCTTGTCCACGTGTACCCTCTTCTCAAGACCAAACTCGGGCTAGTGATCATATAAGCGATACAGCCAGATAACGTCGTGGCGGCACTCACAATGACCACATCGAAGGCAGTCTCCAAAACACTAGTCACCCGAGCGTCTCGCACAACAGGTCCGTATCGCTCCGTAAGATCGTGAATGAGGATACAGAGGAAGAGGTGCATGGACTGCTCCTCGGCAAGTTTTGCGCTCTCTGTGAGATCGTCAGCTTGGGATCAGGAGACATGCAGCGTGCGACTCACGTCTCTTCATATTGCATTGTTGAGCAGCCTTGGCCACTTGGTCGCGATCCATGAGGAACTTGACGTCGTTAGGGTTGGCTAGATAAATGTCAGTCAACTATGTAAGACCGTTCACTAGATCAAACTCACGGCTAGCAAGACAGGCATCGAGCATGCGGTGAACCAGGACATCTGCGTAACGGCGGATAGGGGACTATGGTAGGTGAGCAGCCATTCGTGATACTGTGGAGGATACTTACAGTAAAATGGGTGTACAATGGTGCGTTAAGACCCCAGTGAGAGTACTTGGCAATGTCCAACATGCCGGCACAGAAGTAACGAGCTCTACACGTGCGTCAGCTTCTAGCTTTCACCGCCCCAAGGAAAAACTGACCTCTGCATAGACTTTCTCCTCAACAAGTCGATACACAACGCCGCGTCAGGGTCCTCAACCTTTTCAATGGATCTTTGAAGAGTACCGCCGGATGTTGTGTCCATCTCGATACCAAGCTTGGCAGCTCGTTCGACGAAGGACTCCAATCTGCGCTCAGAGGGGGCTTCGTGTCGGCGAAGAAGAGCTTGCTCTGGGAGACCGCTGGCGATTATGTGGGCCACGGCTTGGTTGGTGAGGAGCATAAACTAGTCACAAATGTCAGTCTTGCATGTAAGGGTATGCTGAAACGCGTACCTCTTCGACAATGGCAGACGCCTCGTCCTTTTGATATGTCTCACAGTCGACAGGTCGACCATCTGCATCTAGCTCAAATGAGACCTTGAGAGATCCGGCCAACGTAGCACCCTGGTCGATACGTCTGTTTCGGATCTTGATGGCAATGGACTGATGTGCGGGTCAGCTGGTGTCCCTAGATGAAAGGATACAATACTTACATGCAAAGCCCTGAGATCAGCCTCAATATCTTCAGCGTGCTGGGTGCCATCGCTCTTGCTCTTGGGCATAGAGCCACCGTTAGAGACACCAAAAGCGTCCGCGTAGCTCAATTTGGCGCAAGACCTAAGCATCATCAGCAAAGTGCGGCAAAGTGGTTCAGTATTCAGCTCACCTAACGATAGTCTTCGCAAACCTCTTGTCGATCACGTTTCCATCCTTGTCCACGGTGAAGAAGGCAGAGAACGTCAATCGTTCAGCTCCAGGGAGAAGACTGCAAAGTTCTTCGGAGAGCTGGGGAGGGAACATGGGTACCGCACGTTGTACGAGGTAGACGCTGGTAGCGCGTTTGCGTGCCTCTCGGTCAATCTGCGTGTTGGTCTTGACTGAGATGGTGTCAGCTCAAGCTACAGCTTCAACATAACGCAAGTACATACCAAAGTAAGCCACGTCGGCGATATGGACACCGATTGCGAAGGTGCCATCGCCGTTGTCCTGGAAGGAGAGAGCGTCGTCCAAGTCCTTGGCATTGGGAGGATCGATTGTAAACACCCTTTGGCTTCTGAGATCTGTTCGGACCTCAAACTCGCGCTCGGGGATTGACCAAGGCAAAGGCGGCAAGCACTTCATCGTCATATCAGAGAACTCCTCGGTGGGGAAGTTGCAGTCCTTGAGGAGGGCGCTGGTCTCAACTTCGGCATTGCTGATGGGACCAAGCTCTTCAACAAGTGTACCGAATGGGTGCAAAGAGGTGATGGGCCATCGCTTGATAGTCGCAACGAAAAGTTTGCTGCTGTAAGAATCCGGATTCTCGATAAAGTCTTCGGGCGCCTGTTCGGTGGGGATAGCAATGAGTGGAACTCGCTTGTCGGTGGGCTTAAACCAGACGATTTTGGGTCGAGCTTCAGGCTCGTCCCGCTTGTTTCTGTCGCCCTCGCGCTCTCGACGTTCGAGCTCTTGCTTCTCCTTGGTGGCCGCCGAAGATGGACGAAGCACACCGAGTTGACCGGAGAAGAGCTGGCCAGGCATGCGCTCGACCTGAATGAGAGTTGGCTATGAAACGCACGACAAAGATGAGACTTACCACAGCAACAACGTGGCCAGCATAAGTAGGCTTGGTGTCATCGTTCACCTCTTCATCGTCAAACAATGTCAATCCTTGGCCTTCGACTTCAACATCGTCCTTCTTCTTCTCAAGCCTCTTAGCGGCTGAAGGCTTCAAGTCATACGCCGCGTTCTCCTCCTTCTTACGCTTCTTCTCCTCCTTGTCCTTCTTGGTGAGCCAGACTTCATCGACATCCAGAAGCTCGACAGCAACGATATCGCCCTCAAGAGCTCGGTTCCTATCCTTGGATCCACAGATGTAGATATCGGCCTCGAGTACATCGGTAGCAACATAAGCGTCTGATCGGTTCTTCTTGTTGACTCGCAAGACGCCGACAACAAGTTTACCAGCCTGGAGAAGAGGAGGCAAGGAAGCCTGAGGAAGGTATGGTGCGAAGAGAGACTTTCGCTGGGGACCCTGAGAGGTCTGCTGGAGTTGCATCTGGAACGCCTGCTGCTGTTGCCAAAGTGACTGCCCGACGGGTGTCTGCAAAGTAGTCGCAGCGAGCAAGTTTGGCAACATGTTGGGGAAACTAAAGGAGGCCATCTTTGAGTGACCACCACCGGCAGCAGCCCTGAATTGGGCAAGAGATTGAAGCTGCGCCTGAGCAGCAGCGAGATCGGCTACCTGACCTTGGTAGCCAGGAGGATTACTGATAGAGCCACTGCCAAGACGCCAGCTACCACTTTCAGCGCCAGACCTGCTGCCCGTCCGACGGTGACCAGAAGGCACGGCGACGCCCTCGGGGATGTCGTCACTCGTTCCGAAACCGGCACCTGGGCCAGCAGTCTTGTTGAAAACGTTGACACTGTGGCGCCTGTTGTGACCAGCGGGGACAGGAGGAGGGGCCATCTCCCCAAAGGAAGGCAGACGTTGCTCCTGGTCGCGCTCAAGGCTCGCCTCGTTGCCAGCAGTAGCAGAGGGCAGACTGGACTGAACTCGACGATGCCGAGACAGGGTCTGCGAGGGAATTGGCTTTGGTGCCAAAGAAGTGTTGATCTTCAGGAGAGGGTTTTCAGCTTCAGGGGCGGCCTCCTGCTGCATGAGAGCCTTCTGTTTGGCTTGTAGGGCCTCGATTTCTTGCTGAATAGCGAGCTAGGATGCCTTTAGCTGATACTGTCGCCTGAGCTGCAACGTTACTCACCTGTTGCTGCAGAGCAGAAGACATTTCACTTCCGGTACGCTTATGAGCTCTAGCGGCAAGACCGGCGAGGCCTGTAGCCGCAGCGCCACCGATACCCTCACTCCTGTTGACAACGACGGGAGAAGCATGGGATTGAGTGGGAGAGAGGGATTCTCTGGCGGATCCCCTCTCAGAGACACTGTCGTGAGCAGCGTGCTTGGGTTTGGCGCCGAATGTGAATGACGGGGCGAGCTGAGGCCTACCAGTAGGGCCGACAACGCCGGATCGAGGCTCAGGAGACTCTTCTTCTTCAAACACTGGCTGGTTTCGAGGGTGGGTAGCTTCAGACTCGGCTTGGGCTCGAGCCTCTTCCTGTTGCTGGACTAGCTGCGCCTGTTGGAGCTCAAAGACTTGCTGAGCTTGTGCAAGCTGGGCAGCTTGTTGCTGCTGCTGAGCAGCAGCCCTTTGCGCAGCAAGAGCCTGGAAACGCGGAGCGATGAAACTACCCATTTGCTGGTTTTGATGCTGGGCAGCTTGTTGCGCTTGCTGTTGAGACAGCTGAGTAGCAGCAAGCTGAGCTTGGAGGAGCTGAATGTACTGATATTGTTGCTGCTGAGCAACCAAGAGCTGCTGTTGTTGATACTGCAAGCTCGCCTGCTGCGCGAACGCTAATGGAGACAAGCTTTCGTTCTCAGCCTCTTGGTGTACCGCGAGCGAGTTATTGAAGAAGGGCGGAAGAGGATTACCAAATGACTGAATGGGAGACTGGTTGAAAGCAGAGACCGAGCTTGAAGATATGCGTCGAGGATGGTTGGCTTGACTGCTCTGGGAGAAAGAGCGAGGGTGCGCCGGGTGAGAAGCAGACAAGGCTGTCGAAGGAGAAGCGGAAAGGTTGGATTGTGTCGCAACGGGAGAGAAGGAATTTTGGAAAGAAGGCGTGAATGTGGGCGCATCGGCCTTCAGGGCCTTCTGAGAGCTCGCGCTAGAGCTCGAGTCTGGGATGGCAACAGGCTCCGTCTTTGAAGAGGTTATAGGCTCGCGGGCGACGCTGGCTGAACGTGATCCAGAAGAGCTAGCACTGCCGTTTGCCGAAGCGGGCAAAGTCTTCAAATCGGAAATCATCTTCTGCAAGCTGGCCAGAGCATCGCCGCCTGAAGACCCCGAGGCGCGCTTTCTCGTAGCAGCTTCGCGAGCAGCCTCAAGAGCGTCGCGGGGAGTGGAGGTCGCAGCGTGGATGGACTTTGGCGCTGATTCTTGCTTGACAGAATTTTGAGAGCTTGGTCGAGAAGTGCCCGTGCTGATGGGGTTCGGGCGCTTGGCGGACTGTGATCTCTTTGCCTTTTGGTGATTACCCTTGGGTTGCTTCTCGCTCTTTCCAGCGCTGGAAGTCTCATCCGCTTCGATCTCTTTCCTGTCCTCCCCTTTGCCCTTCCCTGCACCTTTCTTGCTTTGCGGCTGAGGCTGTTCGCCGCTGACTCCCAGACTCACGCCACCGCTGATGGTCGTGGTGGGACCACTCTGCCTCTTCTTGTCACTCCTTCCACTTTCTGATGGACCTCGAGACGAGGCATTCGAGTTGCTTCGAGACAAGTTGGTGGATCCTCCACCACTCTTGCTACGCCCACGGGAAGAGCTGCTTCTCTGAGAGTTGGCCGAGTTTGGCCGAGAGGGATGAGCTGGAGGAGGGGCAAGGGTGGCTTGGGGTTGGATTTGTTCTGGCGCAGCCGCGCGATCGGCCATGACTGTCACTTGAGCGTGAAGACGCAGTGGACGGCTAGTATAGCACAATTGTGGTTCACGTAGAGGATGTCTGTAAAACAACATGTCAGCACGAGTGTTGATCATTGAAACTCGTAAACAATAAGGGTTGGGGAAATCTGTGACGTCTTCGAGTATGGATAATTTGCTAGCAAAGTAGACCAGCAGCTACACACCACGACATAGCCAGGACTTGCTGGGGCAAGGTGGACCTGGGGGGGCGTGGAGGTCGGCAAGAAAGACACGGGAGCAGCAAGTTGCGCGTGGAGCCACGATCGGTCGCATCGCGCGTTCTCCGTCCTGCCCTGCCGCTGAGCTATAGACAAGGTCGGAGAGCAGCCAGTGATGACACCAGGCAACCCCCAGCCCCAGCACTGCCAGTACTGTGCCCCATAGGTGCCCACTTTGCTCGTCTGCCTTGCGGCACAGGCCCGGGCTGTACACCGGACCCTGAGGTGGAAGGGGACTTACGGATAGTGCGTCTGCTGTGGGCTGTCGGGCGACGGTGGGTAAGGATTGTGGGAGAGAGATGTTGAAAGGCAATGGGAAAAGAACTTGACAACGGTCGTCCATCTCTAGGCGCCAGCAGATGACGCACAGCCCTAAGTCTTCCCGGAGAGACGCGTCCAGGCTGCGCGGTTGTGGCACTTGGAAACCCTTACGTAACACTCGCTCACCCAACAGGTCTGCTGCAGCTGCTGCTGCTTGGCTGCTGCTGCATACTCGAGTACTCTGCCGTGTGGTGATCTATGACATAGAGGATGATACATGAAACAGCTGATATGAGAATTATACTCTGATTAAACCTACGGAAGTATATGTATAATAAAATGATAGTGAAGAAGTAATGAAATGCTCGTGCTTTTGTTGTACTCTTCTTCCCATCTACCCCTTCCCAACACATGCTCATGCAAGCTCTCTAGATGCTTCTGGGATCGGTGGTGAGGCCCAAGCCGCTACCAGCCACACGCTTAGGGGGAAGACCGCATCGACTTCGCAGCTCTTGGATTTCGATATGCTGGGCATCGACCTGGGCGCGCAACTCGGCAATCTCTTCCTCACGCCCACGCAAGCTGGCTTCGAGAGCGAGCACATGGCCTGTGTCTACAGTTAGCGATAGGTGACGATTCAGAGGCAATCTACACTTACCTTTGCGCTTAGCACGGAACTTTCGAGCACCAATTCTATCGCATCGATCATCAGCACCTTGTCTCATCAGTAAGCGCAATGCAAGCCCACCTGTTTCTGACCTGCTTCTTCGCCGCCGGGGGCAAAGCCTTATACTCTTCTTGAGGCATCCCCCAAGGTTGCTCTTCCGTGCTTTCAAGATTATCGACACTCGAACCCCTTCTGATACCTGTCCGGATATCCTCATTCTCACTCGAAGAAGAGTTCATGCTCAGCCTCTTTGAACCGATCGCCATGGTCGCAGGAGTCTGCGGCATGCCGTGGTACATCTGTCGAGGTGAACTGGCGGAACCGCGCATTGCCGGAATAATATGGGTCGTTGGTGAAACCGGGGACAGATTGTTGTAGGATGGCGAGGTAGGATAGGCGGGCATGCGTGGAGCAGCTTCGGGATGGGGGTAGGGGTTGTTTATCAGAGATCTGGACCCGCCCTCCAGACTGACGGGAGAGGGGGCGGGATAGGGGTATTGTGGGTGAGGATTCGAAGTAATGGCACCATAGGGAGAAAGGCCTGTGAGGTTCTGAGGCGGACCGCCTTGAAAGCCAAACATTGGTTGAGAGAAAGACATTTCTCCCCCCCCGCTCTTGCCGTTGTGTGACGCTGGGTTACGTGGTAGAGATGAAGGTGGCGGGAACTGCTGCTGATGGGGTGGAGGTAGGTGCGTAGAAGATGACGCCTGTGGTGAAGAGCGGGTAGGGGAGTCGTTCGCGGGTGATGCAGTATGCCGTGCTGTCGAACGTATGGGATGTTGACTGTAATAGCCATAGGAATTATGTGAAGGCTACATACGAGAACCAGTCAGCCTCTACTTTATATTATGGCGGAAACGAGATCCCGCAAAATCACGGATGAGGCAGATGACTCACCCAGCTTGCCCCACTGTTTGCCATGGCGGATTCAGAGGAAAATCGGTGTTGCCACAACAAACGACCCGAATGACCAAGAGACTCCTTTACACCTTTGTCGTCCCTGTCCTCGGCGCGAGAGGAAATGGATCCTTGATAGGAAGACGTCTGGATTCAGTAAGGGGAAACTACCTCGTCGGCATGGATTATCGACTCCTGGAAGTGTCTAGGAGAGGAAGGGCCGGAAGGGTTTTCGTGCGGTTGGTGAAACGTCATAATAGTTGGGCGGAAAGAGGAAATGCACTTGCGTCAGCGCCGGAACACATATTGCGGAAAGCGTCGAACTTGTTCAATTTAAAGTAGGGCAAAGCGAGCTAGAAGTTGGAAGAAAAAGAAAAAACGACCAAGTCAGAGGAAGCCATGGATCTAAAGCAACTAGGATTGGAATCGAAACACGTCGACGACACGGGCGGAACAACAATGAAGGCCTCGAGCCTCGGTATAACTCTAGATCTTCAAGACATGGCGGCAGTGAAGATCTCTGAATCGGGTAATGGAGATTCTCCGGCTCACATGCTTCATCCCAGAAGGAAAACCCAGATAGTCAAATCGAGTAACGTATTTCGGCTGAGGTAACAGGTTGATTGATTCTCGGCAATGCATGAGGATACCAGCGACTAGCGCCCTGCAGGCTTCCACTGCAGCTGGTTCCTCCCGCTTTTCCCCTCCGCATTGCGATGCAGGCCCCTGCCTGTCCATACCTCTCCAGCACGCCCGCCGGAGAGATCCAACAACGGCCAGCGGCGAGCGAGAGATCCAGCCAGAGCGGCCAATCGCGAGGAGCGACCAAGGCACCAACGCAAACAGTAAAATCGTTAATTCCCCGACCCGCGACGTAAGCCCAAAATGAAGGCAATTAACCGCCAGAAAACAAAAATAAAAAGACCACCCGCGTAATGATAGAGGCGCGGACCGAGAAGTGAGACAGCGCATGGCCATGACTTCATGCGCTCTTGCTTGTGCAGCCAAAGTGCGCACGAGAAGCACGATTCAGATTCAGATACAGCGAAAAGTGGAAGTGCTGCGGAGCCACGAGCAACAAGGCAAAGGACGATGACCACGTCAACAAACAAGAGTTGACGAAGCGGGGGAAGGATGAGGTAAATACCTCTAAACCCAATCTGACTTTCGCAGCTCACAGCTCTCTGGCAAAGGCAGAGAATAGAGGGCCATAGAGCGGAGGCATACAAGTAAGCCAAGATCTAGAAAGTACCATGGACATGACGGCAGCACGGCGGCTGACGCGCTGAACCGCTGGCCCCGGCCGCCGGAATCTCGCAAACGCCGAGCAAATGCCCAAGAACACGAGACGAGACAATAATGTGGATATGTAGATGGGCCTGGACTCACTGGTCGAGCTTAAATGGAGTCAGAATATATGACGGGGAATGTAATGGCCAAAGGGAGAAAAAGGTGACGCTGCGGCGGTCGTAATTCTGTTGGCAAGGCTGTCAGCAAAGCAACTCTACCCTGGTTTGAACTATCTTTGAAGCAAGTATGTAGAGTACTGCAATCACCACTAAAAATCCCAGAATTGACACAACACGCTCGAGGGGAAGCAAAGTCCATAGAGCGCATAATGTAGGCCACCACCAACGAATATACTGATCTTTGCAAAAGCATGTGACTATATCGCAAATGGACAGGTTTAACCTGGAATCTGCAGGGTTTGAGTCGGCCTGAATCTGTGCTCAGACCATTGTGCCCGCCCACATATGCTTGACTTTTGAAAGACCACAGGGCCAGTCACACCACGCAGACTCGGGCGTGTCGGACGGATACCGCTCAAAGATGGAAGAGAGAAAAAAGCAGGGACAAAAAGAGAGAAAGAGAGCAGTGGAAGGACTCACTTCGTTCCTGCAAGAAGAGGCACTCGAGGTCGGAGGCGGGGGACGAGGAAGGTCGAAAATCGATCTGCCTCCTTCCGCCTTGTGCGAGATAACGGGTGTTGTTGTTGACAGGCACGCGCCTCAGCTGGCTATCGGGGAATGCAGCTTCTTGAGGGAAGGCGTGAGATTATATTAACAGTAGAGGGAGTACGAATATGGAAGCACAAAGAATGTTTGATGTCTTGTGCGAAAAGTATGTACTCCGCCTCCACCTTCGACCTCGGCCACTGCCCGGCTTGGCCCGGGTTGGCGGGAACCGACTATAGGTCTATATTCTCCCTCATTCAGCTCTCGATTTCCCTGGTGGATGTAGTCCACGCCCCACATCCTGAAGTGCCCATGCCCCATGCAAAAGTCCCTGCATACTCGTTAACAGTGGCCAGTGTGAGTAGCTGCATCCACCTGAGATCCGCTGTCCGCTGTCCTCCGCTGTGACGCGCCTCCCCTGCTACATACTCTGCAGCCTGCAGCCTGCTTCTTCGCTGCTTATAATGCTCACCTGGATCCAGCTCAGGCCCCGGATTCCTGCCCCATCGCTCAGCCTCCCCAGGATCCCCTGCCCCCTGCACCTCCTGCACTTGCCACGGTCGAACGTTACATTGTGGCCGTCGGAGAATTACGGAGTATTTTTGCAGCAATACCCTGACGACCCCGATCCCGTGCTTCCCGTGCCCAAAAGATCAAGAGATTCGACATTCGAGATTGCCGTAACGTCAAACTAAGTCAAACTAGACCCGCGTGCGGCATGGTACTTACTCGTGCACTCTCTCTGACTGAGCGTACTGTGTATCCCATCTGTGGAATGTCAAAAAACGAGCAGAAGGATGAGAACGAGGAGCGCATCCCATTTTCAGATACGTCGATTGCCCTCGATTCCACCAGTTCCACAGCGCCACGGTCACAGGCCCCACAGACCACGAGATGGGGAATGAGGGATGGTCTGATGACCACGATGGAAGAGTTGGGGAGGGGAGACTAAACGCTCTGGACTCTGCCGTTAAGTAGAATGTAATTTGTGTTTACGAGAGATCTTCTCTAGCGTGATACCAGTGAACTGCCATCTGCCATTAGCTGCCATGCTTCACCACCCAGAATGATCGGCAGTCCTCGGAAGCAGTAGAGGATGGCGATGTTGGCCGTCAATGATGCTACTGCATCATAGAAGTGTTAAGAAAATTTGAGACAACTGGAGTATCGTCCTCTTTGCTTCTTACTCGTTCCGGCGTCCTTCCTCCTCGTGAGTCGAGCTAGCATGCTCCACTGTCATATTATAGGCGTCGCAAAACTTTGAGAGCACACCAACCGGGGGGGAGCCTGGGAGGCCTACGAAATGATATGATAATATTGCTTCATGGCCCGCGACCGCTAGTGCAAAGAGGCCACATTTCCACACCTGGCGCATGTGTCGTCAGGCTCCCAGTTCAGATGTTCACTGCTCCAGGACAGTTGCCAGAACGAGCGGCCGCGACGCGGCGCCCGGTTATAGATGGCGTTCGATACCCCTCTGCGGATCATCTTATCTTATCATTCGTCGATCGAATGCCCACCGTGTTCGCACAAGCTATTAGCGTTCGACCACTTATGCTTGCAATCGAACGCTGCGTTTGATGGCTCGTGGTTGGCTCAACACGCCCCTTGCATAATAGGCTGCGTCGGTGAAGTCCGGAATCAAATTTCTGTGACGCGGAGTCCATGTAGCCGACACTGCAAACTGGACGACTTGTGTACAGATTGTATACAGCCTGTATCTGCCCGGTCCACCGCCCAGCTATCGCTCATGGCGCCGCATCCTGACCTCTCCCGCGCGTCCAGCCATCTCCAGCAGGCAAGCCACGACGAGCCACCGCAGCCCAGCAGCAAGAACCAAGTCCTCATATCCCACGGCAGGGCCCCCTGGTATGGACCGGATGGCCGCAATGTCGAGGCATATGTAGTAGGCATCGCAGGGGGGAGTGCTTCTGGAAAGGTAGCTATGCTTGTTGTGTAATGGCCTCGAGCTGACAATACCTAGACGTCCGTTGCTCGAGCCATTTTATCGGCACTCGACTATATCCCAACAGTCCTGATTCTGTCACAAGACGCTTTCTACTGTGCTCATACACCAGAGCAACTTGAGCTTGCCTTCAACAACGATCTTGACCTCGGTATGACGCGACAGGACCAAGCTGCGACCGCTGTCTGATACCGTGCTTAGATCACCCGGACGCGATTGATATGCCCCTGTTTGCCCAGTGTCTCAGTGATCTCAAGCAAGGAAAAGCTACAGAGGTAAGCGCGTTACCCACTACGTTGGTATGTTGTCACTGACCATGTTCCTCAGATCCCTGTGTACTCGTTCGTGCACCACCGTGAGTATTGACATTGACTGGGGCCGATCAGTTTTGACCCAGGCTTGCAGAGAGGATACCCGAGACAAAGTACATCTATGGCGCTAGTGTGATTATTGTGTATGTCCACATTCCCTCATTTGGTCACTGCTGACGGCAAGCAAAGCGAAGGTATCATGGCCTTGCAGTCTCCCGAGCTGAGATCGCTCTATGATCTCAAAGTTTTTGTTGTAAGTCCGAGGCCACCCGCTCGGCGCTGGAGACTGACGATGACAGAACTGTGACTCTGACCTGATGTTGGCGAGGCGTATAAGACGCGATGTCAAGGAGAGAGGACGAGACGTCGATGGGATCCTGGATCAATATCTCCGTTTTGTCAAGGACAGCTACGACAACTTTGTGCAGCCTTCATCTCGATATGCCGACATTGTAAGTATTCAAAGTTTGCATACATTACACAGCTTATGCTGTGACTAGATTGTGCCCGGCTCTTCCAACCATATTGCCATCGAACTCCTAGTAACACACGTCAAGCGTCAGCTAGAGTCTCGCTCCTTACGATTCCGGAAGGTATTGGCGCATATCGGTGAAGATGGAGCAAGCACCTACGAAACGGACAGGCTAGACAAGCAGATCACTCTACTAGCACAAACCAACCAGCTCCTCGTATGTGTCCCTCCGCATGTCTGGAACATAGCTCACTGTACCACAGGGTATCATGACCATCCTGCGAGACCGCACCACATCCCGAGAAGAATTCATCTTCCACATCGACCGATTGTCCACCATTATTGTCGAAAAGGCCCTCACGCTCATACTCTGCACCCCCAAGACAATCAAGACCCCTCAACAAAACGTCTACCCCGGCGTCGCGCAAACCAAAAACCTCGTCGGTATCTCCATCCTCCGTTCTGGTCTTCCCTTCTCCCAGGGCCTTCGGCGAGTCGTGCGCGATATCCCCATTGGTGGTATCCTCATTCAGTCCGACCCCAAAACGGGCGAGCCACTGCTATTGAAGAGTGATCTGCCGCACTGCGTCAAGTCGAAAGAGACGAGCGGGGATGTCAAGTGTCTGTTATTGGATTCTCTTATGGGCACCGGTGCCGCTGCCAGTATGTCCCTCGTTCTTTCGGGTATACACGGCTGACCTCTATTTCCAGTCATGGCGATCCGTATACTCCTCGACCACGGCGTCATTGCCTCCAACATCATCTTCCTCACTTACCTCATCTCTCGTCCAGCTTCGTACGCCGTCCTCCGCGCCTTCCCCGACGTGCAGATCGTCACAGCCGCCATCGACCCCAAGCTTGACGAAATGCGTATTCCGGTCCACCCAGGAAGTTTGGTTCTGGGTGAAGCAGCCGGGGAGGGAGACTTTGCTGTGCGATGGGCAGATGATGAGAAGGAAAGCGAAGAGAAGGAAAGGATGGACCCGAAAGAGGTGTTGAAGACCGACTCTGAAGTGGGTGCTGAGCATTTCAGGGTAAGGGCGAACAAGGAAATGGAAGAGTACAAGTTCTCGAGGGGAAGGAGCGTGGGGAAGCATGGGAGAAGCGACTCATCACCGGCGGAGAAGAGGGCTTGGGTTATATCACCTGGTAAGCACGTTCTTGTCTTTGCGGACACTGCTGATCTCGTATAGGCATGGGTCATGTCGGAGACCGCTACTATCTTACATAGATCCTCACATCAGTAAGCTTGGCATGTATACACACATCTGCATCGGGCACCTCGGGCAAGATTGAAACGGTTCATAACTGCATTCTGCATCTCGGCTTTCAAATTTTCGACACTATTTTCTGTTTTCGTTTGTATCGTATGTATCGACAGATCGGGAGAAAGATCATTTTGGCGCAAAGGCAGGAGAAGGGCGTAATCGTAAAAGGTCGTATAAACATGAAAGATAAACACAAGAGCGATCTGGAAAGAGAAAGATGAAAGGGTATATCGAAGAGCGCGTAAAGAAATGCAGAAAGATGAGTGCGAGTGAAACTAGGATGCGATGTGATGGGATGTTGAAGACTATGAAATAAGGAGGTATATGAAGGAGACCTGGACAATTAAAGACGTGATAAACCAGAAAGGCCGTGAAACAGGCGCGAAGAATGACAATTCGGTAAAATCTATAATTACTTTCTTTTCTTTGTTGTGTTGAGAATTTCGTATGCAGTATCGTAGTGAAGAGAGAGAGAAAGAACATAATGGGTGTACAGTCAAGTCGTCGGTCGTTACGGGCGGGGGGTGGGGTATGATGAGCGGCGTTACACTCGCCTTCTTTTTATAGACACCCTTGACACCTTCTTCTTCGCCGAGCCCTTCTTGGCGCTTCGCCTGGGCTTCCTCCCGAGCACAAAGTCATCATCACTATCATCATCCGGCTCTTCCGCCGCACTCTCATCAGACTCATAGTCTTCGTCCATGTCGTCCCCGGGGGTGCCCTTTTGAATTCGCTTCCCGTCATCAAAGTGAACGTTGGCGATACCCAGACCGACCGCGTTGACGCTCTGGCTCTCTTTCCGGTCCTGCCAATGCTTGGGAGGAGTAGTCAGGGTGATATTCTCCGCCGAGCTATCCCCATTCTCCTTGTCCTCGTGCGCATACATGGGATGAACCTGGTGAGCCTGGTGGTACCCTCGACCCATCATCATGACGGGCTTGAACTGCGGATGGTTCCACTCGGCGGCGGGCGTGATGGGGGTGGGGTACATGCCGTTGGGTTGGATAGGCGTGAGGGCCTGCATGGGCATGCACATCTGATGCTGCTGGTTCTGGTAGACCTGGATAGGGGGCAGGTTCTCGGTCATGCCGTGGGTCGGAGTACCGTGAATCATGGCAGAAGCGTTGGAAGCACTGGACGCGCCAGAAGAGTAGATGGTGCGGCGCTGCTGACTCATGGGAGGAGCAGGGAAAGGCATTGGCTGACCCCAGTGCCCACCGATGGCCTCCCCGTCCTCAGGAGTATGCTTTTCAACTGTCTCTGGCGTGGAATCCTGGTCGGCACCTACAGACGTCTCGCGGCTGATGATTTGCTTTTCAAGCTCTTCCAAGTCTTCGTCTTGGCTTTGAGCACTGCCGACGCTGTGGCTCTGGTAGGTATTGACCTGGCCCCAAGAGCTGACGGTAGGCACAGCAGGCATAGAGTTGAAGCGCTGGATGGCAGGCGGAGCACTGTGAAGACGGCCAGACTGCTGATGGTCGGCATAGATAATCTGGCCGTCGGGACTCGGCAGCGGCAGGTTGGAACCTTCGATGCTGGTGAGAGGCATGCCGACGGAAACGCCCTGGGGAGGATGGAGCGCAAAAGTAGGGGCGGCATCAACCGAAATGAGCGGCTCGTCCTCGTCGTCGGAATGACCGGAAGGCGTATGCGGCTGTCTCGACTGGGGAAGAGGGTTTGTAGCAGACCTCGGCATCATGTTATAGTATTGTCCGCCGTTCACGTGCACAGAGGTCTGGGGCACAGCGAGCTGGGAGGCATGGAACCCTCCGCCGACATTGCCACCGCTCCATTGCGAGGTGTCGTGCGAAGCCCTCGGTTGACCGGGCGCAGAGGCCGACCTGTTCCACATCACTGCTCCCTCACTCGGGAAACGCGGGACCGGGTAGCCACTCGGGTAGGCGGAGAGTGGACTGGGATACTGGCTCGGGGTGAGGCCATTGGAGGGGTGAGGTGAGACTTGCCTCTGACTATGCGCCGAGTGGGGAGCCGAGTGGTGTCCTCCGTTTCCGAGTGTAGGGCCGGAGGTGGAGATGGGTGTGAGGTGGACAGGTCCGCCGTGGGAGGAGGGCTGGAAGTGTGGTCGGACAGCTCCAGTTCCCTGGAAGAAGATGGGCTGATGGGCACCTGGAGGTCCTCCGAATACCTGTCCGGGGAACCCGCCATGGAAGGGGTACGCCGCGCCCTCCGACGGGTGAGGAGCGGCGAATCCGTGGGGGGCACCGGGGTTCGGGCTGGGGTAGTGGTCGGAGTGGGAAGATCCCTGAGAGAGGAATGACCCAGAGGAGTTTTGAGAAATGTTGCGGCTGGCAGAGCGCGGCGCAGACGAGGTAGGCGGCGGAATGTCTGGGTGTTGACGCTTGAAATGCTTCAAGAGAGTGTTGCGTCGTGCGAACGGCTTGTTGCAACCTGGAGCATCGCAAGTGTAGGGGCGCTTTCCGGTGCTGAGATAGTTAGATAGAGTCGAGAAAGAAGATAAGGTACTCACTGGATACGTCTATGCCTGGCAAGAGAGCTCGAGTCGGCAAACGCCTTGTGACACGTCTCGCAATGATGAGGCCTTTCTCCGGTGCTGTCGTCCGAGTCAGCCAGAGCTGGAATGCGTTTTTCAGTATACGTACTGGACACGATAGTGGACGGTGAGGGCTGAACGTTGGATGAAAGACTTGCCGCACCCTCGATAGTTGCAGACGAACGCTCTATAAGGCGATTAACAGAAGTAGACATGGCCAAAGGTGGGGACTCGCCTGTCATTGGTGTGGATCTTGAAATGACGGGCCAAGTCGCTCTTCCTGGCAAAGGCCTTGTCACAGGTGCCAAAGGTGCAGACGAATGGGCGAGTATGGCTGCTGTGTCCTCCGCCGACATTGTTGTGATCGTTCACAAGCTGCGAGTAGGAAAGCGACAGGGCGTAGAGCAGAGCAAAGAAGACAAACTGTCAGCGATGTACTGAGGTGGAGGAGGGCAGCAAGGGAGGGCTTGCCACTGGGAAGTGTGCTGGCCCAGAGGCAGGCTGAGAGGCCGGGGTGAGGGAGGAGGGGACTTACGTCGAGAACGTCCATTGTGAGGTGAGAGACTCTGTGAAGAGACCTTCTGAGACGAGGAAGAGAAAGAGGAAGGGAAAGAGGAAAGAGGAAAGGAAAGGAAATGAAATGCAGATGGTAATGGGTGATAGAGGCGATGCGGCGAGTGATTTTTGGAGTGGCGGCGGATGGCGATCAGGCAAGCCTAGGTCTAACTGGGGGGCGGTTTGGACGCCTGGGATAGAGGGGCACTATCTATGCGGCCCAAGCAACGGGTGATCGAGGTGGATATCGAAAATTTGGGTGACGACCGGGGAATACAGGGGAGTGATGGCGACAGAGAGGCACGGCCAGGTGTGAGAGGAGGGTGAAGGCAAAGTTTCGTCAGCCACAGTTTTTGACACGGCAGTCTACGATGCAGCGACGGTTGATCGACTGGTGATGGCAGAGGGCACTTACAAGTCAAGGGCAGCAGGTGGTAGGCGGTGGACGGGTCACAAACGGCGTGGGCCGTGCGATGTTGAGTGATGGATGAGGAATCAATAAGGGCCAATAAGAGCGTCTGTCCAAACGTCAGCTCGCATCACCGCAGCTACAGCAACGAGAAGGACAAGCGATCCAAAGGAACACAGCTTGGACCCAAAACCCATGTCGCGAATGCACTACGCCGCGCCTGGCTCGGCACATATACGCAGCATCCGTCCTCGCACGGCCAAACATGTCTGTGGGCAGATCGACTCACAAGGGGTGTTGACCGAGCGACGGGCCAGGGCGAGCAGGTCACGGCCTAACGAGGAAGGACTGCTCCGCGTGGTCGCAAAGGGGGGTCAGGCCGTATCGGCAGAGCGAGGGGGAGGAACAGTCCAAAGGCGAAACGCGTTACGCCGCAGAGTGGCGCAGGAGAGTAGGTGGAGCAAAAAAGGGGTAAAAGATAGGGCGAGTGGCAAGCGAAGTGGTGGCGCGAGTGACAGGTGAAGGATAGTGGCATGGGCAGGGGCAAGGCAAGCATGAGCAAAGCAACGACACACCCTAGCTAGTGGCACTGTGGCACTGGTAAGAAACAACTCACGAGAGGCCAGAGCTGACGATATGGGCGGACAAAAGAGCGTGGGGTTGTGCTGAAGCACGTGCAGTTGGCAGGGCAAGCAGGGATAGAGATCAAAGCACAAGCAATAGACCCAGTATAGGTCAAAGAAACAATGAAGAATGAAACACAAGTGGGGGAGAACAAGGTGAAAAGGCGAGGCGTGTCTGTTTAAAGGGGAATTTCGGGGTGGGCTGTTGAGGGTCAGGATATATAAGAACAATGGGCTGGAGACAATGGGCGAAATCGATAGCGACGCCCGGCTCCGTATGTACCGCCTGCTGCACAAACAGGTCCTGACTCTTAGAACAGGTTTGGCGGCTCGGCCAATCGGCCTGCCGATAAGGTGTTCGGAGCATTATTACCCTATGATGGGTCGTTGCGCAGAACAGACGAAGCAGACAAAAGGCAATCCACCGCCACCTCCTGCCTTATTCTGGTTAGGCTGCACTTCACTCTCTTGTCAACAATTTCCCTGTGCCTATGTCCCGGAAGAAACAGCAAGTGGACCCTGTAAGGGAAATGGGTGGAGCTTTGCGTGCTCGACTTTTCTATTGTTCAGTCCGCCCGCACGAGAAGGACGCACGTCCAACGGTCATAGCCCCACGCATACCACATGTCCCCACACTCTTTCCCTCCCATGCAATCTACATACTCATCCCCCAAGGCCTCACATCAATCCGTTCTCACATCACTCGCTCGTCGGGCGGCGGGCGGCAGCCTCAATTGTTCCGCATCAATTGCCTCTTCTGTCTCTCCTAGGGTACCCAGGGTCCGAGACATTCTGTGACAGGGCCGAATGCAGGATAGATCCGGTTACAGGCACAAGCCCTTGGTCGACTGGCGTTATTGGGTTGTTCTTTATCTTTTGAAAGATACGAACGCGCGGAAGCGGTAATAGTCGATTACGATTACGGGAGCAGCTGGATTAAGGTCGTAGAGTACCCAGATTAGGCTGCGACGGACATGAGTCTCTGCCCCTGCAGTAAGGAACCCACTAGGTGTATATCTCCATTTTAACAGGTGTCTAACCTGCAGTCCCTTTACACTGCAATCCATCTCCTATTGTCTGCGAAGGGACCGGAGACGGCGTACGAGCCTTTGATCCGGCTTGTCCTCACCCTCTCCGTCTGATGCCCAGCTTGCTCATCGATCTCACGGCACCCCTGGTACGCTGAAACGCGGTGGCTTGTCTCTCTTGTGCGAACACTTTTGTTCTCGAGATTTGAGTCAGTCAGGTCTCTATTGTTCTTTCGGACTCCGAGCTGGCGCGCGCGTCGGCTTTTCCTGCTTCTATTGTCTTGGAGCACTCACAGTTTCCTCTTCGAGAAACGCCGCCCCAGTCGCCCCAGGCCCAGCATCAAACGCTACCCGTCCCAAACGCGTCCATGATCACGTACACCGTCTCAATATGGCAATAAAGAGACATCACCGAACACTCAAAGAAAAGATGGTTGTCACTAGCTCGGGGTGAGGTGGAGGGTCAAAAAAGCCGAAATCTCACGTCAGCCAGCATCTTACTCTTTTGGGTGATTGTACCTGCAGGCACGTAACGCGTGCCGCGCGCGTTTCTCCCGTTGACTTTTCTTTTCCTCGCCTACCCACCGCACGCCCTGCCTGTTCCTCTGGCCGTACCCTCTTGGACCTCTGGCGCGGCCGTCGACAGCATGGTCACAACCCGCCGCCACACTACGCCAGTTCTCGACCCACGCTCCACATGGTGAACGACGTCCAGCCCCAGCACGACCTGCCGAGGCCCAGCGCTACCATCTGATTTCATTAACGCGCCATCACGATATCACACCAAGTTCAAGTGTGGAGTACGTCCCCGTCCTCTCTACCCTGCACCCGGGTGCCTCGCAAATTTATGCATCATGCTGCCGCTGGCCCTCTGGGCTCAATAATGGCATACTTTTTGGGTTTCACTAGAATCGCTCCTTGCAATACGCGAGATCAGACCTGATAAGGGATAAGTGAAGCCGCCATGTATGGCTTGCGCATCCGCTACTGGCCGTCGGCGATTGAGCGCGGTAGCTCACAAGTTGATTGTCTCAACGTAAAGATCTCATGATAGTGCAGATTTTGACAACCTACCATCCATGTTTTGTCTGTCTATCGCCGCATGTTAATCATGCGACGCGACCTTGTCCCTGGGATCCCTGGCTCTTGTTCGGTCCTCTTACAGCCTATATGTGTATAGGGTGTATATTTGGAGCACCTCACTGCTTATTAGCACTATTCAACGAAGCAGGGTGGCAGGGTCAAAGTCTGGCAATACCGACGAGTGACGACCGATGGAAAGCTGAAACAAACCAGACATCGCTCGCTCTTCAACCCGGGAGCAGGGCAGGGCTTCCGACCTCCGAGACCTCACCCCTGCCCCCCCCCCCCCCGCAGCCGGCAATACGTATGCTGATGAGGACCCGCGGCGATGGCAGTTCTCGACAAGACATCCATCTCAACCATCAATCACCTATATTTTGAGACTACTGCGCGAAAGACTCGTTAGGGCTGATGAATCAGTCGTATGTACGCTTCTTTCACCCCTCCGGCGCCGCAAGACCCGGTCAATCCCACGTTTCCAATTCCGCAACTTCCGTATACAAATGGCGCATACAGATTGCCGGAAGTGGCAAGAAAAGATACGAGACTAGGCATACGCGTAAACGAGCATGGATTATCACCGGGGTGGAGATGAGATCTTTTCGGCCGCACTTCAGGCTGCAATCACTCATCTTCTGTGCTTCTGCCAACGGTTGCCAAGTGTTTTCCTGCCATAGATAGCACAAGCAGTTAAGGAGTTCGAACGCACAAAACTTGATCAACCACACGGACACGAAAGGGATGGCAAAAATACAGAGATGCGTGGTCACTAACCTCGACCGGCAAGAACAAGCATATTATGATCCCGGTCCGGGAAATGTGGAAGGCCCCATCTGCGGACCCCATGCCCCCATGATCCATGATTAATAGTAGTCAGCATATGCAGCATATCTACTCGGACTACTTATATAAAGTTAGCTAGTCTGCTTGGAATGCATAACCAGATCACACCAGGCTCCGAGTTTACTCGCAGACTATACCATGTAGATCGTCAACTGATCGGTGCTATATCTCAATCTCTTTGGATAAAAATTGTGATTCGTGATTCGGGCCCATGAGAGACCAATTGAGCATGGTGTGATCGTCTCCCGTTGTCGAGCTTGCTGATAGTACAGGCGTCCACCTGTTTCATACGGCATTCTACGGACCATAAACCAAGAACGGACCCTCCCACCACCGCTCACTAGCACTCCACCTGAAATCCTTCCGCTCCACAGTAATCTTTTTGGCGCTATCTCTCGGGTCTCCGAAATTCTCGCATCCGGCTCTTGCCTTTCTACAACCGGCTCTGGTGCATAACGATAGTCTTGATCGAGTTGGACTTGAGCTGGTCGGTAGCATTCTGCATGCTGATTTCCGAGTTGCCGTTCTTGAAATCCCATACCTACAAGGCTACTTCAGTATCCAGCCCATCAAGCATTCGAGTACTCACCCGTTTGTACAGAAAACCTCCAGCAGCGACCTGGAACGCCCAGCCGACGCTGGTGATTGTTCCAAAGACGGCGGCAAGGATGTGTCCTTGGCTAAACATGGAAATGGTGTTGATCAGGCCAGCAGATCCCGTAGCTGTGCAAGTCAGCTCAGTTTGCAGGCCGACAAATGAAAGGTGCGTACAGGGTATGCCGATAAACATGTACATAGAGTACGCCAAGTGGAAGCCAGCAAAGAGAAAGTAGATGTCTGTCTCGTCAATACGGGCCAAGTCGAGTCTTGAGATGACTTACAGAAAAAGACGGCCATAGCCTTTCCTTCATTTCTGCAGTACCCAAGATATATCGGTCGGAACCAAAGTATAAAGGAGGTAAGGGTGATGAAGACGAGGTAGCTCGCAGAGCTAGCCATATCGGCGCTGCATTCAAGTAAGCACAAGCTTGTCACATCCAGATACGGTACTCACCCTCCCTCAGAGCTTCCAGAGATTAACAAGAATATACACCCCAACAAGTTCAAGATGAGTGTCGCGACAAGGGCGTACCATTGGTACCCGATCAATGTGATTGACTGCTTCTTGCCGGCGTCCGGGATTATACTGGGATCGTAGTGTACAAATGGGTAAACTTACAGGCCGTCAGTAGCTGCCTGGGTACCACAGCAAAATGACTCACGCGGTGGCCAGTTGTTTGCATATGTTCCTGTCTCCTGTTGTCTCCTCTCGAATTCCTGCTCTCGCCTCGCCAGCTCCTCTTCCCTCTTCCTGAGTTCATCCGCCTTCTGGTTCGCCCCCGCACCAGCAGCGTATCCTCCTCCGTATCCATAGTCCCCATAAGCATTTGACGTTGATCCGCTTGCGCCACCGAACGAGGCGAGGGATTCGTTGGGCTGGGCAGTGAACGGGTCTTTGGTGGAGTCGGCGAAGGGGTCGGTGTCGAGGGTAGCATGAGCGGTGCTGTCTGCGAATGGGTCTGCCTGGTTGTAGGACATTATGGATGGTGAGGATGCAGAAAAGTGAACGAATGCGCAAGAGACTCGGAGAGTGACGCACAGCAGCACCACAACAACGGAACCAAATTCGGTCTCGGCCCTCCACCAACCGGGATCCAAAGAATTCCGGCTGTCAGCAACATCTCTGCTCAAGAACAACATGAGCGCTTTTCTGAAGAACCTAAGGCATCTCCTGCCCTTTGCGAAGCCCAAGGTGAGTATCGTGGAGCGTGGCATGGACAGCGCTGACGAGGGACAGGGGCTGGCAGGCTACGATCTTCAAGGTGAAACCTCCACTCTGACTAACCACCGCAACCACTGACGGCAATGAACAGGGAATCGTTATTTCGAACTCCCGAATCCCATGGGCGGGCGAATGAAACGATCAGTAGAATACGCCATCAACCGAGATATCGCAGAGTACGGTCGGGCAGAGTTGAAACCACCAGGTATGTCTGCCGTGGCCGTCTTTCTACATTGCTGATTGGCTTAGTGCAATGGCGAGCCTGGCTCTCCCATACACGAAGTGACCCCCCCTCCCGCCAAGAGCTTGAAAAAGATCTCTACCGCCAAAACGACCTGCTTCCAAAGATTGCCGCTATCGAAGCGCGCGAACGAGAAGAACGCATTCGTCAAGGGTATCTCTTGCCCGACGGATCCGAGCCAGAGAAATCAGATGTCAAGCAGGTGACTGCGCCATCAGAAATCAGTGGAGAGAGGAGGGCGCAAACGCAGAGGTTTATCGACGCTTCAAATGCATCGAGGGCGGGGACGCAGGAGGCCGAAGCAGTGTGGCGAGAAAAGTCGGCGCCTGCCTCAGAGGTGGCGCCGCCAAGGAGAACTATCGACCCTACGACAGCTTCTCCAGAAGAGTTGAGGAAGCTGGCGGAAGAGGACACCAAGAGGCGTGTAGCGCAGACTGAAGGGGCGCCAGAGGTGGCCAAGAAGGGCGACGTACAGTCGGTCCAGTTTGGCGAAGGCGGCCTCGCTCCCAAAAGACGAGGCGGCAAAAAGTAGAGCATTATCCACATTCATCAGTTGTACAGGGCATACCGGGTCAGATATATGCATACAGATATAATCGCACATGGTGGAATGGTCGTTTCGTCGCTCAATCTTCTCTTCTCTTTCGCGCCCATGCTCTCAGACTCGCCGGCGACAGAAAGAAACTCTTGGGTGATCCTTCTTTCGGTTCTTGCCGGCTAGCAGCTTCTGGCATATCAGTCCAGCTCTCGCTAAAGCCCGGCGGCGGCGGTGGATAGAATTCGAATTCGGCAGTCTCGGGCAAGGGATGGCGGTGACGCAGCAGTTGCAAGATGAGGGACATGCCTTTCCGTGACTATCCGCTGATCAGCTCGAGCCCCATACATGTAAGAGCAACCCACTGTCTCTGAGTTGCCTTCGAATTTGCCCAGGCCATACGACTCTATCCGCTTCCGTATGAGACTTGACCATGCCCCGCCTAGGTCTGACCGGACCTCGGCGGTCGTGTGATGTAGCGTTGTCCTGGATTTCGTCAGCGCTATACCTCCATGAGAGAGGCGGTACTTGCCCATTGGGCCCAGCTCTCAGATCCCCACCCTCAATCACATGCATCGCCTTTCGGTGATTCAAATTCCCCTGCTGCATTCTCAGTCTCGGCTGCTTCCCAAAGTCCTCTCCCTCCGCCCCAAGATCTGTTCTCCCTTCACCCCATCCCGGGGGATCCACAATGCTCTCCTCGTATATCCACGCATCTAGCCCACTCCCACCTGATGTGGCGCTCGAAGGCAGCCATCTTGTCGCCCATTTGGGCAGGATGCCGCGTTTCAATATCAGCCGGGTCGTGTGTATGCGGCCCGTCACAGGGTCAACTGTGCGGTCAAGGACGTCGACGGAGAGGACATGGCGGGCGAATGGGTTGGGATAGCGGAGGAAGAAGGCGAGGAGGGATGTGGCCGGTGGTTCGGGGCTGAGGATGGTCAGCAGAGGTCGCTTGGGGGAAGAGGGGCTGACTAGGAGTGGGTCTTTTTGTATACTTGAACCATTGGGTGCCCAGGGGGGGCTGTGGGATGGATGGATGGACAGGAGTCGGATGGCGCTGGGAGTGGCCGGAATACGAACTTTGTGAATTGTGACCCGAAGAAAGTTGCCCCGCTATTAAAATGAGCGGCCCCTGATTTGGCCGATCTAACTGATCTCTTATTTGTCCACCGTCGCCACTCGGCGCGTCTTTGCGCTTGTATGCATATGTATGCGGCATGTGAGTGGCTTCGGCAGTACATAGTGCACTACTCTCCCTTATGTATGGATGCTATACATGCATGCAGCTTGTGGGTGTGCGTTGAAAGCGTGCTTCCCTTTGGTCGCCACTTCATTCAACGCGAGCTGTACCTGTATGATTCTTGGTATGCTCTCGAGGTATCTACGCTTTAAGCACTCTCTGCCATGGCCATGCATTATCTGTAGCTGTATATACACCCGACGCGGCCCTGGTACGATGGATGGGTGTGACGGTGTGTCCTGTGCACTCAGGGTTGAGTGACGGGTACTCGGACGCACCGAAGGCACCACCAAGCAAACAGGGAACAAAAGAAGCTGAGCGTTCCCTTCCCTGTCAATCATTGCAGAGCTGGTATCTGCTTCTTGAATACCTTTCCTACGGTCCCCCCTTGCCCCCACCGTCCCACTGGCGCGTCGCTCCTTACAACCCCACCATGGCCTATCCCCATCGCCCAGACGACCATCGTCAGACAGGCTACAGCTACCAGCAATCCACTTACTCCCAGCCAGACTCTTATCACTCGTCCTCCCTCCCTCACCCCTCATCCTCCCCATCACCCGCAGGCGGGTACACCACTTCTCACCACACCCACTCGCCCACCACCAGGGCAGCCTACCCAGGGTACTACCAGCCACAGCCCACTTCATCGTCTCTCGACTCGCATACAATGATGTACGGCAGACCCAGTCCTGCTCCGGGGCAGCAGACCTATGGCGGAGGTGCCGCATCGGGAGAAGTGTTCAGAGGGCCTGGCGCCGCTGCACCTCCCATATCCTATAATCCCCCTCAGCCTCAGCTCCAGCCCCGCCCCTCCTTCTCCTCTCACCACTCAGACTATCCTGACGACGGCAAGTCCTACACCTCCACAACACACTTTGCCAATCAAAAGGAATGGGACGTTGGTAACGTCGTGCCTGCTATGCCTCAGCAAATGCCACAGCAGAGGCAGCCATATCAGTACCAGGCGTACCCTCCTCCTCAGTCTGCGCCCTCGCCGAGATTTGCTGCTGGCGGCACCTCACATTGGCATGCTATGCGCAATCAGCTCCTCGAGCGACGAGTCATCAAGCAGATCCCGCTCACCAATGGGAACCTCGTCATGGACGTCCCTGTTCCAAAAGGAGTCATCCCTAGTACCAAAGGCTTAGGTACGCAAGATGGCGAGATGGACAGTATGCGCTACACTGCGGCTACGTGCGACCCGGACGATTTCATGCGAAGCAAGTTCAATCTCAGGCCTTATCTGTATGAAAGAAGGACAGAGCTATTTGTGCGTGTCTTTCACGATGAATTGGGCAAGGCTGATGCACGCAAAGATTGTCATGACAATGTACAATGAGAATTCAGAGCTTCTCCTCCTCACTCTCAACGCAGTCATCAAGAACATTGCCCACCTCACCACCCGCACGCGTTCCAAGACTTGGGGGCCCGACTCTTGGAAAAAGATTGTCGTATGTATCGTTGCCGACGGTCGAAAGATTGTGGACCCAAGAGTTCTCAGGGTGCTTCAGTTGATGGGCGTGTATGCCGAAGTGAGTGCTCTGCAATACGACAGCTGAAGTATTGATCATCTACCAGGGTGTCATGAAAGATCATGTCCTCGACAAAGAGACCGAGGCTCATATTTTCGAGTATACTTCTCAAGTCGTCGTATCTCACGACGGTGAAGTTGGTTTCGGTACAACACCAGTCCAAATGATGTTTTGTCTCAAAGAGTGAGTACAGCATCTTCTCGAGCCTGCTGACGTGTGACAGGAAAAACAAAAAGAAGCTCAACTCTCATCGCTGGTTCTTCAACGCCTTTGGCCCCCTCATCAAACCCAACGTCTGTATTCTCCTCGATGTCGGCACAAAACCATCCGGCACATCCATCTACGAGCTGTACAAGTGCTTTGAGAAACACGCCAACGTGGGTGGCGCTTGTGGCGAGATTTACGCAGATACCGGGAGGTGGGGTAAGAATCTCTGGAACCCGCTGGTGGCAGGGCAGAACTTTGAGTACAAGATGAGTAATATATTGGACAAGCATTTTGAATCAGTGTTCGGATTGATCTCAGTTCTTCCGGGTGCATTTTCAGCTTATCGGTCAGTAACAATGCTATGAACCAGACCCTTGCTAACGTCCACGCAGCTACGCCGCCGTATGCAACCATCCAGACGGCACCGGTCCCCTCGCCTCCTATTTCAAAGGAGAAGCCATGCACCAGCCCGGAGCTAAAGCGACTATATTCGACCGCAACATGTACCTCGCCGAAGACCGTCTCTTGTGTTACGAGATCACCACCAAGAAGAATGCCAAGTGGAGACTGCAGTATGTCAAGAGCGCCAAAGCGGGGACCGATGTGCCGGCCACCGTGCCAGAGTTCATCTCGCAGAGGAGAAGATGGCTGAATGGGTCGATCTTTGCGGCGACTTATTCAATCGTCTGTTTCTGGAGGATCTGGACGAGCGGACACAATATCATCCGAAAGTCCTTGTTGACTATTCTGGTCATCTATAGTAAGCGCTTGAAGTGTATCATACGGCTGCTGACAGAAGATAGATCTCATCAACCTGATTTTCAGTTGGCTGTCAGTCTCTTCCTTTTACCTTGCATTCTACTTCCTTATCAACTCGTCCATCTCTGGCGACTCGGACCCGTTTGGCGGAGCAGGAGATGAAATCTTTCAAGTGTTCAACAAAGTCTACATTGGTCTCATGTGCGTATGGTTGTCGCTACATACGCATCTGCTGATTGCATCGTCAGTTTCGTGGTCCTGGTGTGTTCCCTCGGTAACAGACCCCAAGGTTCAAACTACATGTATACCATTTGGTAGGTCCTCAGTCTGTACTCGTCACCACGCTGACAAGCTATACAGCATGCTGCTGTTTGCTGTATGTCAGGGGTTGCTGCTATACTGCGCTGGCTACACTGTCTACCAGACAGTGCCTCACACCACCGATGGCTGGAAGGATGTATCAGCGCTGTTTGACAACAAGACCTTTGTCCAGCTCGCTTTATCCCTCATGGTATGATATCCCGTGCTTGCTTCTACATACGCTGAATACCTTTAGGCAACATACGGCCTCTACTTGATCTCTTCGATCCTGTACTTTGAGCCTTGGCACATGCTCACCTCTTTCGTCCAATATCTCCTCCTCCTCCCTTTTTAAGTCAACATACTTCTCATCTACTCCATGTGTAACCTCCACGACGTATCGTGGGGTACCAAAGGTGATAACGGTGCTTCCAAGGACTTGGGACAGGCCAAAAAGGTGGAGAAGGACGGAAAGGAGATGCTGGAAGTGGCGCTGCCGACAAAGCAAGAGGACGTAGAGGCGCTTTGGCAGCAGGCGAGGCAAGAGCTGAGGGTGCCTGTCAAGGAGAAGGAGGAGAAGAGGAGCGCAGAGACCAAACAGGCGGACGGTAAGTTCGCCTCGTAAATTATCAAGGCATGTCTAATGTCAAAACAGACGACCGCAATTTCCGTACCAACGTTGTTCTCTTGTTCATCGGCTGCAACTTGCTCGTCATCTTGCTATTCACCTCGTCGACCTTTACAGACTGGGTAAACTCTCACTTTGTCGAAGCCACCGACACGACATTCAACCCTTACTTGGTCAGTCATGCTTATTGGACCAAAGCTCTATTCATGCTGATATCGTCATCACTGTAGACCGTCATCTTCTACGCTGTTTTGGGACTGTCAGCCCTACGATTTGTTGGCTGTGTTTTATACCTCATTTTCCGTATCTGTGGGTTCTAGGGCTTTCGCGAATTCATGATTGTGTGTTCGGAACAAATTAGCAAGGATCTTGTAGCTACCGTGACGGTTTCTTGACACTCCGTAAAGTATATATGTACTCGTACTTTGTGGGACGCCGATCACCGCGCTTGGATAATTTACTGGCTGGGCTGGACCCAAAATGCTCCATATGCATTGAGCCATGAATGAAGTTGATATAGCTGCATGATCAAGTCTTCTTCCATGTCAACAAACATTCCTCACTTCTTCGGGGAAAGAGCAATCTGGGCGAGGAGTCGCCGCGGGTGCTCTATACAGGTGCTTCGAACATCCGACGTTGATGTTGGGCGACAGTCATGACGTCTGGCAAACAAAGTCATGCTGGGAGTCTACCCGTGTGACAGCGAGGTCTTAGAGATACAGTCAGCAGAACGTTCGGCGGTTGACGACCCGAGGTCTCTTCTGACAGAAAACAAGGAGACGACTGGAGGGCAGTCTTCGAGTCCCATCAGATGCTTTCCTGAAGTCAAAGACAAGCGCCTCCACTGGTCCCTCGAAGTCTCTGGAAGAGAGTCTTCATCACTAGATCAGCCAGCAGGCGCCGACGAGGTGGGACATCGTATACAACAATGGCGCGACTACTCGTACAAACGAAGAGCTGATCTACCCTCTTGGATTCGAGTGCTAATTGCTTGCGTCACACACCTTACAGAAGAAAAACAGAAATACCTGAATGTAGACCAAAAACACATCTATCGGACGATGCTGTACCATGATCGTATGCATACAGAGATATTGCCGTACAAAGCAAAAACAAAAAGAATCTGCTCCGGTGAGGGTCGAACTCACGATCTTCCGATTATTACGTAGGCACGCAAAGAAGTGTGGAATTTAACAGTCGGACGCCGTAACCAACTTAGCCACAGAGCATTTGTTGTTTTCGAAAAAATTGAACACATTAGATACTACAGCATTTGCGCCTTCAGGCAGCGCATGCTGAGTTCCCCTTCTCTCAGGTCATTCCCATTCTCAACTGCCTTGCAAACACCTCTAAAACGCACGCCCACTGCAAAGGATACCCAGCGTATACACCGACTTGATCCACACTCCATTGACCCTCCGCCAGCCACTTTCGCAGCAACAATGCATCTCCGCTCCTAAGAATACCTCAAAGCCCGTCGAGTCGCCAGCACTAGCTCCTTTCTTGGGATAGCCAGGGGACATCCGATCCTTTGATCCGACCCCTACCCTTGTGAGCTTGTAGCGCACGCATGCGTAAAGGCGCAAGTACAAATATCCCGCTTCACCACCGCCAATCGAGTCCGAAAAACGTGTCTACTAGGCTACGATCCACCTGTGAACCACCTCTTCGACGCTTTGTGATACGCAACCCTGCTGTAGGCCCTTACAAGATGGTCATGGATCAATACGAACGCTTGAGTGACGTCTTGAAGGTGTGTATTCACTTACCCAATGGTGATCTCACTGAGTTTACGAACAGCTCTCTGCCCACGTCACGCGAGTCCTAGGACAGAATCCTGGACAAATGACCTTGCAAGGTACAAACTCTTACCTTCTTCAGCCTCCCTCGAACCCCCACGCTCCTCTCATTCTCGTGGATACCTCCTCCCCTCACACGGCTCAGCAATATGTCGATCTTCTTTTCCTCCACCTCCACCATTTGGGCCTCGAGTCGGGGATCCGAGAAACGCATTTTGAAAGTGCGGCTGCCCAAATGACCCTGCGGAACTTTAAGGAGGAGAACCGGGAAAACGTCCGAAAGATTGTCAAGGAGCAGCGTGAATTCGATCCTTGGAGAGACCATACCGGTCTCGTAGAGTATGGACCGGGCAGCTCCTGGGTCAAGGATTTCGATGGCAAAAGCCATGAGCGAAAGCTTCCCGTGGTTGAGCATATCGTTCTCACCCATCGACATCTCGACCACGTCGGCGCCCTGCCCCTCTTGCTCAAGACGCTGAAAGAACACGGCTGTCCCCCACCCAAGTTGTGGAAGTTTCCATCTCCGGACGAAGCCGAGTTGAACGCTTCCGATCGAGACCGCCCCAGTTCTGACTCGTCCATCTGGCAATCTCTTCCTCCGGGCACATACACGCCCCTCTCCCCCTTCCAGCCTTTCCACCCTATCCTTCCCGGTCTCATGATCTCCATCATCGATCCCAGGTACCGCAGTCTGCTCAAATACGACAAAGATGGGCGGGCAAAGTGGAATGAAGTGCCCGAGATCGCGAGAGTCAGTGTGCGATGTTTGAGGACGCCCGGACATACAGCGGATAGCGTCAGCCTGGTCTTGATGGAAGGAGAAAAGGGTGTGTTCACTGGGGATACGGTGCTGGGACATGGTACTACACAATTCACCGACCTCTCCTCCTGTAAGTTTGGCCTTAGTCTTCGCTCAAAGCTGACGTTTCGCAGATATGACCTCCCTTCGTACTCTCCTCGCGCTCAAGCCCAAAGTTCTCTACCCCGCCCATGGAAATCACCTTATCGGCCCCGAGAAGTGTCTCGAGCACATCCAAACTTATATCGCTCATCGACAGACGCGAGAAGACGAGATTGCCGCTCTGCTTCAACGTTTTTCCAAGGGTAAAGAAGAGAGTCTCGCCGAGGCTCTTCTCGAGATGAAGAAACAATTGCACGAGAAGAAGGAGGCGGAGAACAAGGAAAAGGGACCGTTGATGTTGGATCGCAAGAAAGCTGTGCCTCTCCCATCTTTTGACGAAGAGCGCAGAAGACTCGAGTCTCTTGCTCGACTAGACGGCGTCTTGCCCATGAGCATCATCACCCGCCTTCTTTACAAGTCCGAAAACGAGCGTCTCCTCTTCGCGGCGTCCAAAAATGTCAACGCACACCTGGAAAAGCTCATCAAAGAGGAGAAGGTAAAGAGAGGACGAGTAACTGTTGTGAGACTTGTCGAAGGAAATGTGGAAGAGGAGAAGGAAGACACTGATGGCTGGGAGTGGGTTGGTGCGATATAGGATAGTATTGAATGAAACCTGATCAGCGTACATCATATGGATGGTCCTACATTATTATGTTACGAGTACAAAGAGTCTATAGCCTGCACCAATCCCTGTCCCCGGCATACATTACATTAGTATCCCAACACATTTCGAAGGACGGACGACGCCACATCCTCCGTTTTGATGCTGTCAGGAAGATTGTCATCCCCCCCCGCCTTGTAATTCAGAGCCGGGGGCTGGTCCTGTGGCATGATTAGCATGTGATTTGGCAGCGGGATATAGTGGCACAAACACAATATATATGCCAAGCATCTTGAGTCTCCTGGAGATTTATGGGTCTGACCTACAGACTGGTCAGTAATTGCAAAGCAGTTAGAAGATAGATACTTACATTCCACGAATCCCTGACCTTTCTCTCTGCCTCTCTCTGCCCTCTCGTCGCCTCGTATTGTTTTCTCTCGTCCGGCCTGTGCCTTGTCAGCTCCTACAATCTTTCAAGCACGATAAGCCTCACGTCATAACCCATCCATCTCCTCGATCGCCCTTCCCTCTTCTCGATTGTTTGTCCCTCTCTTCTTGGTCCTTGGAACCCTCATTGACTCTTTTGCCGTCATCAGTCTTGGCATGCCTCAGCGACCCCATGGTTTGTTTGAGCAGGCTCGGGACGCTTCCTGTAGCAGCTTTCATTTTGGGTGTGCTCGAAGCCGGCGTAGATCCATTGCTCTGAACAGGACGCTTGGCAGTGACCTTCTTGACAGGAGGCTTTGCACCGGCGGGCGTCGAGGACGCCGGGGACGAAGTAGGAGTCTTTTTGGCAGGAGCCCCGGAGGAACTTTCGAGTTTCGCCACAGCTTTGGGTTTAGGCTTGGGCTTTGCCGTCACTCCGGTAGCAGCTTTCGTCGATGACTTGGCATGTGCAGGCGTACTTGAAGGATGACCCGGGGTTTGTTTCTTGTGGGGTACAGATTTCGCCGAACGTCTCGGTGGCGAGGGTGTTGCTGACGCTCTAGGAGAAGATGGCAGCGGCTTGGCTGCGTGGGGTGACGACGAGGGCGCGCGGATAGTAGCAGAGGATTTATTGCGGCTCGCTGCGGGGGTGGATGCAATGTCCTCATCAGACTCGTCTTCTGAAAGGATCTGCTGTCGGCTCTTCTTCTTCTTTAGGCTGACAGAACGCTTCAAGGAATCTGTTTTCGACCCTTCGTTGGGCAGCTGCTCCGTTGCCTTTGGCGCTTGACCCTCTTCTTCCTGCTCTCTGGGTTTGGGCCGTTCGTCCGCAGAAAGACTTCTATCCTCGGCCTTCTCTGTTGCCGTACCGGTCCCCTCCTCTGTCTCCATTTTCTCTGAAGCTTCCCGAACTATCCCCATTTTGGGCCTCTTCACACCCTCATCAACATCGCCCTCGGTCATATACCCCGAAGTTCGCTTTCCCTGCTTCTTTCCCTCTTTCTCAGGTTGACCGGGTAGATCGTCTTGGTCGAGCGGTAAGCCAGGGGTAAAAATCTTGTCGGTAGCCCCAGTCTTGAGCTTGACGTTCTCCTTTCGGGGCTCTTTTCGCTCCGTGGCGTCGGACAGGGGTTCAGGCAGTTTCTCGGGCACAAGCTCCGCCTGAGGCGAAATGGGCTCTGCTGGTACGGGCTTGGGTTCTGCTGGGACTGACATAGAGTCGGCTGTGACGGGTGTGGGTTCTTCTGCAACGACACCAGTGTTCGGCAACTGGGTTGATTTTGACAAGTCATCGGGAGGCGGCCCAGGAGGTGGCGTATCATTCCTCGGGGCTTGTGGAGTAGGAGCAACCTCGAGCGCCGGGCTGACCGTCTCGCTTGACGGCTCAGCGCTCGACTCGGGTATTCTCTTCCGCGCACCCCTGCCTCGTGGTATTGACTCTGCCTCCTTCTTCAGATCCAAATCCATCTCGTCCGCACTCGAAGCATTCTTTGCTTTTGGAGTTTCCTTGCTCTTCACCCTCGAGGGACGGGTTTTGACAGTGGAGGCCTTGACGGTCACTTTGGGGGTCGGGACCGGTGGTGCCGGTTCTTCTTCACTTTCAGACTCTCCATCTAATTCTCCATTGGATTCTCCGTCCGTTTTGGGGGGAGGACTCAGCGAGGAGTCACTGTCGAAGCCAGACATGACGGGCCGCTTGTCTTCGGTATTCGACTGCGCGAGGTTCGTGGCCGCTGGGGCTGATTTCTCTGGAGGAGTCACTTCGAGCGATTTTGTCGCCGATTGACGAGTGCGTGTCGATTTTCTGGTGGGAGGTTTGGAGGCCATGGGGGACAGGGCTTCAGCGAGGGGATTGTAAGAAGTGATGAAGTAGCAATGAAACGCGATTGTTATTGCCCGCACCATCATCAACGAAGCGCGCCGACAGTAGAAATACGTAATACCGGCACGTCTAATACCATTCCAACAACAACATTACAAAAGAAGAAACGACTACACTTGCTTGCTGATGCAAGTATTCAACTATGCATACTGAAGACACACCTGGCTGCCAATTGCATAGATTAGAGACGATACATAATGTCCACGATGTGATCACTACCGAGATCAATCCAAAAATCTCACTCGTTTGCCTCCTCCTTTCCAATTAATCGTGATTACTTTCTTCCCCACCGCCGCAAAGACGATCCTCGACCCTGTCCCGGCGTCGCCCCATCCCTTGGCCTGCGCTATAGACTGTATAGTCTCCTTGAGCTCATCCATGTCCACTTCTCGGGTATCGCCTGACGAAGCACGAAGGAGAGAGAGGAAAAGGTGGGCAGAAAGGATAGTATCAGAGTTGATGGGTCTGGCCGACTGCAGGCCGGAGGATAAGGCAGATATGGAGGAGGACGAGCTTGGAGATGGTGGTGCCGGGGGGTCGGACTTTGATAAGCGAATGATATGGTCGCTAGCCCGAGGATCAGTATCCGAGCGATGGGGCAGTCATTGAAATGCTTACACTGAAGAACGTGGATCTTCCGAGACGGTTTCCCCGTCGTTGACACCTTGTCTCATTATATCGCTCCAATGAGCCCATATTCTGGCCTATATCATCGTAAGCTCCGAGCTGCTTGTGGTCAGTAAAGGACTTACAACGCCAGCTTTCACGCCCGCCGACTCCACATCTATGCCATCTGCAGGTTTCGCCGAGGCTTCCACCACGACGGGAGATGGTTTGGGTGGGGATACAGCAGCGCGTGGTGTCTCCGCCAGAGTATCTTCTTGTGACTTTGGAGGTGTCGCCGGGACAGCTGGTGTTGGCGTAGGCGGGGTCTGTACCGGACTTGGGGGCGAAGGCGCCCTATTCAGTCTCACAGTCTCGTCCGCCTGGTCCATTCCTTCTTCCACCAGCACTTCTCGTGGATGGTCTCGTGGATTGGGGGCCGGAGTCTCATTCACCCTGGGCTCTGACGGGGTCATTTGGCGTTTGCCGAACAACGACGCTGTCAGACCTCTCGGCGCTGAGGGCGGTACACCTTCTGAAGCTGACGCAGCCTGAGAAGCTCGCGCCCTCTCAAATATGCCTTCTCTCAGACCTGTGCCACCCAATGGCCGAGGAGCTCGAGGGGTAGTCAGTAACTTGAGAGGGCTGAACCTGTCGATTCTTTCTGGCCAATCATTGCGCTCATGTCTGGGTGTAGCATTAACGAGCGAGTTCGTCACATGAGGCATGGTACGCCCGGGCGTGCGCGGTTGCGAAGGCATCTGTGAAGATGTGAGGGAAGATTCGGCGGCCTGAGATGATGATGAAGGTGGCGACTGGGGAATGTTTCGTCCTTGAGGAGGTACAGAATCTTGCGACTCTGTCTGCTTGTCTCTTGCGGCTCGACGAAGAGGTGCTAATCTAGACTCGAGAGCGCGAAGAGCAGCCTCTTCAGCTTTGAGAGCGTCTTCCGCCGAAAGCTTTTCTTTGGGTTCTCCAGCTACAGATTCGCCGAGTTTTTTGGGTTGAGCAGGCGTGGGCGATGAAGGAGCGCCAGCAGTCGGTTGGCTCGCCTAGGAGTGGACTCAGCTAAAGGTCACCCATGCGTGAACCGAGTCCTATACATACCTCTTCGATAAGCATTTCCAGTTCGGCAAGACGATCCAGGTTGGCGTGATGAGAGTCCAACAGGTTTTGGACGTGGGCCCTAGCTCTCGGCATGGAACGACTGATGGATTATGAGCAGCTATTGTGAAACCATCTTGGCAAGACTCACTAATCATCAACGAGTTTCAATGCAGTCCTCAGCATGACTTCTGTTTCGTCCTTTTCTGATCCGGCTCTGGCCTTGAGCTCCTTCAAAGGTGTCACAATACCCCCATCTCTCTTCTCCACCCGCTTGTTACCACCACCCCTGCCCTTCACCTCTCCAGCAGTCGCAAGAGCATCGCCTTCTCCGACAAACTTGAACAATCTCCGCTCTGCATCGGAGGCATCTCTTATGAGGTGGAGGACGTTTCCCTTTTCTTCGGGCACATGGGCGAGATGGGGCGGAGGGAGGTAGAGGTAAGCGGAGGTGAAGGGGCCCGCTGGGGCTGTGTTGAGGGTGGAGAGGTAGGCGATCTGTGCCGAGTGCTGTGCGAGGGTGTCGAGGGTGTCCTGGAGGGAGGGCATGGTGCGGTGGAGATGGAAAAGTGCGCAGATGAATGTTGTCATTAAATGTTTGTTGATCCGTCTGCCGACGCGTCGCGTCTTAAATGGGGGGAAGCTCACGAGGAACCCAACAGTGCAGGTCAGACGTACCATGACCATCGGCTCCATGAGACGATTTCGAAGCCTACTGTCGAGCTCTTCGTCCAAGGCAGAGCGCAGGGGTGGCCGGGACTGCAAGGCGCCACTCACAAAGAAGGTCGAGCGGATTAGTGATACATCCACGCAGAGGGGTCTGCTTTGGTCATTCGTTCGGGGATGAAGCTCGTCCGCGAGCGCTCTCTCTGCTTCGCCAGCCTGATGTACGTAGGCTCTAATACGACTTGAACAGGTCTGATGTATTTCCATTCCTATGGTTCTCGCACAAGGATGTCATATGTATGTGCCCTGAGTGGTGACCGCCGTTCGCGACGCGTTCCACGATCTGATTTAAGTCGTCCACGCGTTGCGTTACGTTGCTCTTGCTCTATCACGCACATTCAGCATGTCCTTCTTCTCAGACGACGACACATCCCCCCCTGCCAACTCTCGCCATGCCTCTGGCTCTTCCCGCCAAGCCTCTACCGCCTCTCCTCTCCCCGCCGGCCAACGCGCTCGCTCGACCAGCACTTTCAACACGGAGGCTGCATCTTCAAACAACGAACGAACACTGAGGGAGTCATCCTTCGACGAAGAAGAGTTTTACAAGGAGATTGGTATCACGTCCGGAATGCCCGAGTCGCCAGGGAGCGAAAGAGGGTCAAACATATTTACACCATCTGCTGGGCGACGATACGCACTTTCGTCTCCTGGAGGAACTCCTAGGAGAGCCCGCGATGGTACCATTGCCCACGATCTCGGATATCAGCCACAAGGAGGTGTTGATTGGGCAGCGATAGATGAAGAGACCGATATCGAAGATATGGACCTCGTCCGCAAGATCGGGGTGGTCTGGACGCGTGAGAGAGGTACAGGGGATATCATTCCCTGGGAGGGCGAGCTGGTCAACGACCTGATGGACAGACTGGAGCAGCAGCAGAAAATGTACACTGCGCTTCGGTCGGATCCTCAGACATCCGAAGAGGAACATTTCAAGCTGGTGCTCGTGCAGACGGAAGTGGAGCGAGTCAAATACTTGGTCAGGTCATACGTGAGGACCAGGCTACACAAGGTGGGATCAAAGTCGGCCTCGCGAGGTGATGCTGACTAGCTGTATAGATCGAAAAGTTCGCACACCACATCACCATTTCCCCCGAGATACACCACCTTCTATCGCCTATAGAGTTGTCACACGCCGAACGATACACTGAGCTCCTGCACACCCATTTTCAGCACTCAGTCCTTGATAGTCTACCGGAATCCTTTAGACGGCTGGACGAAAATTTCCCCGATGGTACTTCAATGAGTGAGTCGCGCGATCCCATCGTACGTGCAGGAATTGACCATAACCTAGTCACAAAGCCAAACACGGAGACGCCAGTGATGGTCTACATCCGTAAAGATTGTGGCGAAGTCACTTTGGAAAGGTGCGTTTGCGGACGTCTTCATTGAGAGCCCTCGCTGATATATACGCACAGCGGCGATCAAGCGCTCTTGTCGAAAGGGACGACACATATAGTAAAACAGAATCTTGTTGATCGCTGGGTATCGCTCGGCTATGCTGAGGTTCTGTAATCTAGCTGCGTGTGCAGCTGACGTTTCACTGCCATCTATAAAAATGCATACGTCTAGCATATATGCGGTTATTATTTCTATGAGTCCAAAATAGCAGTGTGCAGGTCATTATATTGGATCAATAGAGAAGGAGATCAAAGAAGCCTAATGATGATGAGGGTCCCCAAGAATGAAATGACAACAGGTAACCGTGCTGAATGTGATACGAGTACAACATTGGTAAGCTTTCGGGGAGGTCGTTGGTCAGAACACAGGGGGATACGCGGTGGACGGCGGGAAGCCCGGTAGCGTCACCTATCCCTCTGCGCATTTATAATGAGGCGGCGCCACTCAGGCTTTTTCTGTCTTGTTCGCCGCCTCAAGCTCTTCCACATCCTTCAGATCCAGCGCCATCTGCGCATCTTCGTCGTCCGCTCGAATCTTCATCATATCTTCGATTTTGCGCAGCAGATCATCCTGAGAGCAAAGGTCAGCATGCTTCCCACAGATGTTATCAAGTGGCTCACAAGCCGATAAGGCTTGATGATAATCTCGTCCATCCCCCTTGCTCTAGCTTCGTCAATTTGACCTTGCCTGGCATTGCCCGCTACGTCGATGGTAAGCGACGTCGCTGATGGTTGAGCGAACTCACTCAGAGCAATGATCAGATTCTTCTTCATGAGTCCCGCTGCTTCCTCCTCGCGAATGTGCTGGACCGCAGTCAGGCCGTCCATGACAGGCATCTCGAGGTCCATGAGTACGCAGTCGAAACACTGGACTGGCTCTTGTCCTTCGATGGGTGTTACGCTTGAAGCTTTGCGTATCTTCTCCAGTGCTTCCAGCCCGTTGCTGGCGACTACGAGAGATGTTACTCTTGCAAGCACGGGGACGATTCAAGGTGGACATACCGTCGCATGTCAGATTACAGTGCTTCAACTGCCTCGCCAGCACCGTCTGGTTTATCAGATTATCTTCCACGATGAGCACATGCGGGTTTCTTGTCAAGCCAAAGTACCGCGGAGCGTCACGCGAGGCTTTAAGCTTCGCGCGAAGACTGTTGGCAGCTGTCTGAGGGACAGTGTGACAGGTTTTGGCTTTGATATACCAGCGGAAAGTACTCCCCTTGCCTTTTTCAGAGACAACCGTGATACCACCACCCACTGAGAAAGAATCAGCGCCTTACCATGATCGATGGTTGACTTGGGGAACGTACTGAGTTCTGCGAGCTCTGGAACACGGCATCAATACTGGGCTGGACTTCAGGTAAGATTGTTATAAACTCACTTCGGCAAACGAACAATCCCAGGCCAGATCCTCCAAATACGGTATGTGTCTTTGCTACACAGGGTCAATGCTAATCAGACGTTCTCCTCGGATACTCACGAGAGACCTGGGAGAACCTCTGGAACAGCTTTTGTACCTCATTTTCAGTCAGACCGGGTCCAGTATCGGCGACTATGCGACAGTCGTTGTCAGCATGTCAATTTCACAGGTCACATCGTCGAGCCCACCTTCAAGATACAGGTACATGGTCATGTCGTCTGTGATGTCCTTTGGCAAGGTAGGCTCGCGCGGCATAGTGCAGGTGTCATCCTCGGGAGGGTCGAAACTTATTTCGGAGCGCAGCTCAACTTGACGTACAGCTGGAATCTGAAGTCAGCCGAATACTGTGCGTAACATCGCAAAGGAGATGCTTACCACTGGTAGCGGTAAATCTGATAGCATTTGACAGTAGATTGGTGACACTGCGAATCATTTCAGCCACCCGCAAAAAATACCTCATGACACTGCACACTCACATCTGATTCAGCCTGACCAGGTCGGCCTTCACCCACGTCAAACCCAGCTTCTTGTGACTTTCGCCAGCTTTGAAAGATAACTTGATCCTCTTCATCCTGGCCTCGTTTTGGAAGATGGACAGGATATTTTGAGCCTCCTTCCAAAGATCAAACTCGACGTCGAACATCTCGAGCATATCTGAGGCCACTATCAGCTGTGATGGTGCAATATTGATTTCAGGGCCTTACCTAGTTGGATTCGCCCCAGTGATAGAACATCGTTGCTGATCCTCTCTTGAGTCAAACCGCATTGATAGATACTCTCGAGGGCTTCGAGATCTTCGTCGATATTGTTCATGAGCTGGCGCGTTGGGTTGAATGGCTTTTGCTGGGCAATGGCCAAATGAAGCTGCTCCTGTAGAGACAAAAGATTGGTCTTGACAAGGGAGGAACAGTGAGAGGAGGATATGTCAGTCTGGAACGTAGAGGAATGTGAATAGACTCATCTGCATCATTGAGGAGATGGGATTCCGAAGCTCGTGGCTGTGTGACAGAAATGATCAGCGTGCTCAAGTGACGTGTGCCCAGCGACGCGTACGAAGTAATGTCGATCAAGAGCTCTTGCTGTCTCTTTGCTTCCTCCGCGTCCAGTCTTCTCTGCTCTGCTTCAACGACTTGTTGATGTTGAGTCTGTTCGTGAATCTTTCTTTCCGTGATATCAGTCTATGTATATGTGATAAGCGTTGTGAGGCCATGGAACACGTCGAGGATAGCGTACCACACAGCCCAAAATACCCTAGATGGTGGTCAGTACGCACGCAGATGTCGAGGCAGGCATAGCCTTATAGATCAATCGCGCTCACCTTCAATCGGGTCTGAGTCAATTCTAGTCGGATAATGGTCCTACAGATATAGTGAGCGGCAATCGCGATGGCTTTCGTCATCTGGTCTTACACGGTAACTATAGCTATTGTTAGCATGCTCTTGTGATTGCACTCGAGGTACTTACTCCACTTTCCGTTCTTATACCGCCAGTCTCTGGTACTCGTGCGCTCACCGCTTGTCAAGAATCCAAACCAAAATTCGTTCAATTCATCCCTCTCCTGGTCGGGGATGATGTCTTGCCAGTCCTCCAATGCCTTGTTAGTGGGGAATCCGGACAGTGAATACCTGACTCGTCTCATGAGCACGCTATATAGGAGCATATGGAATATACTCACCAAGTGGAGTTGACAAATGTCAATTTACCGTTCTCATCAGCTCGGAATATGCCAACAGGCGAGACTAGGAGTGCAAGCAATTAGCGACTGATGTGTACTGATGTCACATTGACTCACATTCTGAAAGAACCCTGAGCTCCGCCGTCCTCTCTTCGAATGCTTCTTCGAGGTGTTTCCGTTTTTTGCCTAGCTGTAATCTAGCAAATAGTGCAATTAGCGTCCAGTCAACAGAGAATGTCCGATCGGCCACATACTGCATGTGCGCTCGGGCGACGATCTCTCGGGCGTTGAAAGGTTTGGCCAGATAATCCTCGGCGCCCGCCATGATACCGCTCACTTTTGATTCATCTGCACCTCGAGCAGTGCTAGATAAGACGCAAGTCACAGTCAATACACGACAGGCAGCATGGAACATGCACTCACAGCATGATCACCGGAATCATCCGGAACTCGCTGGAATCTTTCAGGGTAGTCAAAAGCTCGAAACCGTCGACCTGAGTCTCGAGTCAGCGTCGGTTATGATGGCTGGAGCTGGGGACTCACATGGGGCATCATCACGTCCGAGATGATCAAGTTGGGCTTTTGCTTTGCACAAAGCTCCAGAGCCTCTCGGCCATCGCGAGCTTCGACGACTGTACAATACTGCGCAAAGATGGACTTCATATACCTTCGCGTGTCAGAAGAGTCTTGTGTCTCCCATCAGCAGTGTTCAATTCAGTCGGCCATATTGCGCACCTTCAACAAGCATGATGATATCGGACTTCTCAAAGTAGAGGGTGTTCGGGTCGAGGGCTTTGACAGGTACGGCGCTTGTCAATCCGCTCACGCCAGTTCCTCCAGAGCCTATTTGAGTGCCGCCCCCAGACTCTCCCGTTGCGTTGGAGGACTCATCGGAGCTATTTGCGCTCAACCCGTCTCTATTGTCGCGCACCCACTGCATTGCCTCATCAACCAGGCCTTCGCCATATGTTGATTGTGGCAGGTTGGGCATGCTGCCATGATCGATAGCCTCATATGGCAGATGGTCGCAGCCAAGAGGGATGCGAACCCGGAAAGTGGAGCCGTCTTGTAGTCTGTGTCAGTGATATATTTGAGTTTAGGTACATGAACCTACGAGATCTGTCCTCGGATTCTTCCTCCGTGACGCTTTCTATCTCAAACGAGCCACCGTGCAGGTTGATCAGTTCCTGTATGAAGATCAATATACAGATTTGGTATACAGTCGAAAGCCAATTTACCTTGACAAGTGACAAGCCTATACCAGTACCCTCATGAGATCTGCTAACAGACTGCACGCGATGGAATCGCTCCCCAATGAGGTGGATATCGGATCCTGTAGAAAGGCATCAATGGACTGCAAGTGTGGCAGTATGGGAGTGAAACGCACGAGGGATACCAACACCACTGTCTTTGACCTCAAATACGATCTGATTTTCGACGTAATGGAGCTTTACGTGAACAAAGCCAGACATTGTGTACTTCATCGCGTTACCTACGTTGTCATCAGTACCGAATCGGAGACAGTAAAGGATATACCCACCGATAAGATTGAACACAATCTTTTCCCAATGTTCAGGATCCACGAAGGCATTTTCAGGTGTGTTGTCAACCTCAATCGTATACTGGAGTTTCGCTTTCTCGATCGCCCGTTTAAACAAGACAGCCAGATCGCTCGTCATCGTTCCGATGTTCACTGGTCTGAAAGTCGCTCTCAGCCGTCCTGCTTCAAGTCGCGAAACGTCCATCAATGTCGACACCAATCTCGCAAGTCTTCGCATGTTCCTTCTGACCATCAGAAGCATATCTCTATGCCCGTTGTCCTTTGCCTCTAGCAAGAGATCGTCGATTGGACCGGCAATGAGGGTGAGAGGTGTACGAAGTTCGTGAGAGACATTGGAGAAGAGAAGGCTCTTGGCGCGATCGATGGCGGCTAATTCGTTCAGGCGTTGGTGTTCAACCTCGTAGGAGTGAACTGCGGCGATACCGGACGCGAGTTGCAATCGAAGGCTATACAGAGGTCAGTGACACAAGAGAAACAAGTCGGCGACACTCACATGTGCTGCAATGCCGTCAGCATAGCGCTTGTGATAGATACAATGCACTCACAATCCAAGACTCGTAATCCTCATCGAAAGGTCTCCTGATATTCAGCCCCAGCACCAGTACAGCGTTCGGTACCTCCTCATCAGAGTCGCTGCTGATTGGCACAACGACAGCTGCGCTCGGCAATTCATCCCAAACTCGGACGTTGAAGTCTTTGATCAATTCGGTCACATCCTCAACCAAGACCAGTCGCCTGCACTGAAGAGCCTCGCGCAAGGGCCATGATTCCGTTTCTGGCGCAGGGTGGCCTTCCGACTTGCTGCTGTCGAAAGACGCTCCGGGTCTAGGGAAAGTGCCCAGATTGGCTTTGCCGGTGTTGGATACGGAGGACGAGTGCATTGACAGCGCTGGAGAACTGCTGATGTCGCCTTGGGAGAAGCGAGTGGTAGAACTCCTTCGGCGGTGGCGAAGAGGAAAGGAGACATTTGAGGGAGTCGACGGGTGATTTTCGGGAATTCCAACAGAGCCAACAAGGGATACATTGACGTGAATCTCGTTGGGGTCATGTTTGGTGACTTCCGCAGCCGCCGTTCCCCGTGACTGCATTTTGACTACCAGGAATGAGCTTTGTCCTCTCTTAATATCCGCAAACGTACCAGGAGCAATTTGATCAACGTGGTACAAGGCAGCGAAAGGAGCATCCCGAGGATTGTTCTCAAGAATATCGACGACCGCCTTGTCAAACTCTTCCATCGTTCTCGCAATAGCTGTTCCAAAGTCAGCCTTGGTCTTCATACGCTTTTCTATGACCTCACCAGTCCTTTGCCCCATCTCTCGTACGGTTACCATCCGCCTTTCCGCCAAAACCTTCTTTGTCGTTCTGATCGTCGCATTCCATAGCCCCCCAAAAGTGCCATCCTCTTGCAGAATGGGCACCCACATCCACGTATGGTATTCTTCAAATACACCATCTCCTTGGTGGGCAAGCTGCCTGAAAAGCAAAAAGTCATCCTCTTTCCACACAGGAGTTCCTGCGAGGACGATCTCTGATATAGGACCGAGCGATGACCATATCTCGGACCATGCGCTGGGGCCGGACATGCCAAAGATGCTCGGATGCTTGTGTATAGCCTTGGCGTACGGTTCATTGTAGATAAGAGTAAGGTCTCTACCCCACCAAAGGCAGCATTGATGAGGATAGTTCATGACAAGGGCGACTTGAAAACGTCAGCGAAACGATCGCCTCCATAGAAGACACTCACCGATAGTCTTCAAGCTCTGCGGCCACTGTTCTCTCGGTCCCAGCGGCGTCTTTGTCCAATCCGTCGAGGCCATCAGATCATCGACACTCGCGTGCTCCTTCTTGTCACTGGTATCAGCCTGACGACTGATGGTTCCGTCCACGTTGAACATCAACGGTTTCGATGTCTTGCCGTTCTGCGCAGGTGACAGTAGACCGAGACCCCGCAGCTCCCCGAACGAAGAGAAGCTGTCATCTTTGGGATGCGGCGTTGTCGACATGCGTGGTATGCTCGGGTCGAGGCTGGTGGGCACGGATGGTGATGGAGACAGGATTGTCGTCTTGGGTATGAGATAGGGGTGTACTGTTTCGGAAGGTACTTCTTTTGGTTTAATGGGCGACCTGTCCTTGTCCAACATGGCCCGGTACGCGGCCGGGGGTACGTCGTGGTGACTGACTTGCTGAGGCGCATTCGGGACGAATGCTGTTCGCGGGGTAGAAGTGATTACAACGAAAGAGTGTGTCCTCATGGGAACATTCTCGGATCCCTTTCTATCTCTCAGTACCGGCACCAATGTCTTTGTCAACTCGAGGGTGATGCGCCCCGGATTGATCAAGTTTATTTCCAAAGTAGCCGGGCCCGGATTGCTCTTCTCAAAGGGTTCGATACCCGTCAGGTCAGCATGGTCGCTCGCTAATCCATCCGAACGGGGCGAGCGGTCCTCATAGGGGTGCTCGGCTGACCAAAAGTTCTCGGGGGAGGGCGGGCTGCCTGGGACGGGGTTGTCGAGAGAAGGGAATGTCTTTTGCGTCGGCGACAGCGTCGGCGTCGATGCCCCACTGATCCAGTTCCCCAATCGCCGGACTCCATCGACGTCTAAGCAATCTAGCAACGGCCGGCCTTCAAATAGATGGGTCCACTTCTCGTTACCCCACACAATTTCGAAGGGCTGAATCTCGCCATGGTCGGAGCGAGTGAATTGCGAGGAGGGGTCGAGGGTGGAGCGAGGTGTGGGAAATTCGTCCTGGGAGTCTGTGCGGGAGGGCTGGGGAGGGGGTATGGGGACGAGGAGGACGAAGGCGGGGTAGGGGTAGGACTGGAAGATGTCAACAGGGTGAAAAGACAGGATAGGGTTTGGGAGCCGACCTACCTGGAGATACTCCTTGGGGAGGGTGGAGTAGTTGATGGTGTCGTGGTACATGGCGCTGCGCTGGTCGCCGCGCAGGATGTGGGTGCTGGCGGGGGGAGAGACTGGAAGATACCACTGTTATTTGGGACCAGGAATGCAAAGTTTCGCCTTGCAGCCCGCAACTTCACAAATGACGCTGATCCGAGTCCAGGAACAAGCCATTTGGATTTGAATCTCGGTTGATTCAACCTTCTTGTTGCTCTTCGGTAATCTCGGCCTCAATCTTGCATATGTAGCACACCGCCATGCATCATGCAGCATATGTATGTACAGCCCCGGCAGCCGTGGGCGGGCAAGACGGGCGGGACTCTACGAGGCTGTTCCGACAGATGGTGCACGCAAACCACAAACCGGCTATGGAGCTCCAGGAAGGGCTGGACTCGTCGGGCCCGTCGAGTCACTATTTCTCCGTCCGCCGTGTCATACTTTTGTGACACACCAGCTACCAGCGCGGATCCTTCCGAGTTTCAAGAATCACTATACATACAGGACAAGAGCGAAGAGAACGAGAGGCACGCTCGGCGTTGCATGATGGCTGCTTGTCGCTCGATTACAGAAGGGCCAAGTCTCATTTGTTCGGATAGATACCGGCTGGACAGCCCTCCAAGACTGGAATGTGTGGCACCTGCCCAGTAGACACTGCCCTTGAATGCAGTAGCAAAAGTAGTAAGTCTCAGTCTGCACCCAGTGAACAGATCCAAACAAACCATGCAATGTGGGCATCCTGTCACCAGCTATTATGAATGATACGTACAATATATACACACAAAGAGACCGGGGAACACTCCCCCCCCGCTCGTCTTGCCCTCGTCAAGCCAGGTTGTCTACATAATCGCTCAGCTACTTTTGCGCCAAGGTGTTTCCAGCGTGCTCCCTGATGGCAGCCCACGGGTTTTGCTTGAAGGCTGGATGTCCCATGACAGCTGGTATTCTTTTTGCGCTTTCTTGGCTGTTAAGGGTTTTGTCAGTTCTTGCCTCACCGCCTTCTCCTAAGAACGTACATGATATCTCTCCTCTTCTTCTCTCCCAGAGTCCTGCCTTTGCCTTCTCCAATCTTTCCGCGCTCTCTCTCTTCTTCCAGTCTTTTTCTTCTCTCCTCATCTCTTTGTTCTTTGGTCTTGACCACATCTTTCTTCGTCTTTTGGTTCATCGCCAGAGAAGCCGGAGGGTTGGGTACGGCAGCTTCAGGGGCGATGGAAGACAAGGCATTCTCCAATGAAGAGAGGCCACCAGCTATATCGCGCGCCTTGCGCTTCTGCCGTCTGAGATGAGATTTGGAGGGAACAAAGTAAGGGTGAGGAGCTTTGCCTGTGTACATGTCAGCACGGAGTTCACATAGTGTATACAGCCTGGACGGACCAGCTTCCAATCCTTCCGGTGGGACCTTCAAACCTTTCAACTTTTTGGTTGTCCGGTCTTCCTTGACCGCGACAGCTTTCTAGACTTGGAATTAGCAGAGTATCCAGATACTCGACTAAAGAGATGATTCACAGCCACAGGGGTAGGAGCAGCAAACGGCTGACCCTCGGGAGCATCGTTGCTTTGGTTCTTCTGGACAGCCACCGCAGCGGCGTGATGACGGATTTTGGCACGGCCGACTCGAGGCTACAAGTCTGTCAGGAGCCCATAAGCTGCTTTGATATTGCATGCTTACCATGGTGTATCAATGTGCGTTTTGTCAGTTTATTGACTTCTTTGGTTAGAACTCGGAGAGACCTTGGACCAAAACTGTGCGCAAATTCCAAGTCGGTGATGGCCGCCCGGCGCCCGCCCGAGCAGTGATATTACAATTCCCGTAGCGGAGTGTTCTTGGTCTTGCATACACATGGACTCATCCCCAGAGATGCCAGAAATATGGCCTTCAACATAGCGCCCATCCAGAATTTCCTCAAGAAAGAGTACCCTCTGCCAAAGCCAGATCCTGTCAGTGCAGCCAAGACACGCGACGCGACGCGAAAACTGATGTCGACTGCAGAGATGGATCAAGCAGTGCGTAGCAGCTCTCCAGGCGGCTGGGACGGAGCCCAGTGAACAGAATGTCGTGTGTATAGAACTTACTTGGCTATCAGAGAGATTGACTCATAGCCCACCTACAGCAATCCGAGTACCTTTTCACGGACCTCGCCCACTGCACCCTCCCCTCCTCCGCCATACCGGAAGGCGACCTTCACAACGTCATCCTGTTCCCCATACCTACTCTGCTTCAGGTTCATTCAGTGGCCGAGATTGGCAACTCGGCTTTCCAGGTACAGACTGTCATGGAACAACGATCTGAAGTCCTATCCGGTAGGACACGCATCAGAGGGTTGGGTGACGCAGAGCAAGAAGCGAATGGGGAAGAGGGAGAGGAAGAAGAAGTGGAGGACGGAAGAGTCCCTCCATACCCCAGGAGTATGCTGAAACTGGATGTGGGGGACGGTAGAAAGGTCTTGAAGGCCATAGAGCTTCAGAGGATACCCGACTTTGTGCTGGGCCAGACCAATCTAGGATCCAAAGTGCGTCTCTCCTTTGTATCTGAACGTCTTCATTTGCTGACGATAGTCTAGATTCTCGTCCATAATGTCAAAGTCCGGCGGGGCATTCTCCTCCTTACCCCTCAGAACACTCAGGTCATTGACAGCTGCGTCGACGATCTCGAAGCAAACCAGCGCGAAATGTTTGTTCGCGACCTCAAGCGGCGGTTAGGCAAGCTCGAGCCTGGGGAGGACGACGGCGAGGCCGCTCCCAGGATCGTTATACCGCCTCCTGTAAGAGACGGGGGCCAGCGGAGAGGCGCAGGCGGAGGTCAACCCAGGGCAAGAGCGCGGCCAAGAGCAAGGGCTGAGCCGAGAGCAAAAGCCGAGCCCAAGTCGGAACACCAAGATGCCCCGGCTCCAACAACTTCTAGGTTCTTCAAGACGCCGAAACGCTCTCCAAGCCCTGCGGCCGGCCCTTCCAAACGACCTGCGCAAATCCCCACTCGGACGCGCGATCGATCCCCAACTCCAGACTTTGACGACGAGGGTGACTCGATCTTTGATGCGTTTGATGAAAGTTTCTACGATCATGTGGATCAAGCTGCTGCTCAGTCGAAGAGTACTGCGTCCGGCTCTGGGACGGGGGGAAGGAAGGAAAAGGAAATGGTTGAAGCGGCGGAGATTGATGATGATGATGATGATGATGACGACTTTATGATCCTCGATGAGTCTGTCATACGTCAGCTAGACGATATGTCTTCACGGCCCAAAGTCGGAGTTCCATCCACCACCACAACCACACAAGGCATTCGACAGAAAGGTGTGGCCATATCCTCTTCCACAAGCAAAGGAAAGCCGCAATACATTGACCCAGATGACGGGGATGAGACGGACTACGGGATGGACGAAGACTTGGACGAGAGCTTCGTGAGGCAGGTGGACGAGCAGGTGGCGGCGCTTGTGGGTGCAAGCAAGACTGCTTCTAAGACTGTCCAAGTGGCAGCGTCAACAAAACGTTCGCTGGGAACTCCCGCGGCGAGCGCCATGAAGGGGTCGCAGTGGAAAAAGACGTTCTCTACAGACATTTCTTCGGATGAAGATGATCTGCAGAAGGAGAATAGAAAGCCTGAAATCATAGAGATCTCGGATTGATCAAGGATAGGCTGTGGTATGTGGACCAATAGTTGTATTTATCGGATCGTACTTGTATGTCATATGTCACCATAACAGTCATGGTATACGGTGCCACTGCGTGAAATTTCAAAGACCATGAACGCGGCACCATCGCTCCCATTCTCGGCAGAGGGTATTGGTCTACCGTTGCTATGCACCGACAACGAGCCCGGTGCTTATGATGAGTGCGCAATGGACTCATGTTTGATATCACAGCACCATTCGGCAGAGTATCTGGCATAGACCAGAAGACAGAACGTGATGGGATCAGCAGAAGCCACGGTGTGTCTTGGGTGTTGAACGTGTGTCCCGCGGGGTCCTTTGAGGGGGTTCCCTGCATTCGAATTTTGTGGTCGTTATCTCGACGACGCCCTGTGAGATGGGGTATCCTGGCAAGACATATAAAGTCCATTCGCATCCAACATCCCCCTCAACTCTTCCTTCCACCCTCGCAGGGCGGCGTTACTCGGAAATATTCTGCGCGCTTTGTGGCCCGGCGGCGTCCACCGAGATTCGTCCTAAAACTGAGTTGACGATTTGGCTCTCCCAGGAATTTGGTTGGCCGGCGCACTGCATCTCACCAGAACCCAGCAAGACCCACCCGCCCCCACGCCTATCTCTGTATCCCCCGTAGCTCAAATCGCTCTTCCTCCCGCCACTCCCACTCTAGAGAGCCGGCAACGCACCCCGCCAAACCCCTATTCCACAAAGCATCTCATCGACTCCATTCAAACTGTCCGGCCTCACCCCCTCCAAATCTACCAGTGGACAAGGCAGGAGCCGCGGTTTGAACACCCCCTCTGGATCCTTCCGAAGGCAAGCAACCCACAACATGGCGTCTCCAGCGTATTCCACAATCAAGCTTTTCTCTGGTGAGCTTTTTGCCCTTGCCTTGCCTGGTCCTTAGAGTCACATCTTGGTCTGGAGCTGACGAGAACCGTTCGGTGAATCAGGGTCCTCACACCCGGAATTGGCGGCCCTCATCGCTAAGCGTCTGAGAATACCCCTTGCGCGAGCCAACATCGTCCAACCTCCTTCTGGAGAGACCAAGGTCACCATCGTCGAGAGTGTACGAGATTGCGATGTCTACATTGTCAACACTGGTGCGGGCTCTGTCAACACTTCTCTCATGGAGTTGTGTATCATGATTCACGCGTGCAAGGCAAGACTACATGCAAAAAAAAAACGATGACGTGCCAAAGCTGACCCAACTCAGATCGCTTCCGCACGAAGAATCACCGCTATCATCCCCCACTTCCCCTACGCTCGACAAGATAAGAAGGACAAGTCTCGAGCGCCCATCACAGCCAAGCTCGTCGCCAACATGCTGAGAGAAGCGGGTTGCGACCACGTTATCGTGAGTCTCTTATAAAAAATCCGGCCATGTCGGGGGCGCGATATCAAAGATAACGAGAGCTGACGACCGAGCCGTAGACTATGGACTTGCACGCTTCGCAAATTCAGGGCTTTTTCGATGTCCCCGTTGACAAGTACGTTTCATTGCATGTCCGATAGGCCCGGGACTTATGGCCGTGTGACGTAGCCTCTATGCCGAGCCTTCCATGGTTCAATATATACGGAACAACATCGAGGTCCGAGACTGTGTTATCGTTTCTCCCGATGCTGGTGGTGCTAAGCGGTTAGTCGACCCATTGCGAGTGTACCGAACTATGCTAATCTGCATTCCAGAGCCACCTCCATTGCCGACCGCCTCAATGTCGACTTTGCCCTCTTCCACAAGGAACGCAAGAAGGCCAACGAAGTCTCCCGCATGGTCCTCGTCGGAAGCGTCACGGGCAAGATTGCCATCCTCGTTGACGACATGGCCGACACTTGTGGTACCCTCGGTCTTGCCGCCAAGAACCTTTTGGAAGCTGGTGCTACCAAGGTGTACGCTTTTGCTACCCACGGTATCCTGAGTGGGCCTGCGTTGAAGGTGATTGCGGAGAGTGGGATGGAAAAGCTGGTCATTACCAACACAATTCCTCAATCGGAGAACTGCGAGCAGTGCGAAAAGATTGAGGTCGTTGATGTCAGTAGGGTGTTGGCTGAAGTCATCAGGAGGAGTCACTTTGGAGAGTCGGTGGTACGTCAACTACAGTTTCGCATTGTCTTCTTACTGACGAGCAATGCAGTCCTACCTCTTCCACGAGGTCCCCTACTCCAACGGTGTTGGTGCTTGAGGATGATGTCTTGGGCTGCCTGTGCCGAGCAAGAGCGCGAAGTGGGCGCTGTGTCGAGAAGAAGATTGTACAAATATCACGAGCCGAGTGCGGCGTCAGAAGTCAAGCAAGGCGGAATAATCTCATAAGGATTCTCTTTTTCTTCACAGAGATCCGAAAAAACCCCAAATACATTCAACATCTATTTCTTCATCATTTGATCTATGCAAGGGGCGTGTCTGACCGGCAACGTACTGTGCTGTGTGAGCAGTGCATGACATGGGGCCCGAATCTACAAGTCCTCTTTCAACTCTGGAAAGATCTAGCTGATTTATCCGTATACAGTCCGTCTAGGTTTCCCCTCGTCGCCATCTTCCTCCACCCCATCCTCGAGGATCTCAAGGGTCTTAGCCTCGTTTTCGGGATCAGCCGGTGGGTTGCTTGTCCCTGTCCCCTCCGCAGAGGCCGAAGACTCTGCCGCAGGGTGCAGCAAGTGCGGGTCTGGCCTGCTGGTGATCTTCAACTCGTCTCCCTCCAACGCGAGTTTGATGATTTCTCCATCACCAATGCTGCCATCCAACAGCTTGCTGGCAACCTTGTTTGTTACCACATCCCTGACGATTCTTGCTACCGCTCTCGCTCCAAAGTGCTCGCTATACCCCTTCCTCGCCAACCACGCCTTGACATCATCCCCGACGTCCAAGGTGATCCGCCTATCTTCGAGGCGTTTCTGGACTTCGCGGAGACGAAGGTCGACAATGTTGATAATGATGGATGGAGGGAGCTTGTTGAATATGAGCAGTTCGTCGAGACGATTGATAAGTTCGGGACGGAAGAAGCGGCCAACGTGGTCAAGGACGTTGGTGCGGGTAGCTTCAGTGATGCTTCCGTCTGGGTGGCAAGCGTCTGGTTCGTAAAGGGCTCTACAGTAGTGCGTCAGCTCAAATAGTCGTTCACAAGGCCAGGAGGACTCACTCTGAACCAAGATTCGAAGTCAAACAGATGATGGTGTTTTTGAAATTGACCTGCTTGCCTTGACCGTCTGTCAGGCACCCTTCGTCAAGGATCTGCAAGAGGACGTTGGCCACATCAGGATGCGCCTTTTCAATTTCATCAAACACCACGACCGCGTAGGGCTTTCGCCTGACAGCGTCACAGAGCTGCGAAGGCTCGCCGTGTCCGACATAGCCTGCGGGACTACCGATGAGACGGGAAACAGTGTGTTTGTCGTGGAATTCAGACATGTTGAGCTGGATCCTGACGAAATTGTCAGCTGATGTTCAGGTGTAAGGCGAGGAGACTTACAAAGCCCGTCGTTCATCGGCAAACAAGAATTCGGCCAAACTCTTGGTCAGCTCCGTCTTACCGACACCGGTAGGACCCAGGAAGAGGAAGGACGCCAGAGGTCGGGTGGGAGACTGCAAGCCAGCGCGAGAGAGACGGATGGCATTGGCCACAGAGTGTACAACTTGATCTTGGCCAACAACGCGTTTTTTGAGCGAATCTTCCATCTGGGACAGTCAGTTGGAGTTGAATGGACCAAAGACGACTCACATGTATGAGGCGTTCACGCTCTCCCTTGAGTAGGTTGTTTACAGGGATACCAGTCGCCTTGCCGACACTACAGCGATCGTCAGCTGAGGTTCTTAGATTGCAATATAGACTTACACAATGGCAATATCCTCGCTAGTCACCCTATCCTTGACTGCCATACCTGGCTCTGCCTCGTTCTCTGCAACTAGCTCCGCCTGAGCCTTCGGTAGCCTGCTCTGCAGCTGAGGGATGGTGGAGAATCTCAGCCTCGACGCCTTTTCAAACTCTCCATTCCTCTGTGCCATCTCCAAATCAACGTTTGCTTGTTCAATTTGCTCCTTGATCTCCTTGATTTCTCCCACTCTTTCTCTCTCCTGGGACCACAAATCAACCAGGCGCTTCTGCTCCTCCTTCTTGGTCTCCAGCTCTTCGTCTACCTTTTCCAGCCGACTGGCAGAGAAGGGATCGTCTTCATTCTTCAATGATTCTCGCTCAATCTCGAGGGTGACGATCTCGCGATCCAGCTTTTCGAGCTCGGCAGGACGAGACTCTTGAGCGAGCTTTAGCGCGGAGGATGCCTCGTCGACCAAATCAATAGCCTTGTCGGGAAGGAAACGGTCGGAGATGTAGCGATCCGAATAGACAGCCGCAGTGACGAGAGCAGAGTCGGCGATCTGCACACCAAAGTGAACTTCAAATTTGGACTTTAATCCTCGCAGAATAGATATGGTGGACTCGACACTTGGTTCGTCCACGGGGATTGGCTGAAAGCGGCGCTGCAGAGCCGCATCTTGCTCAATGTACTTTTTGTACTCGTCGAGCGTTGTCGCTCCAACGAGCTGAAGACCACGGGCAAGGGCAGGCTTGATCATGTTGCCAGCATCGAGGGAGCCTTCAGCTTTGCCAAGATTGAGGAGGGTGTGGAGTTCGTCGATAAAGACAATAACGTTGCCTTCTTCCGCCTCTATATCTTTGAGAAGGGCTTTGAAGCGGGATTCGAATTCGCCCCGGACGCCAGTGCCGGCCATGAGAGCTGCCAGGTCAAGGGCAAGAAGACGCTTCCCATGTAAAGACTGTGACTGTCAGTATGTGTCCTCCGAGTGGATCATATGACTTACCTCTGGCACTTCTCTGTTGACGATCCTAGTGGCCAATCCCTCGAGGATGGCGGTTTTACCGACACCAGGCAGACCAAGAAGCACGGGGTTGCTCTTTGTCCTCCTGCTCAGAATCTGGATCGTTCTCTTGATTTCCTCGTCTCTACCGATAACAGGGTCGAGCTTGCCTTCATGAGCCAGCTCGGTCAGATCTTGTGAGAACTGTCTTAGTGTCTCGCCCTTTTCTGGCCCCTGGGCCTGGCCGCCAGGAAAGCGCATGCCACCGAAGCCTCCGGGGCCACCGCCGCCAGGAGGTTGCGAAGCATACCCACGTGCAAGGGCGGGGGCAGTGTGGGGAGCGGCGAGGGAGAGGGAGGGGGGAGATGGTCGGACGAGGCGAGCTGCTCGGATGGCCGGGGCAAGGTGTGGGGGGATGGAGGGGATGCGGGCTGTTCTGATGAGGTGTTTTCGTGCAAGCATGATGGGTGAGGTGGTCTATAGAGAGGGAGGTATGTTGGTTCTTATATAGCCACGTCGACCATACCCATGGAATATTCTGGTATACCCTAGTGGCGACTGGACAATGCTCAAGTCGGCGATGTCCGCAGGTACAGAAGAGACGCAATCGTCACTGCTGCATATCATCAGCCAGCCAGGCTGTATCAATATGTTACTCTGTGAAGCGTCATGTCTTGCAGATCGAGAGGGAAGTGGGTGACTAGCACCACGACGGGTTCGCCTGGATATCTCATTGGGCTCAATGATGGCTGATTTGAGAGTGGCCAGACGGCACATGCGACGCGCGCGCGAGAATGTTGATTGAATGCCACTTTCTTTCCTTGGTCCTCGCAGACTGATTGATCTCAAGCAAGCCTCCACCCGCCACCAAGTCCAGCAAAAGACCAAGCCCAAATGACAGACACCAAGACGGAAACACGCCATGAGTCCATGACTATGTAGTCGAGCCTGGACCAGCAAGCAAGATCTCTCTGTGCCTTCAGGGTCGCGTTTGGGGTGTTGTTTGTGCGCATATTTGATCCCGTCTCGTCTTTTCCGAGCCCATCCATGCACTGGCAGGGAGGAGGAGGGGCATGCATGGGGGTGGGCGGGATAGATAAAGAGGAGGACAATAGGATGCGCCGGTGGACGGATGCATGTGGGATGACGGATAGCGGTCTGGGGCACACTCCTAAATACTGGAACACGGGGGAGAGCTACTTGGACCAGCTGCCCCTTTGTCTTTCTCTTTCTCTTTTCTGCATCAATCCATTCTATTTCTTTTCGCTTTCCCTCATATCTCACAGTCAGACCGGCAAACTCAACCACACTCTTTTGTACTAAATACCGCACCCGTTCAAGAACGACCTTCGACCACCATCCCCAGCACACCCCCCCCCGGTCACTTGACAACCACCAGAACGACAGCAACCACCACAACAATCCACCATGCGTCTCTCGACCGCCCTCCCCCTCGTCCTCCTCCCCGCTCTTACCCTCGCCCACAATGACCCCCTCCGCCCAGCACACCACAGAAGACAGCTCGCACGACACGGGCATGTAGCTTATGGCAAGCGAGTCCCGGCCTTTGATGACATTTTTGGTGGTGGCAGCACTTCTAGCAGCGTATGTCTTTTGGGTATCATCGGGTGCTCTACCGTGCGTCGATCCATGTTGAGATCAAGCTCACGCTCCTGCAGGACGCGGCCACATCGACAGCGTCCGACGATGGAAAGTCAACATCAGGGGCCGCCGCCGCGATTTCAGCCGTAGCGTCAACCTCGGAGGCAGCCACGACGACCAACAAGGCCGAGGCGTCGACGTCGACAGCTGATACTTCCTCGACAGCTTCCGGAACATCTCAAGCTGCGACGAGCACGGTCAATCCAAGCAGTGCAGGAAAGTCTTCCGCTGCTACCTCTGCAACCGGCAGCTCTAGCGCCTCTGCTTCGGCATCTGCATCAGCCTCGAGGTCGGGTTCAACTTGTAAGTCTTCTCCCAGGGGTCTGCAGGGGAAGAGCCATACCTGCCCATCTCGTACATCCTGCGATATGGCTGCACGTCTGCGTTCTGCACCCCGTGGCCCGTGCGTCAAGTTTTCACGCTAACATCTTTCTAGCGGGCGCTGGTTCTACCCCTGCTTCGAGCCCCTCCACTTCTTCTTCCCAGTCCACTTCGTCCAGTCCCTCAAAGGTCACCGAGAACACCTCGGGATCTTCTTCTCCCACCACCTCCGCCGCCCGATCCGTCCAATACACCACCGACTCTTCCGGTCAGACCCAGATGATTACGGTCGTCCTGACCGAATCTGCCGCCGACGACGACGACTCCTCTACTGCGAATGCTGCTGCTACTGCCTCGTCTACCGCGGCGACGAAAAAGGATGACGGCTCGCTGTCTACTGGTGCGATCATTGGTATCTGTGTCGGTGTCGGTGTTGCCGTGTTGGCCTTGATTGGACTTGCACTTTGCAGAATGAGGAGGCGAAGCTCGGACGAGGACGAGGCTATTCGATGGTACGTGGCAAGATGTGCGAACGGAGAAAAAGCTGACGTCCCCAGGCCTGAATTGAACCGTCACGGCGACTCTGATGTCCACCACGCCCTTCCTGCCCGCGAGACTGGTCAACACGGCTTTGAAACCAGCGGCATGTCTCGCCCCCTCTCTTCCGGTTCTTCCATTCACTACGCAGACTACCCCGCCGAGTACGGCTCCGCTGGCGGAGACTATCTCGGAACACCCATGCCCCATACCCCTGTCCCCATGGCTCTCGGCGGCTCCAACTTTGGCGCGGGCTCGACTTTGGAAGACGAGTACGATGAAAAGTACTCTCCTGCTCATCTTGACCACTCGGCCACCCACCTTGCCGGCGGTCCCCCTAGCCCCAACCCCGACAGTCTCAACGAACACGACAACTACTCATCCTTGCCCCCTCCTGTCCAGCCGACTCCTGACGGTCTCGGTATGGGCAATATGATGTACGGCCAGGGGCACCCCAGCCCAAACCCGAGCGAGCACGCGATGCTGGACAATGAGGATGTCTACGGCGGGATGGGAGCGCAGAGTGTACAGATGACCCAGATGGGTGCAAGGGGAGGGGTCACATACCCACATGCCGCCCTTACTTCCCCCGTGCCAGAGTATGGCATGGAATACCCTGACTACCCTCGAGGTGGTTATTAGGTTGGAATGAACAGGGGGTTTGAATGTTTCTTGCCGAAACATGTTTCGAGTTGTTGCTGAGCAACGCTTTCTATATCTCTTCTATGTGTTCACTTCTTGAAGGAGAGCCGTGTATATACCGATTACTCGAGTTGATGCTGTGAGGAATAATAGTCCCCTTCTCATATCACTTTTGACAAGCTCGGACCTGATTCAAGTAGTAAAGTACAAGGTACTCTGAAATAACGATACAAGGGATCTTTACCGTATATATGTATACCCTGCCTATGACTTGCATCATTTCCGTTTTTGGCTCTTCCTTTCCTTTTTCCCTTATCCCGTTGATCAATCTATGTGCGCGAAATGAGTAATGGTAACAGTCAACAGTTATACTCTATTGTACATCCAGCCGGCACATTGTGTATCGTTTATCGTATTCGTGTATACATCCCTAGCAGTCTCTATTTTGGAACCTGAAGCGTTGAAATCGGGCAACTAGGCGAGCTTTTTTGATCTTACAGACTTTTCACCAGCAGCCTCGGTCCTATCGCCATTTCGTATCATTAGCGCCATTCGCCCACAAACAATTCTCCCAAAGACTTCTGACTCACGGACTCGCAGCCCCTGCCTCTCCCTTCTTGAAGCCGAAAGCATCCCTGTGACCCTTGACCATATGGGCGCCCCTCTTGAATGCGCCTTGCATGTTCTGAATGTATTCGTCCCTCGAGGGGGCAACGCGGTCGGTCTTGATGGCGACACGAGAAGCAGAGGCGTCATATGAGACGTTATTGTTAAAGTTCTTGGAAGGGGCGGTAGCGTTCGAGTGGGGGTCAAGGAAGTGGGCATAAGGGCGCGCGAAATCTGGTAATGTATTGGCACGCACGAACAAGGATGGCAGGAGATGGGATGGGAAACTTACGGACGGCAGCGCAGAATATAGCCAGTATGACCAGGGAAGAGATGATATCGAACCAAGAGCTATCTGGAGTTAATAAATAATTCTGATGTGTTCCTCGCTGCAATGATAAGGGTCTTGGTGAGGAGAGTGGGATAGCTGGTTGCCAGTCACGAGCAAGTAGTAGGCGAAAGCGCAGCAGCAGTCTCTCGTGACCCCACAGTGGCCCCGAGATCTCTCAGGTGAGGTTGACTCAAGATGATACAGGGGAATTCCACTTACCCCATGATGACTGTTTATGCTCTCGAGGGATTATGGACTGTGGAAACCAAACAAAGCAGTGAAAGTGACATGTATGGGACATTGGCAGCACGAGATTTGATCCCGCGTAAACAAAGGTCCCGCTCAGATTTCCATTCTCTCTTTCACCATTCTCACTTTTCTCGTTCACTCCCGAGCGGTTTCTGGAAGCAAAGAAAACCCGACATGTCTCTTCCCTACCCCCCGACAGCTCTCAGGAGCACCCAAGATTACGCCGTCATTGCCTCGGGACCAGAAATCTTCCTGTACGACCCCAAGACAGACAAAGTGGCCGCTTCCAGCTCCAACGCCGGGACAGGCAACACCAAGCACACCGGCCTGATCAGATTCATTGCTGTCTCTGATGACGCCTCCCTCATCGTCACTCTTGGCGACGACAAGTCTCTCAAAGTCTGGGACGTGAAGAAGGAAGGAGAAAATCTGTCGTTAAAGTTGAGGAGCGACAGGACAGTGGTCAAGAAGGGGAGTGATCTTTGTTTCGGTCCGGATGGGAGTATCATTTTGTCTGATAAAGTGGGAGACGTCTACTCGTCAGTTTGAACCTCTACAAGTTTTGGAACAACAGCTTACAGACATGTACAGATACCCTCTCGACCCTATCCCAGCCTCCGCCGAACGACCCCCTCAGCACGCCCTCGTGTCTGACCCTTCCCAGAACCCTGATGCCACCTACCTACTCGGTCACGTCTCCATGATCAACGCCCACCTCATGTCGGCTGATGGAAAGAGGCTCATTACGGCGGACAGGGATGAGCACATCAGGCTGAGTCGGTATCCCAAGGGATATGTGATTGACCGATATCTGTTTGGGTCGGACGGGTAAGTCCATCATGTCATGTCTGTAAAGGCTTACTGAACATTCTGGAGATTTGTATCTGCACTTCATATCCCTCGCACGCATCCCAACACTCTCCTCGCAGCCGGCGGTGAACCTTTCCTCAACATCTTCTCCCTTTCCCCGGCTCTTGCCTCTTCCCCACTCATCGCTTCTATCCCCATCTACCCCTCCATCCTTTCCCACCGTCGAGTTCGCTCTCACCTCCGGCGCCACAAGCCCGGATCTCGTAAGCTCAAGCTCGAACCTGCGCACGAGGACGTGAAAGAGGAGGACAAGGCGTTCTACGAGGCAGAAGACGGTTACATGCTGCCAGCTGGGCAAGGAGTGTGTGTCAAGAAGATTTGGACTCTCCAAGTGGGAGAGGAGGTGGTGGTTGTCTTCTTCTCGGAGGGTGCGGCTTCGCTGCATTCGTTCGTCTTGCCGAAGGAATCCGAGATCAAGGGGTCAAAGCCACAGGTCCACACACTTGCCGTCGACTATCCGGTGATTGAATTCACCAACGTTCCCTCCTCCTCCACTTCGGACCACGTCAACCTCTTGGTGTCGCTCGATACCGCCTGGGACGTATTCAAGAAGAACCCTGGACCGGGGACGGAAGGTCGACAAGATGTTGTTGAGAAGCAGGATCTTTCAGAAGAAGAGAAGGAGAGTCTGAGGAAGGTGCTCGTGGTCGTCAAGGTCGCAAAAGACGGAAGTGTAAGTCCCGCATCCAGAGACAAATCGACAGTGATTAATGGTATATGTAGCTTTCACTTGAGCAATCACCTCCCACGTCCCTCACTTCCTCCTTCCCCACCACAACCCCTTCCCAAATCTCCCAAGCCAATTTGTATCCCCTCCTTGGCGTCCTTCCTCGCTGGCCCGGATACGAAGAGGAAGAAGACGCTCCCAACTCTTCCGTCCCCGGCGGCGAGCCCATCCCCGCTCCTGCCGCCGGCCCTGGCGGTGCGTACACCAACGAGGAGCTGGAATCGATGAACACCAAGCAGCTCGGGCGACTCAAAGCTTCAGGTGTGGATGTGGGTGCGATAATGTTGAGGAGGAAGAAGGAGGCAAAGGAGGAGAACAGGAGGATCCAGAAGGAGAAGGAAGAGAAGAGGAAGGCGAAAGCGGCTGAATGGGGAGCTGGCAGTGGTCAGAAAAAGAATGAGTGGAGGGGCGAGAGACCAGCCAAGAAGAAGAAGGTGGCGGATGAGGAGACTGCCGCCAATGAATAGCCAGAATTTGTGTTTGGTGTCCTCTTCTCTCTTCTGTTTTGGAGTTCAACTTGCATATGCATCGCATTAATTGTCTCTTAGCCCTTGTCGCCCACCTCATTCTGTATACGGCTTGCTACAGTACATGTTGGATGTTGGGATGGGATGCATGTCGACGTTATGACTATTGTGTACAACGGGCCCCTCTGGTTACCGAATGGAGAGATGCTGGTGAACGTTTGGCGATTGATGAAACTAAGCCTTGGGCGCAGGAGCGAGACCTCGCAAGGTCAGATCATAGACGACATCTTCACATCTCTTGAGGTCGTACTTCAGCGAGTCGAAGCGCCTGCGGAGAGCATCATTTCGCAAGTTCAGCTGCGTGCGCCCTCGTCAGTTCTCTTTCACTAGCCCGAGTTGATTACAGGTCGTATGTCGGGACATACAAGGGAGTAAGAGGAAAAGATATCATTGACGAAAGCCGAAATCTTGACGGGCAAGTCAAAGTTCTGGGAGGTGACGGCGTTGATGGACAGACGAGGCTACACCATTGCGATCAGCTTGACGTGTATGGCTTGACAAGGTGTCTCGCACGAGTTCGTTGACAGCGCCTATTACACCTTGAAGGTAATCTTCAGCGGACAGTATAAGGTTTTTGGTGGTATCTTGTTCCACTGTGATACGCAATAACGTCAGCCTTGGAACTCTGTCCAATGCCCCTCATGATCTTCTTTCGCATGCAGCAAATAGAATATGAGGCCAAGGGATACAAGTGAACAATACGCACATCCAATGAGGTCCGAAACGGTGAAAGCTGGTGTCAGCTCGTCGAAAAGCATAAATCGAGAGAAGACGATGGTCTGGGTAAGGGAGCGGTTGATGGGGCCGATAGCATAGGAGTATCTACACCACATGGATTAATATCCATGTTAATGGAAGTCTATAGTGGAAGTCGGGAGAAAGACGTACCTGTGAAATTCACCCTCAGGGATCAAGCTGGCGACACTGGCCCATAGAGGCTTGATGTCCCTGGTGATCTCCAACGACTTTTCGCAGATCGCCGCGTCTATCCGACCACCATGGTCAGCGTCAGCTCTCTATATGTACATCGAATCCAAGGCGCCTGTTGGTGCGGGTTACACTGCGAAGCACAAATGGCACTTCGATGACACAGGACATACGCTGGGTAGAGGGAGCAGAGTGTATTTTGTTGACGGTGCTCCACGCAGATCGAGCAAGATCCTCGATGGGTTCGAGCGACTCTTTGACTTGCTACACAAATCCAAAGACGTAACGTCAGCACGCATATACTTTCCAGTCATGACCAGCCCGTCGGCGTGAGAGTGGATGACCGGCAGCGCGACCGACCTTGCGAAGTTCTTGGTCCTTTTCGAGGTTGGCGATAGCAGATGCGAGGGTGTTGCTGACGGACTCTGTTCGAGAAGACATACTGGCGTTGTGGCGGTTGTACTTGTCCAGTGCTCGCAAGATACGTACCTGGGCGACTTTGGAATTGCAGAGTGGAGGCCGGGAGCTGATGCGGGAGAAAAGGGAGAAAAGCGCTGCACTTAATAAACGCGTCGCGAAACGCGTCCTGACCCTGAACTTTCCATCTCTCTTCTCTCTTTCTTCTCCATCCGCCATGTCCTCCCCTCCCTACCCCCCCTCCTCCCAGCAGCGTCCCAAGCGGCCCCGCTCCCGCTCCAGCTCCCCCACCGCCGGGCCATCGGGTCTGCGCTCTTCCCCGCCTCCCTCGTCTCTACCACCATCCTCCCTGCCCCCTTCTTCGCCCCCTCAGCCATTCTCTGACTTTGGAGATGACCCCGCAGTGGGCGATGATGAAGCCGAGGCTAGGCAAGTAGGCAGGGAGAACAACGATGATGATGATGATGAGGGCGAAGACTTGTTCAACGATGACATGCTTGCGTGAGTTTTCTCGCGCGAATGCGCCATCGGGCAGTACCTGACGCGTCTGATCAGCGACTATGACGAAAATGTCGGCCTCGACACATACTCTCAAGCAGACATCGATGATCGATCGTCCGTCGCTGGCCCTACGCGTGGCGAACGACTCGCGGCTGAACGTCAAATGGAGCTCCGAGACCGTGGCATCTCTGGTCGGCGCGCAGGCCGTCGAGATCACATGCCGGCGTTCCTCCAGTCTGATGACGATGAGGCTGAGCCTTACGGCGATGACCCGCTGGCTGGAATCAACATGAGGCGAAGAAGGAGGCAATATGATGAGAGGATGGATATGGATGATGTGCAAGAGGAAGAGGAAGAGCTGTCGTTGGAGCATTTGGGAGATGTCAAGGCGGCAAGTATCTCCGAGTGGGTCTCGAGAGATGCGGTCAGGAGGGCAATCCAAAAGCATTTCAGAAGCTTTTTGATGACTTACCTCGACCCCAATACCGGACAGTCTGTCTATGGTCAAAGGATCAAGCATCTTGGTGAAGGTGAGTGATGAATCTAAGGTTGTGACGGCCTGTACTGACGTCTTCATAGTCAACTCTGAATCTCTCGAGGTTTCATATATCCACCTTGCCAACGCTCGTCCCATCTTGGCCTATTTCCTCGCCAACTCTCCCCAACCTGTGCTTGAGCTTTTCGACCAAGTTGCCCTCGACGCCATCCTCCTCTACTATCCCTCCTACGACCGTATCCACTCTGAAATTCACGTTCGTATCACTGAACTCCCTACGTCCTTGTCTCTTCGAGACTTGCGTCAATCCAACTTGAATTGTCTCGTACGAGTGTCCGGCGTCGTCACCCGGCGAAGTGGTGTCTTCCCCCAGCTCAAGTATGTCAAGTTTGACTGTCAAAAATGTGGCGCCACACTGGGCCCGTTCTTCCAAGACACAAATAAGGAGCTCAAGATATCCTTTTGTTCGTCCTGTGAGAGTCGAGGGCCCTTCTCGGTCAACTCTGAACAGACTGTATATCGAAACTACCAAAAGATGACTCTGCAGGAGTCTCCCGGCAGTGTCCCTGCAGGTCGTCTGCCTCGTCACCGAGAAGTGATCCTTCTTTGGGACTTGATCGACATGGCCAAGCCTGGTGAAGAGGTCGAGATTACCGGTATTTATCGTAACAACTTTGACGCATCCCTCAACTCGAAGAACGGTTTCCCAGTCTTCTCTACTGTCCTCGAGGCCAATCACATCAACAAGAAGGAGGATCTCTTTGCTGCTGTCCGATTGACGGAAGAGGACGAAAGGTTGATCCGAAGCATGGCTCGAGACGACCGTATCGCCAAGCGAATTGTCAAGTCGATTGCTCCTTCCATCTACGGGCATGACGACATCAAGACGGCCATCGCCCTATCTCTTTTCGGGGGTGTCCCCAAGGATATCAACCGAAAGCATCGAATCCGAGGTGACATCAATGTCCTCTTGCTTGGTGATCCCGGTACTGCCAAGTCTCAATTCCTAAAGTATGTCGAAAAGACTGCGAACCGTGCCGTGTTTACTACCGGTCAGGGTGCTTCGGCGGTTGGTCTTACCGCCTCTGTGCGTAAAGATCCCATCACTCGAGAATGGACGCTCGAAGGTGGTGCATTGGTGCTTGCCGATAAGGGCCACTGTCTCATCGACGAGTTTGACAAGATGAATGACGCCGACCGAACGTCCATCCACGAAGCCATGGAGCAGCAATCCATTTCCATCTCCAAGGCTGGTATCGTCACCTCCCTCCAAGCCCGATGTGCCATCATCGCTGCCGCCAACCCTATCCGAGGTCGTTACAACCCGACCATTCCTTTCCAGCAGAATGTCGAGTTGACAGAACCGATCCTGTCGCGATTCGATGTGCTGTGCGTGGTCAAGGATGCGGCGGACCCGGTGCAGGATGAGATGTTGGCGCAATTCGTAGTGGGAAGTCATTTGAGGAGTCATCCAAATTTCAACGCGGAGAGCGATGAGGTGAATGTTTCTACCTCGGTGGATGCCGATGTGAGTGCTTTTTTTTTACTTGATGATGCGCGGCTGACAGCGAACAGATCATTCCCCAAGATCTCCTTCGAAAGTACATCATGTACTCCAAGGAACACATTCGTCCTCAGCTCCACCAACTTGACCAAGACAAGCTCGCTCGTCTCTACGCCGACCTTCGACGTGAATCTCTCGCTACGGGCTCTTTCCCCATCACTGTCCGACATTTGGAGTCGATGATCAGAATGGCGGAGGCGAGTGCCAAGATGCATTTGAGAGATTATGTGCGAGGGGATGATATCGATCTGGCCATTCAAGTGGCTGTTGGAAGCTTTGTCAATGCGCAAAAGATGTCTATCAAAAAGACTCTTGAACGAGTGAGTCGCCTTTTCACAACATATTTATCATTGCTGACGATGATATAGGGCTTCCGTAAATACGTCCACCAGGCCACCGACCACGAGGAACTCCTTTCCTTCCTCCTGGGCAGCATCGTTAAAGAAAAGGTGCAGCTTTACCGCCACGCCCACGGCGAGAACCCCAACAAGGTGCAGGTCAAGGTCTCGCAGCTCGAGAGCCGGGCCAAGGAGCTGGAGATCTACGATGTGCAGCCGTTCTTGAGAAGCAGGCTGTTTGGGACGAATGGGTACAAGGTGGTGGAGAGTGACGGGGTGAGAAGCGTGGAGAAGACTTTCACTGTGGGAAATTAATAAAGCCTTGGGGGCCCGGTGAATGGGTCATAGATCTAGTCTTTTGGTATCTTTCGTACGCTTTTGAATGTAGATCTTGTATGGCTATAACGTCTTTCTGTATGTCGGGCCAAACAGTGCATTCGAACTTGACGCATCATCAGAAAGTTAGGGACAGATATGGAAATACACGACTCAAAACCTAATACAAGATTCCCTTTTGTTTTCTATCGACTTTTACTACCCAAGCAGCACATCTTGCTCAGTCGTGGTATCTGCCGGTGAAACCGGGCACAATCTGGGCGTTCTCTCCCTCTCTGTGCGCTGACCTCTTGCGCTGCTGCCACTTCTGCTTGAGCGTGACAAACTCTGGCGTTTGATCAGCTTCAATCCCTTCAGTACGCAAGGGGTGACTTACCGCCCATAGTAGGCACTTTGTGTCCACCCTTTTCAAACTCATTCTGGGTGAACCCTTCGCGCTTGAGCAAGGGGCTGTCGACGGTGCTTAGTGGAGTGTCGTTTTGAGGTCGGGCAAAGTAGAGAAGACCAAGACGGTCGAAGGACTGTTGGTCCTTGGGCGGCAGGGAGACCTGGCTTCTCGTCAGCCAAGAACGTTGGAGAAAAGAGCTGAGGGACGTACTCGGTGGATGGTGGACTTGATGTAACCACCAGTGAGGAAAGACAAGGCATCACAGGTGTTGACAGTCAACGACCCATCAAGCGGCTTGGCCCATTTCCAATCGCCTGTCGCGTGGTCCTTGATCTGGAGCGCTGCCACCGGCTGCCTGAACAGCAGCGTCAACGTCCCCAGATCCGTGTGGCCGATACTGTAGAGGCCATCATCTGCCTTAAGCTTGGCGATCTCCTCCTCGTTAAAGTGGCGGTACATCATGTAACGAAGGTGGTCTTCCGACTGCTGCTCGTACTTGTGAAGGTTGGTGAAAAAGTCTTCAGGGAGCTCTAGAGCGAGGGCGATGAGGATATGAAGGGGGTCGAGGACGTTGGTGTGAAGGGAGCGAGCAAAAGACTCAACTTCGCCGATGCTAGACTGGATCACCTCGGGATGGGCACGCTCATGGAAGCCATCAAATTCTGTAAGATCGGGTCAGTAAACGTCTAAATGAGAAGAGTAGACTTGCTAGGGATGTTGTACACCTCAGTTCTGTCCTTGAGACCGCCGCCGAGTACGGCTCTTCCAGCAGGCCTATAGCCATTGTACTCGCCGTTCTCGAGGTCGGGGGTGTACTTGCTCTTTTCCTCGAGGGGCAAGTCGTAAAACTTGCTGCCCAAGGCGAACTGGCGGTCGACCTTCTCCTGGGGGATGCCAAAGTTGATGACGTAGAAGAAGCCCTTCGTGCGGATAGCCTCGAGGAGGGTTTGTGCGAGCTCTTTGCGGCCCTCGGGGTCGTTGAACTTTGCGAGGTCGATGGTGGGCACTGGCTATGGTGAGCGGGGCTGCCTGGGTGGGATATGATTACGTACGGTCTGCCCAGTCGAGGTCCTCTTTTGTCTCTGGGACGTAGTCGTAGTGGAATACCTGGGGGACGGGGACGGGCATTGTATCGTGTCGTGCTTGTGCTTGTGAGAGTGAAAATGGCAGCCCTATATAGCCCCCGTCGGCGATACCCGACGCTGCAGATGACGAGCTCGGAACGCCGGTAGAGCACAGATGGCGCAATGTGGGCGTCCTTTGGTTCGGCAGCGCCGGGTGGTGGTGCGATGGGAATGACAAATTGGGGGACCACCGAGATCGGCTACCAGCAAATCACCGACTCGGATTGCAGATAAGAGCGCTTTTATTTCAGCATCGATGTCTCACTCGAGCTTCAAAAAAGTTCGCTTCAAGGTCTCATGGCGTGATACAACATGTACGTGATCCACCGTTCCCTCATAGCGTGCCCAAAAGACAGTCTTATAAGCCTAGCTGAGATGAAGAGGCCCTCATTTGCCCAACGCTCTGCAAACACACCACATTATTATGGGCGCGTTACAAAGAGCAAGACAAAGAAGCAAGGTCGTGGACGTGGTGGTCGACGTCTTTGACTGGTACCGTGAGTCGTTCAGGTACTGTGCCCCGGGACAGCGGTTGACAATCTTTGTAGCTGCGCACTACCCCAAGCAGGAGCGTAAACTACTACGTAAGATGGACATCGGCATCCTCATCTTTGGTTGTCTGAGTTGTGAGTGGCTTTGCAGTGCTCTCCTGCATGGCCTCTAACACAGTGTAGTCTTCTGCAAGTATCTCGATCAGACCAACATCACAAATGCCTATGTGTCTGGTATGGAGGAAGACATTGGGGCTACCGGCAACGACCTGAATTACTTTAACGTGGCTTGTACTTATCATCTCTCGCTGCCACACCAGAGTCAAGTTGACATCTTTCAGACTTTACCGCCTATGTCATTGGACAGATACCACTGATAGCCCTCCAGTCAAAGCCTGCCCTGTGAGTACATTACTGAGGTAGTAGGCCATCGTTGATGCTTGCTCAAGAGCTCCTTACCTTCTGCCGACCATGGAAGTCATCTGGGCCATCCTCACTTTTGTCCAGTGCCGAGTCACCAAACCTTGGCACTTGTACATCCTCCGTGCTCTTCTGGGATTCTTCTCTGCTCGTGAGTTCACTACACTCCACATCTGGCACATGACTAATAGAGATGTAGCCTCGTTTGGCGGAACCCATCTTGTTCTCGGAAGTTGGTACAGAAAAGAAGAGCTTTTCAAGAGGGCCGGCGTTTGGTTCACTGGTAACGCTCTTGGTAGCGCCTGCGGGTACGTCTGATCCTATTTTTTGAACAATGACTTACAGAAGTCCAGCGGCTACATCCAGGCAGCTGCCTACAAGAACCTCGAGGGCGTCGGAGGCATGCGTGGCTGGCGCTGGCTTTTCGTCATCAATGGCATAGTCACCCTCCCCGTCGCCGCCATCGGCTTTGCCCTCTTCCCCGGACTCGTCAACTCGCCCCGACGATGGTGGTGCACCGAGGAAGAATACGAGCTCGCCAGGACGAGGCTGTCAAAGGACCATGGAGCAGACCAGGGAGTTACGTGGCAGACAATCAAGGATGTGTTGAGGAAGCCCATGATCTGGATCTGTGTACCGTCCTATATGTGAGTCCTTCTCTGGACAGAGGAGATCAAGGCGCTGACTGAGAATAGCTTCTTATGCCAAGCGTCGTACTGGACAGGGTACATGAGTCTTTGGCTCAAGCGCGACACCAACTACTCTGTCGAGCTCATCAACATCCTTCCCACTTTCTTGTACCTCATCCAGGCTATCGCCTCTTGGGTTGGCACGACTCTAGCCGGTGCACTCAGCACTAGGGTCTTGTGGACGTTCCAGGCGTTTGCCATCATCTTTCCCACGATTCTGCTGTGTATCTGGAACATTCCGAACGGGCTCAAATTCTTTGCATTCTACTTTTCCGGGTTCCATTACATGGCTTCTCCTATCTTTGTGAGTCATCTCCTTCAATCCAATCAAGGCATCAAGACATATACTGACTCTATAACAGTACTCTTGGATAAATGACACCCTCCGCTCCTCTCCCGCAGAACGAGGCTTGATCATCTCCGCCTGTATGACCCTCGGATACACTTTCTACATCTGGGTTCCCCTCTTTACCTTTCCCACCGTCGAAGCACCCCGCTACCCACACGGCTATCCTCCTTCCATAGTGTTCGCAGCAGCACTGTACCTCTTGGTGCTCTTTGGAATGTGGTATATGGAGAAGCATCCGGCTGTGCCAGAGGTGCAAGAGGGAGATATTGAGAGGAGGAGCCAGGAGAGTGAGCAGGAGGGGGCGAGGACACCGGGAAGCGAGTATGAGGATGAAAAGGACGCTTCTGAGGTAGGGAGCAAGGAGATCAAGGGGACCGTCGTGCTCGGCCGGGAAGCCGAGGCGTTCACTTCGGTGGGAGTACAGACGGCCAAAATAGGTGCATAGAAAAGATACGTCAGATTGTTTGTTCCGGTTTCAGGGTTATGTATGTTTTCTAGACGATAATGTTGTACGCTGCTGTTTGATGGATGCTGTAGACACTAGATAGACTTATCTCGCAATGTCACGAGAATCGAGGGGCTACACTTCCGGGTCTACATAGCATCATCATCAATATTGTCTCGACAACACCGGTCAGGGCCAGGAAAGAAGGTAATCAGAAGCAGATTGCTTCAAGATCTAAGGTGACTATAAATGCCAGCATATTCTAGAGCAAGACTTCAGTTATGTACGTAGACGTCTTTCATCTCGTCAGTGTCCGTCGTCACTCAACCCGGCTGACGTTTACTTACGTAATCAGTTCTCCCAACGCGACGCGTCCGCCGCCGATCTCTGCTGCACTCAGCTCCGGTCATTTAAATTGTCCGCCTTCAAAACCTCTTCATAGCCAACATAAACACTGCCCCCCCTCCCCAGATGGCGTCGTCATCATCCACACTACCGCGCCCACCAGCTACGGCGAAGCACGCCGATGCTGAGGGCTATGAGATGCCTTGGTCCGTCTCCCTCTTTGCTCACAAAGCCACGCGCCTAGCTGACATGACTCACCCCCAGGGTCGAGAAATACCGCCCTGTCCTCCTCCAAGACATCGTAGGCAACAATGATACCATCGAGAGACTCAAAGTCATTGCCGAGGATGGCAATGTTCCTCATATCATCATCTCTGGAATGCCGGGTATTGGAAAGACGACTAGTATACATTGTCTGGCGCATGCGCTGTTGGGTGACGCGTATAAGGAGGGAGTCTTGGAGCTGAATGCCTCTGATGAACGGTAAGCGCTTCTGCCAATCATGAAAGAGATCACTGTTGATCAAAGGTCAGTGGTATCGATGTGGTTCGAAATAAGATCAAGACATTCGCACAACGAAAAGTGACACTTCCTTCAGGAAGGCACAAGATCATCATCCTTGACGAAGCCGACTCGTGAGCACTCACGCAAGCTGCTAGAGTCTGAGCTGATGCGGTCGGCCCCAGCATGACAGCAGGTGCTCAACAAGCCCTTCGGCGTACAATGGAGATCTACTCCAACACCACTCGCTTCGCTCTCGCCTGTAACATGTCGAACAAGATCATTGAACCTATCCAAAGTCGATGTGCCATCTTGCGGTACGGTCGTTTGAAGGACGCGGAGGTGTTGAAGAGGCTGAAGGAGATTTGTGAAATGGAGAAGGTATGTGCTTGTGCTTCGTTCTCAAGATCCAGAGGGCTAACTCTCGAGACCAGGTCGAGTACAACGACCAAGGTCTCGCAGCCCTTATCTTCACCGCCGAAGGTGACATGCGTCAAGCAATCAACAACCTCCAATCTACCTTTTCTGGCTTTGGCTTTGTCAACCAAGACAACGTCTTCAAAATCTGTGATCAGCCCCACCCCATCACCATTCGGCAAATGATCAAGGACTGTCAGGATGGGAAGATCGATGAGGCCCTGGCGAGAGTGAACAATCTTTGGGAGCAGGGGTATTCAGCAGTGGACATTGTTGTTACGATATTCAGGGTGGTCAAGGGTATGGAGGAGCTGCCAGAGTATCTGAAGTTGGAGTTCATCAGGGTGAGCACTCTTGCGCAATGTTCTCACGAATTACTGACTATCCACAGGAAATCGGATGGACACACATGCGCATCTTGGAAGGTGTTGGAACACTCGTGCAGCTGGGTGCCATGATCGCTCGTTTGTGTAGATTCAGCCTCCCTCCCAAAGCTCTGAAGATATAGTCGCAACTCCATGCACTGTATGTCATTATTACAATACGTATACATCGAAATATGAGTTTAGAGTTGAGTCTATCCGTAAATACTTTTCACTCCTCGAATTTACCCAAGGCTTGCCCGACCTTGACCTTTTCTCCGGCTTCCACGCCAAACTTCCAGTTCTCTGGCGCTTCAAACACAAGCACCACCGTGCTTCCCAACCTAAATCCTCCCATCTCCTCTCCGGCCAAGAGCGGCTGTCCCTTCAGGACCGACGCCGAACTGTAGGTCGCCTCGGCGTAGGTCTTGGGCGGGTGCGAGAGGACTCGGGTGTTAGTCCTAAGGGCTTGATCAAAGTTGATTCGGATGGAACCGACGTTGGTGGCGCCGACGGGGACCATGGAGTAGAACCCGTGCTTCCACCTGCCCAACAACGCTACACGCTCGTTGAGGACAAACAAGTCTTGCATCCTGTTGGCAATGTAGGGCGAGACGGAGAAAAGATCTCCTGTAAAGTGTCGTCGACGCTCAACGACCCAAGAGGTGGGCGAATGGAAACGGTGGTAGTCTCCCGGGGCGAGATAGATGACCATGAAGAAGAGCTTGTTGTGCTCTGACAGCCTGGGGAGCTGGGTGTGAGAGTTGGTCTTGTTGCCGAGAGCGCCTACACCAAGCTGGGCAGCGACCGAGGCATCGTGGGCCAATTGCTCTCCTTTGGGTGGATGACTAGCATCTTCCACATGCCCGTGCTTTTTCGCTTCAGATTGCTCCCTTGTCTGACCCGCAGACTCTGGTCCAGCACCTTGGCCCAGCAGAGCAGACAGGGAATACGGGATGTCGTTGATCTTGGCGAAGTTCTCGTCTTCAACGACTTGAGGCTGGGAAGTTCGGGGAATATCGGTAGATTGGCCATAAGCGGGAGAATCAGAACCAAGAAGAGCTCCCAAAGAGTAGGTGATACCCTTGACTTGCTCGACGCGTTCGCCAACAATCTCGCCAAAGTGGAGGACCTTGCCGTCCGCAGGAGACACCTGCAGCAGCAGGTCAGACTTGCAACCTGATTCAAGAAGAGAGAACGTACCATGGGGCTGTCAGCAACAGGCCTGGCTCCGACCTTGATCTCTCTATAGAAGAAATCTCCTAAACTCTCATACTCCTTCAAATCCTTCGGAACTTCATCAAGGTTACATCCGAAAATCTTGGCGTAAAGTGTGAATCCGAATGGTCTGAACCATACAGGGAGCACGAGACCATTCAAATAGCCCCAAAGCTGAGAGACAGAACGAAGAGGGAGGGCGCCCATGACTCGGACCTGCTTCATGATCAGCGAGCGATTAAACACCTCATCAATAAAGACGCACTTGCCAAGGGCCATCGGCTTTCCCTTTCAGCACTGCCCCTACTTCTCCTTGGCTCTCCACCTCCACTTCTCCTCTGGCTTGCTTCCGGTATTGCACGCCTAAAAGTACGAGGGCACCGAGCGCGATAGGGATGGGATACCATTTGGTAGGAGTAGACCAGGCATGAGCTACTTTTTCTGCATGGCGGGCAGGTGATGAGCTAAGGCTCCGGGTATGGTGTTATAGCTTACCATTGTAAGACTGCTCTTTGGAACCTTCGTTTCCAGATTGGGGAGACTGTCGCGGAGTAGCTTTGAAGTCTTCAGGCTCAAACTTGGGTGGTCTAGTGCTGTTCCATCGGAGCTGGGGGCTGACCCTGAGCAGAGGCAGGATAGCGTAGAGGTGGGAAGGAGCGAGGGTGCGCTTGAGAGGCGCAGCGTTCCGAAGAATCATCATCGAGAACAGAGGCAAGTGAACAATGCGATAGAGACAAACGAAAGTCGGAGGAAGGCAGCGTCGGTGGAGCGAGGCGGACAGCGCCGCTTTCTGCTCTCGCTCTTCCCTTTGTGTACGAAAGTGCAAGCAGCTAGATACTTTGGCCTGGTACAGCACAGCTTCATATGAACAGATACGGTCTTGAATAACCATCGCATGACATGCTTTTTGATATCATTGCCGCAATGACCACTCAGAATCAGCCGACTGTCTAGCGTGACTCTCCCTCAACTCCAGCAACCCTCCCATATTCGCCAAATTGAGGACGAGGGGCTTGTGTCGAGCCAGGCCAAATTGCACTACCTCCAACATGAATGACTTGTATAACACAAATCAACCGAAAGATGAGCTCTCCTCACGGGTTCAAACAACAGATATGACCGAAGCTCTCTTGCGTCGTCTGCTGCAATCGTTACTCAAGACACCCGGCGCCATATCGATTGTGAGGATGATCAGATAATTGTAGAGTAGACCACAAGTATGTTGAAAGTATCAAAAGGGTCCCGAAGACGCTTTCCATTATTGACATTGCGACGAGTACCACATCATGCATATGCAAACTTCCACAAGCCATCTTAACGCTTGACCCAAGTGTACTAAGAAACTCTGGTCAGTACCACCGCAACAGCAGGAGAAACGACTAACACCCTTCCTGGCCTTGGCCCTGCCAGTCTTCTTCCTCTCCACCATTCTCGGATCTCTCATGAGCGCACCGTCTATGGCACAATTGTCAGCGTAAGCAGGCCATACAGATCGACTGGATGAACGCACCGGCCCTGAGCACGTCAACAGCATCTTGCTTCAGCACACTCAGCGCCCTTGCAAGACCAAGGGCTACAGCTCCCGCCTGTCCACTCACACCCCCACCCCTCGAGAAGGCAAAGACATTGTAAGCCCCCAGCAGGCCTGTCAAGCGGAGGGGCCGGAGGACGGCCTCACGGTCGGCGAGGCGAGGGAAATAGGTGTGAAGGGGTTGGTGGTTGATGAGAATCTCCGATTTCGGGATATTGAGGGAAGGAGCAGCCTCGGAAGGGGCAGAAGAGGAGGAGGTAGATTCGAGAATAGGCAAAGCAGAAGGAGTAGGTATCGCCCACACCCTCGCGCTACTCGTCTTCTTCCTCCCCATGCCGTACGCCCTTCCAAACTCATCCACAGTCTTCTTCTTCCTGCTCTCCTTCTCTTCACCGCTCTTTGCTTCTTCCGATAATCGCTCATATCGTGCGAGCTCCTTGTCAATTTTGCCCGCGAGGTCGGGATAGCCAGAGAGATCAGAGATGTGTCGGAGATTGTGAAGCTCAGACAGGAGGTCCATGACTTGCCTCAAAGTGCTCGTCTTGAGCTTGGTCTGGAAGATGGACGAGAGTTCCTCCGGAGAGACCCAAGATGCTCTCGGGGGCGTGATCGTGGGCAGTCCATCTGGCAGAGGGTAAATGTGCGCTTTACGGAGGACCGAAGTGGTCTGCGTCACAGTGGAGGAAAGGGTGGCGAGGGCTTCGTGGAATTGAGGACGACCGGTGAAGAATTGTGGGGAATCGGGGCGAGGGTTCCGGCGAGGAGGGGCGTAGTCGCGGGAAGGAGGGGAGTATGGTTGAATGGTGGCGTAGGACCTGGAAGCAGTGGTCGCCACAGACCTCAGGGAGCGGAGAGAAGAGGTGGCAGGGAAGGCCATCACGTCGATTTCGGGATGGATACAGGGGAAAACGACGCCAGATGAAAGAGGAGAATGGACTTTTCGACGTCGGCGAAGGATGGCGCCTATTCAGCGGAATCAAATAAGATAGGCGTGCGTGAGATACAAGATCTGTTGCCGCATATCTGATCTGTCGGTTGTATCTGATAAAGTGATAAGGGACCAGTGAGTTTGCGGCCTTTTGACACATCCAACTGCACTCGTCAAGATGGAAGTGGATCACGCGATACCCCCAGTGGAGCTCGCGATGGAGCACAAGCTGAGAGAAAACCTCGAAATACATTACCTCGTACGTCACACCCGCCTGGATAGAGCTCCTGGCTGATGTCGTTCTGCAGGAGTTTGTGGATACTTCAGGCAACTGTGGAATGTCCTATGCCGTCACTATCGTCTCGCCCGGGTTTTCAAAAAAGATTACTCTGCAAAGACATAAACTTGGTGAGCCTTTCAAGTCGCGCAAGATGACGAAAGCTGATTCATCACTCGTCTTAGTCAACCAAATCCTCAAGGATGAGATAGCCCAGCTCCATGCTTTCTCTCAGGTAAGGGTACAGTAAATCCCTCAAACCGCCAAGCTGACGAGTCACGCAGAAAACCTTAACGCCAGAGCAATGGGCAAAGGAACAGTCCAAATAAGCAGACAGCAGACGACCTTAGACGGAAGACGGCGTGGGCATTGTGTCATCATCTCAGTTATCACCACCGTATAGATCTTCATCAACTATGTATCACTAGCATATGATCATGCAATACCTTCATTACGACAGACGAACGGCTCGGGACCAGAAGTGGTACGCAGGGGCCCTGGACTGGTGGAGGAACGGGGAGATCTGAGAGAGCGACGCTGCTGTACAGCTCGGTACACGACTCGGGCTCTGCTATTTTGTTTGTTTCATCCATTTAGGCCTCTGGCTTGCCAAGACTGCGGTGACAGCGCGACGAACCGAGCAACTGTGTAAGTATGTATGGCTGAGATCCGAATGTTCGGTAAAAGACGCTGTGCGGCCCACGTCCGCTTCGCTTCACGACGGACGGGATCATATTTGTTGTGAGATCTCTGGAAGGATGTCTTGCACTTTTTCCTGCATCATCTCCATCCTGTCGCCTTCAGAAGAGCGAGCAATGGGCACCCATCCCCCGCCGCTATAATCGTCCGCCCAGTAAGACTGTACGAATCCCCTCACTCGCCACCGGCCTCGTTCTGGCCGCCGACCAGCTCCGCCCTCTTTCGGCCGTCCACTCATATCACTCCCATTGGCTTCCTTCCGCAGCACACCTCATACGCTCCACCGCCACCGCCTATTCAAGAACACTGAGGTGTGGATAGAGGATGGTCCTGATCAACGAGAAGAAGTACGCCTGCGAACGGTGTATCAAGGGCCACCGCGTATCCTCATGCACCCACACCGATCGCGCTCTGTTCGAGATTAAGAAGAAGGGAAGGCCTGGGACGCAGTGCAAGCATTGTAAAGAGAAGAGAAAGAGTGTAGGGAGCAGTGTACATACGAAGGTGAGCATGTGATCTGGAAATGAGCAAGTGGCCCCTCTATGAGTGATTGCCGGCATGCTGGGTGTCTGCCAATGGGCGGCGGAGAGTGGATCATGGGCGCGAGTCTAGGGGCCATATAGCTAGAACGTCTCTGGGCACTTGGATGCGCTTCTTGGCCCCGCTGGTCTTCCACATCTATTGTGCCTGTATAGATCTCGGTCAGGTCGAATCAAAGGCTGACATGATTGCCCGTAGTGCAAATGTGGCTCGTCCAATCCCTCGGCTTGCGAAGATACTTCAGCAGAGGGATCCACAGCCCCCGCCGCTGAACCCGAAGTTGAGACTCGAAAAGGCCAACCAGGCTCACGGCCTGCTTTCCCGAGAGGGCTGAAGGACGTGCATGAATTGTCAGCCGCGGCAAACGCCTTGCAGGGACTGGGAGAAGACGATGCGGTGGTGAAGAGTGCCGAACGGACGGGCAAGTCTCAGGATCCTACCTTGATAGGCCAAACTGACAAATTGCACAGTGCAAGCACTGTTAAACCCCTGTAGATGCGACTATGGCGGCCCCTGTTCGTGTTGCGAGCCCAAGCGTCGTAGCAGAAAGCAATCTCCACCCTCGACTGGTACTGGCACCCTCATCGCCAGCACTGCTCCCAGCCCAATCGACACCATAATCGCCTCTTACCCCACCGAGGCCTACTCGAAGCTCTCCCCTACCTCTTACCTCAACCCCGACAACCCACAACGCGCCTCGAATAAGACCCGGCTCTATTCACCTTATACCACCGACCCCAGGGGACGGCGCGACAGCCCTTCCGATTCCGTGGGCTCGACATCCTCGCCTTCCGGCTGGAATAGTCCGAGGTCGGTGAGGCCGCCTCCAACGAGGGTGAAGCCGTTGACCGACATCAAGAGGTTCTTGACAGCGGCGATGAACAAGGACGGGTCGCTGGCCTCAGAGATCCCACGGTCGGCCCTGGGGCTGCCGGGCATCCAGACGTTTGATGCCGCTGCCAAGGGTGAGCTCGTGACCGGGGGCGGCGGGGCGTGCTGTGGCGGAGGTGGCGGGGATGACCCATCGGAAGACGTTGATATGGCACTTGCCTTTCCCACCTCGGAGGACGTCGTCCTCGGTGCTTGTATGTGCGGTGAGGATTGTTCATGCCCCGGTTGTGCCACGCACGATTCCAACAATACCTCCAACGGTGGAACTGGTCATGACGGTCCTTGTGGCGAGTCATGCCAGGGCCATCACAACTGCTCATCGTCTATCCCCATCCCGTCAGGTGTCCGGTCCATCGCGCAGCTCATCGTTCTTGCCGCCGCTCAGGTACCCAAACCCCCCTCTCGTCCCGTCGGGTCTTTCATCGACCCACTTGACACTAGAGTCCTTCCCCCTGCTGCGTTTTCGAGCGACGAAGCGGCAAAACAGTTGGGCTTGGTCCCTTTGAGGCCACTCGAGTGTTGCGGAGGCAAGTGTCAGTGCCCGCCGGGACAGTGTACTTGTCAAAAACAATGCTGTGGGTGCTGCGGAGAGTGCTCTTGTGACAAGGATGAAGATACGCACATGGACGGAGACCAAAAGGCGGAGGTCACTGAGGGGCAAGGTGCCTGCTGTGGGGCAGGAAAGGGAACGACTGCAGAGCTGGTTCCCAAGGAAGTGCCGGAACCGTTGGCGCCCACCTCGTTGACGAAAGCTGCCATCGCCAACATAACCTACCACCCAACTATGCGACGTGCCATGATGCAGTCTGCTCAAAAGCAGGCCTCGGCTCAAAGGTCTACCGACCCTTATCCTCCCAGCCCCGTCACTGCTTCGGCGCCACAACCAGCTCAAAGCAGTTGCTGCAGCTCCAAGGCTCAATTCCCGAAACGTCCTGCGCTGCCGAAAAGAGCGTCCGATTCGGGCATTCTGTCACATACGGCTAGCCCACGAGCTTCGTCCGGTCTGGGTCGATCTGGTAGTCTGTCATCGGGTAACAGGAGGGAGACGGGACAAAGGAAGATTGCTCCTTTGCCTGTTGCGCAGACACTTGAAGCGCGTGCTAACAAGCAGCGAGCAATGCAGCCCGCTCAACCCAAGCTTTACGCTGGCACAGCTGCCAACCCGTCGACAGCGGCTGTCCCAGCCATTCCAGCCAACATTGAGAAAGAGAATCAAGCGCTGCTCGAGTTCATTGAAAAGCAATGGCAGTCTGCCCCTGGGGACGAGTTTGCCCTCACTTCTGGTCTCGATGGCTCAGGTGGCATTCAAAAGGAAGGGATGGCCATGCCAATCTCCGTTTCAGCAGAGCCCTGGGCGTACCCACCGCAGAATGAAGACGATGAAAATCAGCACGGCCAGGCTACCCAATTGCTGGAAGCGGGTGCGGATCAGATGGATCTAGACGCGTTTCTGAGGAACATCGGGGCACAGTATGCTGCTGGGCAATCTGAAGTCGGCACAGCACCCGTTGCCCAAGCCCAGATCCCCTCACAGGCCCGAACAGATGTACCGAGCATCGAGCAATACGGGTTTGGGTCGCCAGACTTCTTCTTCACGCCTGGCCAGACATATCCTCAACCTCCAGGAAATGTGACTGAAGAGTCGTATCCTCAATCAAGCCAGATGCAGCATCATACAATGATGCCTGCTATTGCCCCTCCCAAGGCTTCTAATGGTGAACGTCCCGAGTCGCAAAGCCGCGCGACAGCGCCCCCGTACACGCATCTGTGGAATACCTTCATGGGGCAGATGCCGCTTGAAGCCGAAGGCTCTGGCCAGGGACTGGAAGCAGCGCAGATGCAACAGTACAAAGGCAAAGAAAAGGCGCCGAGCGTGAGAGTATCGAATGGGGATGGGCAAGGGGGTAAAGACATTATTGATCTCTCAAAGCCAATAGATGCGGCGGTCTACCAGAGGATTCTGCAGGCTCTCGAGAAGCAACAGTTACAGCCGAGCTTGTCTACCCCGGATGCTCCTCATCATGGCGGATCTCGCGCCCAACCTCCACCCCAGCTTGCTCGAAGACCGGCTTCCCGCCCGTCCTCCTCCGCCCGCCCTCGATCTGCGCCCAAACCGTTCTACCAGTCATCTGCTTCTCTTCAGCAAACCTTCCCACCTGCCCACTCTCCGTCCCTCAATTCACCGTATGCTACGGATGCGATTGCGAAAGAGCTCGATAACATGTTTAGTCAATTTGTCACGCTAGACGGGGTGGTAAATACCGGTCAAGAAGGCGGAACTGGGCATCTGGAGGGCTTGGGGGGCTCGGCGGATTTGGGCATGGGTATGATAGGCGGGGGATTGAACCTTGTTGAAGACAATGAGATGGGCTTTTCTCCGCCTTCGAGACTGCCGGATTGGTCTGGGCCTGGTGATAGTGCCGGTAGTACGGGGCCGAAGGAGAGTCCGGAAGATATTAGACGAGGGTGGGAGATGATGGGTTTTGGTGGGAATGGCAACATAGGGTGGGATCAGGCGCGAGTATGGGGAAATTAGGTGCTGTCGAGGACATTGAATATTCAATATTCTGTAGCGGATCGTAAAGATCTGGGGAGCTCGAAGAGTGTGTTGTAGCTCTGTTATGAGTCTGAATTTAGCAGGGCTGTGTTTTCAACAGTATTCGAGGGTTTTATTCTATGTAGCATACTTTTTTCTTGCAAATGACTGATTTAGGGAGAGTCCAGGATACGCTGCTGACCATACAAAAGCGACGAGGATCAGGGCGCCGTTGATGATCCGGGAGTTGCCCGATGCGACTCCGTATGTCTTCTTGGCTCACTTGCATCTCCATCATAAGCCGATCAACGAGCTGGTGAGAGTAGCCTTACGAGACTTTCTTTTCGATGCTGTCCCTGCTGCTCTCCTGCTTTCCACTTCAGGAACCATGGTTCTTTGTTGCCATTATCGCCCGCCTTTGTTCTCTTATTGAAACCCCCTCCTCCTCCTCGAACGTGCTCGGCGTGAGAGCCTTTCGAGACAAGGTGGACGTCATAAGGCTCACTCAGGGATCCGCGAGATGTCGTGGAAGAGAGAGCGTGCTTAGACCAAGAGAATCCAAAGTCGAGTTTCGAAGCTGGCTGCCTTTGGGCTTTGGAGACGGTCTGTGCGTCGTGCTGAAGAAGCTCCCTTTCATGCAGTCTGCCCTTCTTTCCGCCTTCTTGATTCTTATCCTCAGCTTCCACACACTCTGATCTAACCTGACTTCCTGCAGCACACCTCGTCAGGTCATCAGAATGATCCATAGAGTCGTGATTCGGGTTAGGGTTCAGGTAGGCGAACATCCCCCGGGGCTTCAAGGAGAGGTAGCCGGGTGGTAAGCGAGGGTAAGAGTCTTCGGCAGGGGTCTTGTTTTTCCTTCGGGTGCGGTTCCTGAGAAACATTTAGCATCTGATCACAGACTGCCTGTACAGAATGCTAGCTTACAGAGACGAGGAGACATAGTTGACACCAGGCATGACGCGCGGACGATGCGTCTACAACGTTGAGTGATCTTCTTTACTGAAGCGAACGTAGGCCATGCCCGACAAGTAGATGCTGCGTCGAAAAGCTGTGGCCTGTGCTTTGTGGACGAGAGGTGTCTCTTTATATGTGCAAGATGCCGGTGTATGCAAGCTGGACTGTGGAAAAGAAACACAAACAAATAACTTACACTCTTCTCTTGCGGGCTGCGGTGATAAGAAGTAGCGGCGCTGACCGCATCCTTACGTAACCTCCTGATGAGCCCTTCTCTTGTTGCAACAAGCTGGCAACAAGCCGCCGAGATGAATCGATAGTGTCCTTATTTCTCCAATCTTCAAGTGTCCTGCTTTCACCATGTCCGCCCTTCTCTCAGGGTACGCCTCTTCCGACGAAGAAGACATCAGCACCACCTCGTCCGCCCCCCCTGTGGCAACAGGAGCTTCTTCGAGGACCGCGGCTCTTCCATCCCAATCAGCAGCCGACATCGACGACGAAGAAGATGACGAGGTGCTGCAAAAACAGGCTCAGAGCGATGCTTTTGGCCTGAGCGGACAAAAGGCTGCCGAGCATGCCAGGAGAGAGGAGAAGACGGTTGTGAAAGCTGCGCCAGATGTGCTGAAAGAGGTACGCACATATCCTATGGCTACTTGCAAGGAAACGCTTGAAGTATTGGTCTGCTGACATCCTGTAGGATCCCAATGGAGCTGGAAGTGTCATCATCACGAGACCGACGGACAAAGTCATGAACGTCAATCTGACATACGAAGATATGTCGCGTCCTGTCGCTGGACCCGAAAACCCTTTCGAGTCCAGAAAGAACAAGGGCATGAACACCCTGTCAGGTGAGCATACCAAGAAACTTCGTATAGATAGACACTAATCATGTACAGGTCATGTTGAGGAGCAGTCCATGGACAACTACTCATTCTTGATGGCTCAGCGTACTTTCGACGTCCACGGCTACGCCCTCAATCCTTCTCTCACCCCCGGATCGACCCCCATAGTAGGCTCCTTGAACAACGCTCACCAAAATGGTTACGCTTCTATCGAGAATATGAAGCCCACCCGTAATGAGCAGAGGACGACCAAGCGAAAGAGAGGAAAGAAGGGTGATGCGGGCGTGGTAGATGGCGAAGGAGCCTATTTGGGACCTTGGGCGGATTGGCAGACGGAAAAGCCGGAGGAAATAGAGGTGGAGGACGAAAGCGAGAACGAGGAATGGAGAGCAGAGAAGAAAAGGAGGGAGGAGGCTACCGCCAAGGCAAAGGAGAAGATGCAGGTGGCGATGGAAGAGAAGAGTATCTTCCATGGTAAGTGCTCTATGAGGCAGATTTTGGATTATACTAACCATTCTCTATAGGCAAGGAGCTGCACGATTACGCTGGCAGAACGTACATGCACATCCCTACGGATGTCGACGTCAAACTCAACCCCTCAGATGGCGCTCCTCCGCCAAACGCCTACGTCCCCGAACGGTGCATACACACCTGGGTACGTGCATCGACCATTGTGAGAATACCTAGCTCACGCATCGCAGACTGGTCACAACAAGGGTGTCTCCGCCATCCGTCTATTCCCCAAATCCGGCCACCTGCTGCTCTCATCCAGTATGGACACCAAAGTCAAGCTTTGGGATATCTACCACGAAGGCAATTGTCTTCGTACCTTCCTCGGACACTCTCAAGCTGTCAAAGACATTGCTTTCAACAATTCTGGCGACAAGTTCTTGTCGGCGAGTTACGACAAGCAAATCAAGCTTTGGGATACCGAAACGGGCAAGTGTATCCAGGCGTTCTCAAATGGAAAGATACCGAATGTGGTCAAGTTCCATCCGGATGGGGACAAACAAAATATCTTCATGGCTGGTATGCAAGACAAGAAGATTATTCAAGTAAGTCTTGTTTCTTTTCTCTACAACTTGAAGCTAATAGACCGCCAGTACGATCTCCGAGAGCGTGAAATTGTTCAGACATACGATCAACATCTGGGTCCTGTCAACACAATCACCTTTGTCGACGAAAACCGGCGATTTGTCACCACCTCTGATGATAAGACGATCCGAGGATGGGACTACGATATCCCTGTTGTGATCAAGTACATCGCTGAGCCTTATATGCACTCGATGCCCGCTGTGACTCTGCACCCGAGCCGTGAGTCCGGACTTTACCTCTTCATACTGACATGCGCTGATGGATTGCAGACAAATACTTTGCTGCCCAGTCTCTGGACAACCAGATCCTCGTCTACTCGGCCGACGGTGCTTTCCGTCAAAACCGCAAGAAGCGCTTCGCCGGTCACACGGTCGCGGGTTACGCCTGTAACATCGGTTTCTCTCCCGATGGCAAATTTATCTCGTCCGGTACGGGTGGTGGAGAGCTTGTTTGCTGGGATTGGAAGAGCGGCAAGATCACGAAGAGATTGAAGGCGCACAAACAAGTCGTCATCGACCATGTGTGGTTGCCTAATGAACATGTAAGTCTTGAGTTTGTCGAGGTGAACAAAGAGCAGTGTTGACGAGTTGTTACAGTCCAAGGTTATCACTGCATCTTGGGACGGTCTTATCAAGTTGTGGACCTAGTCGTCTCTGTAGGCGTATATGAAAATGGCGGCACCCGTATTTAGCCATAGCAAGGGCATGTAACATCTCACTATCAACAATACAGACATACATACTTGATCGATCGAGTATGAACAATTCCACAAAGCTTTTACCTTCAGCCATCTATTTTGACATTCCATATTCATTTTCCAACCCTCCTCCCGTTTCCATTCCCGGAGTACGAGTTCCGATACCCACGTCCATGTCCGTGTCCATACGACCCTCCACCCTTACCATACTGCCCCTGTCCATGATAGTTTCCACCGCCAACGCCACCGAATGACACTGTCTTCCTATGGCCAGACCCGGGCTTGACCACAACGGTTGTATGGTTATAAGACGGCTGACGGTCTTGGTACGCCACAGTCTCTTGTATGACTGGCTGATTGATCGGAACGGGTTGGGTGGCAGGATAGACCGGGGTGATCGGCGCAACAGATGCTATTGGAGCAACAGGGGCGATTGGAGCAAAAGGAGGTACCACTGGGTAAGCTGGATAGACGTTGTTTTAATACCATCGGGGGCGGTTGAGCCATGGGTTTACGACTGCATCGTAGGTCAGATACACATACAAAGTCATCAGTATGAGTGCTCACGCATGGTGTAGAGTTGTTCTGAGTTGATATACTTGTACCTAGAAGCTCTTTGTATAAAATCATCTAGCTGTTAAGGGCGGTCAGCAGAGATTGTCCAATGCAAGGCGATTATATAGATCTCACAGGGTGCACCGTTTGACTTGTCGGTAAAGAAACAGACATAGGCCGAGCCCATACATTGTGAGACGTCCGAGCCTGCCTCTTCCCTTGTATCAAGGATCGAAAGAGTGCCCAGAGACAAAAGCAAGCAGGGGTCGCTGCTAGCACCGAAACATGCAAGAGTCATGATTGAAAGGAGGGTCATGCGAGCCGATGAGTCATGAGGCGCAGGCATCATGATTTCGTCGTTGTGGTGGTCTAAGGAGGCGAAGATTCAGCGTCTCCTTTCGGCTACCCTGTACATGGCTAGACAGAAGCATGGTCAGCCGACATTGGGAAGCTTGTGGCCAAGACTTATAGCTTGAATTGTCAGGATTGCTCTTCGAAAGAAGTACAATGGTTGACAAAGAGATAGGGATTTGCTTCGTGGGACGAGAAAGCTGATCAAGCGTGTTAAGAAAATATGAAGCATCCGTCTGTGAACTCATTTGGACATGTGTCCTTGCATGGTGAAAATGTCCCAGCTGTTGTAAACGATCTAGGCCAGAGTCAGCAAATGACACTTCTGCAAGACTCAATATGCCCACTCACGTAGTCTAATCTCTGAGCCACGCCTGGTTTCTCTGTTTCTTCTCGGCCGCCTTCTTTCTGTAACGATCCTAGATACTCATCAGCGGGCACATATCGCAGTAACTGGCACTACCCACCATATCTTTCCTCGTAGTCGTCATTTTCCTACCCCCATTGGCTTCTTCGCGTGCTTTCCTCTCGCTTTCCTCAGCCTTCTGCCTTTCCCATGCCTCCACATCGAAGTAATGACTGTTCATTCGTTTCGCCCTATTGTACTCATCCAAATGCCCAACAGTGTACTGATAGTCCAGTGGCGTGAAGCGGCCTGTACGGGCGTTGAATGTGGCCTGTTGTACCAAGTGGGCATCAGCCCCGCCCGGTGCACCGGCATTGCCACGCTGAGAGGGAGGGAGGAGGAGGGCGAGAGCGGGGTCGATTTCTGGCAGCTGCCCGAACTGATTATGCGGGTCGACGTCGGGAGCGGCAGACACTGGGGCAGATACTGTCGGGGCAGGACCAGCAGGTAGAGGGGGAGGTTCATTGGGAAGAGGTGGCTGAGAAGCATCTCGTGGGAGAGGCGGAGGGGCAAGTGGGTTCGTCCAAGTCACTTCGCCAGAGTTCGAGTTCCAAAAGTAGTACGCTTGAGGATACTCATCAGCCGTCTGCCATGTACAGAGAGGAGAGACGGCATACCATTCTGCTCTGGAGCCCAAACAGCTTGCCACCCCTTAGTATCTCCCCCTTCCGCCTGGTCCTCCCCAGCTGATGGCTCATCTTGCGCCTTCTCCTTGCCCTTACCCTTCTTGCCCGTCTCTCCGGGCAAACGCTCCTCTGAAGGATCCCATTCCTCCGTTTCTTCTTCGTCACCAGCCTTTGGCGTGTCCTTGGATTCATCTTCTACCGGCGTCGTATCAGGAGAGTTATCCTGCACTCCCTCCGTCTCCACATGTGCCTCTTCCTCGGCTTCTTCGGCGACCGTCACTGTTGTCATCTTTTTGGCCCTCTTGGCTGGGGGCTCCTCGACTGCTTCGGGTTCGGGTGATGGTGATTTCGGCGCTGCTTCGGCGGCGGCAGCTTGGCGTGTTCTTCGAGGGGGCATGTTGAGATGATCAAATGTATAGAGATGCATGGATAGAGACGGATGACGAACGGAAGGAAACGGAACCAAATCGCTGCATGCAAGCAAATAGGTCCCCACTGCTTGTTATTCCCCGCTTTCATTTTGTGGTCGATTATATCAGTTGGTTTAGATTGTGGACCTAATAATTCAGACGAGTCATTAGTCCAAGGTCGGCAGTTCGATCCTGTCATCGATCATTTCTTTTTTGCCTCCTTTTTGTCAGCACCAAATGGCATGACAAGAGCGAAGCCATGACGCATTGGCGCTTCGATCACATCACGGCTCTCTTGGCGAGTGCACAGTACAGACGACTGAACGGAATCCTTCGTATCCCCCGCCGTGAATATGACCGTCGGCGAACGGGAGCGAGACGGCGGCGATGACCTGCGATTAATCACGTCAGCAGAAGCCTCCCAAGAACGTCGACGTCGTCTTCGGGAATGGAAACGGCTAGTCTCGAACTTTGAATCGGGAATAGGCCGAAGAGGCCACATCATTGTCTGCACATGTCATCCTTTTCACTCATGCACAATTAGCAATCATCGTTATGGCATCAGCCCATCTTTGTCGGCGGATTTGCCTTGTAAGGCATGGGTTGGCGTATCCCTAGTCCGGCCATACCGACTTTGTCCAGACAGTCCAATCAATGATGTAGGCAATGCGGCAACTTTTCCATAATGATCCTCTTTTGAGCATAGCGGCTCTATGCATGGAACTTGCACTTCGTTCTCGAAGCCGACTTGCATTGAGCGCTTAGTGGCGTGGCGGAGGGGTGAGGCGGAGGGGTGAGGCGGGAGCCATGCATGCGGAAAAGGGGCAACCGCGAACAAGCGACGCCGCGGGCAACGTCCCCTCTGAGCCGAACCACGCCGAGGGCGAAGAGAAAACGTATGCCTCTTGTGTATTATAAAGCAAGGACATGCTCTAAAAAATCCAAGCAGCCGTTGTGAATTTCTCCCCTCTCCTTTGTCTCTCTACATATTATATCTTCCGCACGCCCGCCCACCGGAGCCACATCCGTCCAAGAACCCGCCGGCCAGCACCAAACAATATGAGGGTGGCAAAAAACACGCATATGTTGCCTGTCACGACTTTTCTAGTCTCGACGCTACTTCTCTCGGCCGTTCTTCCTGTCCTCGCCACTCCCGACAACGCTGCTAGACAGGCATTGCAAGCCAGGCATGAAGGCGAAGACGATGATGTACCCATGGACGATGATGTACTCATGGACATGGGGCATGCCGAGGACGCCGTTGAGTCGACGCAGACTCTACAAATGTCGACTCCCGCGGCCTCTGCGCTTGCCTCGGCCACTAGCGCTGTCCATTCAGCCGCGGCTTCCTCATCCCATGCCGCTGCTGGGCATTCTCATGGCGCGTCCCACGATCCTCCTTCAGCTCCCCATTCGCACGGGGGCCACCAAGAGGCCCTGACAGTGCTCAACGACACCGACATCCATCGATGGCACAAATTTCCGCCGACCTATCTTGACGCAGATTTCCAACTCGACGCCAGCTCAGCCATCTTTGGTGAGCAATTTGACGATGCATGGAACCTTGAGGATATAGAAAGTCACAAAATGGTTGCTTTATTGCATGCTTTCTTGATGGGTTTGGCGTACTTTGGTCTACTTCCTATATGTAAGTCAACGGCGCGTTCTGTAACGTTCGCAAGACAGTTGTGGATCTCAGCTGACACCGTTCTATAGCGCTCGCACTCAGATCAGCCGATCATCCGGCTCACTACCTCGCAAACCTGGTGTTTCTTGCCGTGGCCATTGTCGGCTGGCTTGTCGGTGCTGCCTACAGTACGACCACGCCCGATTAGTAAGTCCGAATGCGTTCAAAACTAGGGCCGCCTGCTGACCTGTGCTGAAATCAAATAGCTACGAGGGCTCAAAGTATCCACTGTTCCTCAGCATCCTCGTTCTCACTTCCATCTCTCTCACTGTTGTCGACTCCCTCAGCCTCATCAAGAGGGGCATCGCTTTTCACAGACGCGGCGAGCTCTCGTGGAAGGGTTTCGTCCATGACGTCCTACGGTCAGCATCCGAGCCAGATGATGAGAAATGGTCAGCCAGTCGCTACGAAATGGTCGGCCTCACCGAAAATTCGAGCGATGAGGAAGTCCACCGAGGTAGACCCAGCAACGTTGTCTTCTCCATCGGTGATGATGAGGATGAGGAGCCGCTACAGACTACAGAGCCTGAACCTCTCCACGATGCCCACGGAGCCACGCAATGTGTCATGCAGGGCACTAGACCATACCGCCCAACAGTCTTCATTCGCCAATACAGCTCGCCTTCACGTACTTCTACCGGATCAGACTACACTCTCCAAGACACCCCTCACTCGCCTCACCCTACCGGACTCCACAAAGCATCTCAATTAGGTGCCTATGACGCCCACCCTCACCATCTCGAGGCTATAAGCGAAGCCGAGCGAGAGAGAGACGAGCAGCACAACAACAGGATATGGCAGAGTAGGAAGGCAAATGGGTGTCTTAGGGCTCTGGAGGTCGTCCTGACTTGGGTCAGGAGGGCGCAGGTTGTATTCGCGTATGTAGTTATGATCATGGGTATTGTCACCTACACTGTGAGTCAAAGTTGAACCACCTAGAATCAGAGCTCATTCGAGCCGTAGGGTATGTGCCGAGCCAACCTCGTCAACTCCTGCGCCGCCCACTACATTAAAGGCAGCATTTTCTTCTGGTATGGCTTCCTCACTTTCGCCCGCTACCTCGGTGCCTACGCCGACCTTGGGTGGGCTTGGAACCGCCGCCCGAGTGCTCACAGCATCTCCGCCGAGATGGTCGAATGCGCCGTCATCTTCACCTATGGTATCACCAACACCTGGATGGAGCGTTTCGGCGCTGCGCCCGGCAGTCCTTTTACCGTCAAACAGGTGCAGCACATCTCGATTGCGGTCATGTTCTGGTTTGCGGGTCTATCGGGGATGCTGCTCGAGAGCAAGTGGGTGAGAAGGGTTTTGGGAAGCGTCATGTCGACTGGGAGGAGCTCGACGAAGGAACCCGACACTTATGCGTTCAGCTTCAATCCTCTCCCCGCGTTGACTATCGGTGTTGTGAGTCGCTATCACTCTTCAAGTGATCATGCTGATGAGACCAATAGACGGGCCTTGCTATGGCCGCCCACCACCAGACTTATGTCTTCCAAGTTCAAATCCACTCCCTCTGGGGTATCCTTCTCTTCGGCGGCTCGGTCTTCCGCTGCCTCACCTATTTCTTCCTTTTCCTCTCCCCCCCGAGCCAATCAGCCCTCCCTTCCCGCCCTCCGACTGAAATCCTCACTTCCTTCGGTTGGGCTGCTGGTGGAATTGTGTTCATGCTTTCCAATGAAGAGATTGCATGGGCGGCGATGAGGGCGGGTTGGGATGATATGATGGCGTTTTTGAACTTCACCATTGCATTGACATGCCTGGTGTTCTGCTGGGGGGTGGTGGTCATGGCGGTGAAAGGGTGGGCGGTCCTCAGGAGTAGGAAAGAAGAGGAGAGGAGGAGCGGAGTTGAAGTATAGAAAGGGGAAAGGGTCAACGACCTGTATACTGTATATAATGACAGCGGATGTTCGGGTCCGGAACACTTATAATATCCCACCCGTAGAAGAGATGTTTATAATCTAAATGGATTGCTTCCTATTACCTGCGGGCATGAAGCGCCATGGTACCATCGGACTGTTGTTACAACGACGTATGTGGCATACTACAACAAAGTACAGGATCGTGACAGGGATCGAATCTCATCTGGCCCTTGCCCTTTTCTTTGGTAATCCGTCCGCTCCACCTGCTCTTGGTCCTTCCTCAACTCCAGCTCTATGGCTTGCACCCGCACCAGCTTTGTGACTCCTCCCCGCTCCCGCTTTGTGGCTGGCACCAGCACCAGCCTTGTGGCTCCTCCCCGCCCCGGCTTTATGGCTCCTCTTTGGCTCTCCGCCCTCTTCGCCCGCCGCTGGAGGTCTGCACATGTTGCAGAGCCATTTGCCAGTGGGTGGGTGGGTGAGGTTGGTGCATTGGAGATGAAACCATTCTAAGGGGCAATCGTCGTTCTGTGAGAGCTGCTCAGTAGCAGTAAATGGAGGAGACAGAAATCTTGGGACTCACGTCGCATCCAATCATTTCGCCGAACGAAACCCTGTGGCAGTAACAATATCTTGGCTCGTTCCTGTACATCTCGTGTCAGCCTTCCAGAGGCCAGTAGCAACAGAGAAAACTTGCGGATCAACTGGTATGCTCCAATCTTCCTGTTCGTGACCCAGCGCTCCGACGCCCCCGGCCTCTTCCTGCCGCCCCTTTCTATTTCTTCGCTTCTTCCCCTTCTTCCTTGTACCCCCGCCTCCGAGCCCCAAGCTGATTTCCCCTTCATCCCCTTCTGCCAGGCCGTCCACCCCAGCAAAAGTGCCGCTACCTACACCAGGGCCAGAACCACCTGGAAGGCCGGTCTTGGCACTACCTCCATCGTGTGCGAGGGTGTGGTCGATAGCGTTTGACGGAAGGGTGGAGGGGCGGAGGCCGAGAAGAATGGAGGCTTCTTGGGCTGTGAGAGCAGAGTCAAGAGCGCGGATATGCCTGTCGATCTTTGGGACATCATTGAGTCAGTCGTGAGATGGGATCTGGAAGAAGGGAGTAGACTTACGGCGTTGTAAGCACCGATGGCGACCGCCACTTTCTCATCGCTAGTGCGGACGAGTTCTCGGGAGAGACGAGCAATCTCGGGGAGGAGAGAGTGAGGGCCAGGAGGGCGGAGGAAGGATGGCTGCTGGGGTGCGGTATCATTTGTTTCTCGACGCTGTGATTGACCCGGCGACGAAATGGTACCGCTTTCCGCTTCCACCGCCTTGGCATATTTCCCCTCAGATCGTACTCCATCCGCAGATGCCACTCCGTCGACAGGACCGATCTGTCCCTCCAACGGATCTGCTAGGGTACTCGAGTCTCTCGCGGGGGTCGTGTCTCCGGGACCCTCTGCTTCGGGCGCGTTGTCGTCTTCAAGTGTGTCGAGGGTTTGAGAAGCAGGGTCGGAAGGAGAATGATGTTTATTTGAAGGCACCTCGGTCATCTCCACGTCCAAATATCCTTTGCCTTCATCATGTTTTTGCTTCTCGAGTTGAGATGCTGACTCTTCGCCATGAGCTGCAAGGGAAGGTGTGTTTTTGAGAGGCGTTTCTGCAGGACTTGGCCCCGGAATCGGAGACCCACGCGATGGATCTCCTTCTTGAACGCGTTGCGGTACCTCTTTAGGAGCTTCGAATTGCTCCAAAGCTATTCTCTCCTGGATGTACTGTCGCATGGAATCTTGCAACATCCCCAATTGTGCTAGCCCATATTCAGCTACTCCCGTGTAAACAGCAAATCGGCTCACCAAGTGCGCCATCATCCAGCTCCCTGAGCAGTCTGAAGTTCCTATGCAGCTCCAGCGGGAGCTGCTCGACTGTTTCGTAATGATCTGCTGCAAATTCCTGCCACGCTTCGAGCTCTTGTTGCGTGTCAATAGGCTTGTCCGGCGCAGAAAGGGCAGGGCCGTCTTCCTCTCCAAGTAATGCTGAAGGCGGGGACTGTGGTGGGTTGTTGCTCCTGCGGGGCCGTTTGTTTGTCCCCATCGTTTGCTTGATTTAGATAATGTAGACGCGTAAAACACACCTCATAATGGTGATGTTGTCCGAGAAGCTCAAAAGTCGTGACGCTGGAGGCCGAATATGACCTCTTTCTTTCCCCATGCACAAATCGTGCGGCATTTATACCGTCGCACATTCACATGCTCTATTGTGGTTTATCCTGTACTAAGACGTGGGCTGGCGCCTTATATATATATGTACTTCATTGGTATATGATGATTCTTCAAAAGAGTCAAAGTCATAAATTTTCGAGCATATATCTGATGCCTGGTAGCGAGTCATAATGAAACGATCCATGCTAGTCACAGACAACAACGCGAGCCCCACAGACCAAGCCCTTATCCGATTATGTGCTTTCAATGCGTATCTTCAAAGACTATCAGCGCGGGTCTGACATCATTCCTGCGGAAGGAGCTCACCAACAGGGCCTATGCACTCCTGAGATCTGATATTCAATGTCCCGGTCCCCTCCCATGTCTCCTTGAGCTCCCTTGGTTGTTCCCCAACGGCCGTTGCCGCTCTCCGGACGACCCAGACGCAGCCGCATGGGCACTCCTCTGCCTTGCCAGCCAGCTTTCGGCCACCGCACTTCTCACATCCACTGCTTCCCCTTCCTCTTCCCTCGCCCTGCCTGCTGGTTGAGAGCTACTCCCAACGGTTCCATGCGGTACAGGCACGCTCTCCCCGGCCCGTTGCGCCTCCGCCTGTAACCTCTGGGTCTCTTGCACTCGCTGCAGAGCTTGCTCCAGCCTCAACCTTCGGGCCTCTTGATCTTCTGCCGACAATCCGCCTCCAGTTGCACGTGATTGGGCCGTCAGAGCCTCCTCGACTCGGTGAGCGAGGGCTTCTTGTTGAACCTGTTCATTGGCGGCGGATCGGATCGCCTGGACAGTGTTCGGGGTGAGAGCCGGAGGAGGTTGGGGACGAGTACGGGGAAAGATTTCAGGAATCTGCACGTCTGGCGTGGATGCTCCTGAAGCCACATCATTGTTTCCCATAGCGGCTGTAGTCGGAGCGGTCGGTGAACGTATACCCAGGAAGGTACCGACATTTTGGAACCTTGCCCAAGCTTCTGCTACTCGAGGCGGTACTTGTTGTCCAGGCTCGACTTGCCTTCTGGGGGCATGTGGTGAAGGAGCCACAGCCGGTCCTGTGGTAGCTCTGGTAGGAGTTACAGCGGCAGTAGTTGCGGCGGTGTTTCCTGCAGGAGTCACCGTGCCCGTCGTAGTCGGTCCGGTGAGACCTTCAGGACCGTCACCTTCGATGAACTCTTGGCCTCTTTGAGGTATGATTCCAGCGGCTCGGGCGGCCGCTAGAGCGCGAGAGACAACTTCAGGAGAGAGGCCCATCTGCAAGCCAATTTGGTAATCTTCATCGTCGTCCCCGCCTCTACCTGCTTGCGGCGGGGCATGTCGGGAGGAGCCTTCGAGGGCAATCTGCGCTGGATCGTGATCTTTACTGGTGGAGCACCTACAATGATATCAGCAAGATGTTAGGATGTTGAGGAATTGACCTACCAGAATCTATGACCTTCCTGCCAAGCTCTACTCTGACACTCCTTGCTACAATACTTGGCCTTTCTGCACCTCCTGCACTTGGCAAACTCTCTCGAATACTTCTCCCACCGTCCACAAGACATGTTTGCGCACTGCCTGATCCCACCTCGAGCATCGTCCTTCCTGCACGAGTTCCTCATGATCACTCCAGCCCAGTATTGAATCTCTGGTGGAACTTTGAACATGACAGGATCAGACGGTGAGGGTCGGAAAGTAAGTCTCTCGACGAGCGAGAATATGTCGGGAGTCTCGGATATTCCGGGACGTTCAGCCAGGCTGGCCCAATCATCACCGTAATCAAAGGTCGCATGGATGGGTCGCCGGGGATGGTGAAATGCTGAGCGAAGATGTGGGTATTTCGAGAGGTAGGCGAAGAGTTGAAGGGCGAGAAGGATGCTGTCGTCTGAATATCGATTGCCGTCTGGATTCAAGAGCGAGCTGATACCCACATAGTTGCCCAGGTTGTCAAAGCTTCTCGGAGCACCGTTGGCAATGATTATTTGTGCTTCAACAGCGGGTACAGTGCCTTGACCAGGAGCTTGCCTAGGCGTTTGTGCGTCAGTGGGCGCGACTCTGGGCGTTTGTGCAGCCCCAGGTTGCCCAGGAGGCGCCCCAGCTTCCATATCCAGCCTCGCCTGCTCCGCTGCAATCACCTCTGGATCGGGACCCTCCAACTCTTCCTGTCCCGCTCCCGTGGTCTCCACAATCTCCACATTCGGCGGTGGCCCTGGCTCATCCGGTACGATCGGCCCATTGTTCTCCATCGCCTGAGCGTTCACAGCGGCAATCCCGGCCGCGATCGTAGCTGTCGGCAAGTCCATATCCTCTCCGCCATCAGATTGGCCGGATTCGTTGCCTCGATTCAGTTCGCGCTCACGGTCGTTGCGAGGTGCAAGGTTGCCTGGGCGAGCGATGATGGTGCCCCGCCTGCCGTGGCGGACGGACGCGCCCGAGCTGACCGACTCGCCGTCCTGCCGAGGAGGAGGGGTAGCCATCGGGCTTGACTGCGTGCTGGTGGGGTCCTGCGCGAGATGAGGTAGGCGAGATGGGCCACCGATGGTGAGCGTAGGCGGGCGGATACCAGGGTTGCTCGCAGCGAGGTTACTCTCCGAGGTGATACGGGGTATTCCCGCTGAAGGGGCGGCGTCGTCGCCCGACAGAGACTCGGCGACACCACCAGAATGGGTGTCTCTTTCGCGGCCTTGGCGCGAAGTAGAAGGGATAGACATGGGCAAGACAGTGGTAGCGGCACGAGGGGTGGTAGATGGTTGAGAGGCACCAAACCGAGAGCCCAAGGCATCTTCTGTGGCTGCCATATCAACATCGACGCTGAGATCGTCTGCGTCCATAGAAGCGTCTGTAGATTCTCCGCCCTCAACATCGGCATCTGCCATATCCACATCTGTGTCGTTTAGAGTTGTGTCGGGCTCTTCAAACGGCCGGCGAGGCTGAGGGGCAGCAGGGTCGGGGGTGGAATCCGTTGAAAGAGGTACTCCAGGCGGACCTCGGCCGATGGTGGCAGTAGGAGTGGGCTCCTCTGCTTGTTGATGATGATGGTGGACAGTCCGACTACGATGGCTCCTCTCTCCTCTCTCCCCCCTGTCGCCCCTGTCTCTTTCTCGCTCCCTTTCCCTGTCCCTGTCGCGCTCCTCTCTTCCTTCCCTCTTCTCTTTTCTTCTCAGACTGTCCGTACCTGGTAACGGCACGCCCGTGGCGAACGCGTCTACCGCGGCCTGACTCCCCAGCGGCCCCGAATGTATTGATATACCGTGGTCTTTCAACCAGCTTTCAATGATCTGCGCTACTATGTCTAGCGTCCCGCTCTGGACAACCCTCGTCCTGACATTTTCGCTTCCTCGTACACCGACATTGACGACGCATTGGAAGGCGAGACTGTGTTTGAGCGAGTTGGCCCTCTCCATAGTGATCACTCGCGCGGTAGGAGGACCGTTCAGGCCCCAGAGGTCTTGAGGGACGGGTACTTCTTTAGGGAGCGATGATTCGCGCAGTATGTCGAGAAGGCGTTCCAGGCCACCGTCGATGGTCAAAATCTCACGGATGCGAGGAGAAGTGGCGGTCAAGGAGGTGAGGGCTGTTAGGGAGTTGAGGAGGGCCAACGGGCTGTTTGTGTCGAGGGCTGTGGGCAATCAGCAACATACAGATAAGCGGCCACAACATACGCACCTCGTCTGTCATATATCATGCTAGTGATGACTGTGACGGCCCTGTTCTGGGGCGGCCCAGTGATGTTGGACTCTCTCATGGTGAGAGCGTGGCGGTCGGGGCTGAGTCAGCGGCTGGAGCTGCGGGTGTCGATGCGGGGGGTCGGGCGAGGAGGGCACGCTTGAAGACTGTCGAGCTGATACTAGCGTACTTAAGACGTGTGGCGGGATATGAAGTGGAAACGAGAAAGGAAAGACAAGGGCGAATGGACGACAGAACGGACAAGTCCCGTCGTGCGGTGCACTGTAACGGCGTGGATCCCGTCGGCGGTCGCCAGCTGCCAGTGCGCCATGCCTCGCCGACACCGCAGATATCTCCCTGCCCTATGCATCCCGCTGCCCTCTACCCCGCCACCGCCGCCCCATGCATGCCCGTCACAACAGAGCCGCACTCGGAGGTCATTACCACGTGGTAGTCGCGTGGCTGCCTCCACTTTCCTGAACTCTTGCTCTCACTTCTGCCTGTGCTTTGCTTTGCAGCAAAAGCAAACATGCCCAGTCTACTGGCGACAATCTGGCTTTCTATCTTACAATTGGTGAATGTGGTAGGTCATATCTCTTAATCGATCTCTTCATCCGTAACCCCGACAAGTGCACCCTACAACATATGTACTGCCATGTTCAAGGAGACCCATCGTACCGAGAGTATCGTCCTTGAATTCCGCCCTCAACAACTCACGTCAATTCAAGCTAGGTCAGCCTATGAGCCGAGTCGCTCACTGAAGTTGCTTGGCCTGCTTGTCCATTCATTTCAAGCCACAATTCATTAACGGTTGCATTGTCTTCATTCTTCTTCCCGCACTACATATCTTCTTTTCATTTCTTGGCGTGCTGTCGCCCATTCTTATCATCTATTCGATGGTCATGCTTAGTTCTTCTCGCTCAACTCGGCAACACCAGGCAAAGTCTTGCCCTCCAACAACTCGAGGGAAGCACCACCACCGGTAGAGACATGGCTCAACTCATCCTCCTTACCGGCCTTGGCCACAAGGGTAGCAGTGTCACCACCACCGACAATGACGGTGCTGCCGTTCTTGGCGGCCTTGACACAGGCCTCAAGAAGGGCGTTGGAACCACCAGCAAAGGCGGGGAACTCAAAGACACCGGCGGGACCGTTCCAGAGGATGGTCTTGGCCTCGGCGACAGTCTGGGCAAAGATCTCGCGGGACTTGGGTCCGGCGTCGAGACCCATCCAGTCAGCGGGGATACCGGACTCGTCGGTGGCGGTACCGGTCTGCTCTTGTCAGCTTGTTTCAATAGATGATGGAAAAGTCTTACCTTGGCATCCTTGTTAAAGTCATCGGCAGTAATGTAGTCGACGGGGAAAACGAGCTTGACGCCATTCTTCTTGGCCTTTTCGACAAGAGAATGGACCTTCTCGGAACCGGGCTGGTCGAAAAGAGAGGTACCGATCTCGACATTGTTGAGGGTCTTCTTGAAGGTGAAGGACATACCACCGCAGATGATGAGGGTGTCGACCTGTTCTCCGTCAGCTCTGTCCGTCAACACGATATAGTTTACACACCTGGTCAAGCATGTTCTCGATCAACTGAATCTTGTCGGCAACCTTGGCACCACCCAAGATGGCGAGGAAAGGCCTCTCGGGCTTCTCGAGGACCTTGGCAAAGTACTCGAGCTCCTTCTTCATAAGGAAACCGGCGGCTCGCTTGGGGAGCTGAATGCCGACCATGGAAGAGTGGGCTCGGTGGGCAGTACCAAAGGCGTCGTTGATGTAGACGGTACCGAGCTCGGTAAGCTGCTCACGGAACTTCTTGACGTTCTTGGGGTCGGCTATACGCTTTGAGCATGCAGTCTTATTGTCCGAGAGGACACTCACCCTTGATCTTCTCGTCGCCCTTCTTACCCTTACCCTCCTCCTCGACGTGGAACCTCAAGTTCTCGAGCAAGAAGACCTGGCCGTTCTCGCCCTTGAGGACAGCCTCCTTGGTGGCCTCTCCCACAGACTCGGGGAGGAACTCGACGTCCTTCTTGAGGAGCTCGGAGAGCTTGGTAGCGACGGGCTTGAGAGAGTACTTGGGGTTGGGGGAACCGTCGGGTCGGCCGAGGTGGGACATGAGGATGACAGACTTGGCACCTGAGGACGAGGATTAGAGACAATGACACAATGGTTGACGCGACGAGGAAGAGAAGCAAAGACGGGGCAGTTGACAGGACACCTGTATAGGCGACGTGATGCCAGTCAACACGGATGGGACTCCCCATTGCCCAAAGGCAGTAAGGTGCTTCTTTCATCTACATGAGGCCAGAGACATATACTTACCATTCTCAATGGCGTACTTGATGGTGGGCAAAGCAGCGACAATTCGCTAGAGGCGGTGTCAGCGGTTATCGACTTCAGCCCCTATCTGTGACCTGGACATACAGCAGGGTTGGTAATGTTCTGCTCCTTGTCCTGGCTGTCATTCCAATCAGCAACGCGCTCTGGCAGTGGAGATGGAGACTCACGGGACGTTAAAGTCGACACGGATGAGGACCCTCTCGCCCTTGAGGTCGAGGTCGGTGATGTTGAGCTTGGAGGAAAGAGACATTTTGGATTGTTCTGTTGCGGCAGGTAGTCGGAAGAGAGAGCCAAGAGGCGGAGAGGCGTAGTAAAGGAGAAGAGAGAGGACGACGGGGAATATGAGCAGGGCGGTGCGCAAAGGAGAGGGTTGCGAGGGAGGCGGGGGCATGGGAGGAGGCAGGAGTGCGTGTCAGCTGGGATCTGTGCTTTGAGGGGGTGCTTACGAGGTTGTAGAGATGCAGATGGAGAATTGATGGGAATTGGATGGAATATGTCGGAGAGGCCCCCACACCGACGACTGCCGCTGCGGCTTCCCCCGCCGCACTCTCCCACGCTCGCCGTTTGCGCCCGCCCTTTTCCTCCGCCAATCACGCGGGCAACATCCCACAAACCTGGTTTCTCCACCCACCCCTCAACCAAACATCCATCATGCCCGTCGCTCCTATTGTTGGCAAGGTGCGTGTAGTCATCACCAAGAGGGCCACTTGCTCACCCAGTGCAGCTCCGAAAGAGGTTGATCACTGACCTTACCGCCGGGTGCGTATCCCTACAACTCCCGACCTCGCTTCAACACCCGACTGCACCATACTAACCCTCGTGCATAGTCTCGGTCTCGGTACCGCTGGTGGCTACGCCTTCTGGTACACCGTCCACCTCCCCATGAGTAAGATCAACTGCCTATTGTCTCGTTCTGCAAAGAAAGACTAACCCCATTCACAGTGAAGAAGAGGGACGACTACTACCTTAAGCTTGAGCAGGCTCGATCTGGTTAAGCAATCCTCTACATACCAATCTATACCCCCCGACACCGCCTCACTGGGAGAGAATACGCTCGAGCAGGGGAGACGAAGACGGGGATTTTGGGACGAAAGGGAATGCATCTGGATTAAAAAATGGACGACTATGGCGAATGACAGCTGCACACTGGAGGCCAGGCGCTGGGCGGGAAGACGGGCTGCAGGATCCAACGGTGGGCTCGCTGTTATGGCTCGGAGTGTTACGGACGTCTTCCGTTTGGCTGCTGCTGTGGACGGTTACGTAAAGGGTTCAGTGTTGTTGATGTTTCATGTCAACGATCAGGATGACACGCGACGGTGGCACGGGCCCCCTGCCTCCACCGCCTCCTCCTTTCCCGCCCAGTACATATACTGACCCGCACATTCCCATCCCCACTTCTTTCTCTTTCCATCTCCCCGCCACCCACCTTCTCGCCCCGCCTCTGACCGCACCAACATCACTCAACATGGCAGCTCCTCCGCCTCTGCCTGTGCGTACTCTCACACACTCGCCGGTCTCACCTCTCCCAGCGTGTCGCTCGGCTAGTCTCTTCTTGGGTATGTGGCTGATGAGATGTCTTTTCCCAGACTTTGACCGTCGCCGAGTCAGAATATCTCGCATTCTTGAACTGGAAGAAGGCAAACTCTGAAGCTCTCGCTACGCCTGTACGTCTCTTCATCGCTGTATCCAAGCTGGGAGTATGGTGCTGACGTGTGACATTTTGGAATTGGCATTGAAATTACTCAGCCTGCACCTACACCCCCTCTCCCACCGCCCGACGCGTTAACAATCGACAACCTTGCCTCCCAGACTCAAAATATCTCTCTCCAAGCTACTGAGGCTTCGCCAAGCGGCGGCCGGGACTCTACTGCCGTACAGCCACCTACCACCAACCCCGCACCATCAGCTCTTTCAGTGTCCCCAGTGGCATCTACAGAGCCCGCCACAGCCGTCTACAAGCCCCCTCCAGCCCGATCCTCGACCCTTGTCGCGCAGATCAACAATGTCCTCGCGCCCTCCACCCAACCTCGGGAACGGCCATCCGACAAGGCCTCCTGGCGCCCTGGAGCGCAAGCGGATGGTATCACGCCTCCTACCCCGCTGTCCGCCGGTGCAGCTGCGCCTCAAGGGCAGAACGGCGCCGGATGGGGTCAGCCACCCTCTCCCTTGGCTCAGTGCCATACCCAAGTTTCGGCTATCAATCGTGGTTCCGTTGCTTGGGGTTCACTTTCTACGGCACCGAGTACGCCGCTTCCTGCAGGCGAGGGTGGACAAGATTGGGGTCAGCACTCTGCCTCCGCTGTTGCGCACCAAGGTCTCGAGTCGACTTTGCCTCAGAGTGTCGTCGCTGGGCAAAATTCCGTCCCTGTTGCTCCTCAAGCCCATGCTCAAGCTCAACCGGCGGATGATGCCGGCGGATGGGGTCAGTCCCTGGCTCCTGCTTGTCCTGTCGCCCAGCCACAGTCTCTCCCCTCGGCTGCTCAAGTCCAAGCTCCTCCCGCCGAAGCTCCAGTGCAGCACGAACAAGGTGGCTGGGGTCAGCCCGCTTCGTTGCCATCTCCCGCTCCTCAGACGGATGACGCTGGTGACTGGGGTGCTACCGCGCCTCCACCATCTTCTACTCTCGCTTCTATCCCTGGCACTTTCGAGCAAACTCCAGGCTGGGGCGCTCCAGCGACTGCAGCGCCTACTCCCGCTTTGACAGCCGACTCTGGTTCTACCTGGAACACTAATGCTTCTGCTTTCACCCCTTCTTTCGAGCAACAGTCTCCTGTCCCTGCCAATACACAGACACAGCCGATGAAGTATTCTGCCCAGCCTCAGTCACAAGAGCCGGCACATGTTCAACAGCAGCAGCCGATCCCTTCAGGAAGAGAGTATGTGCCTTGGCAGTCTTTTACGTACGTTTACAGCCTTCCGGATAGTTACAATACTGACAAATCTGATAGCTACACCATTCCCGTTCAACCAGTGTCGGAAATCCTGGAAGAAATGCGCCGGAGGCGAGAATCGTCTTTCACCAACATGTCTGGCGGTGGCTCCGGCTTCGGCGCTGTTCGAAATAATGGGTACCGATCCAGGGGCGCAGAGCCAAGTGTCGCGTTGGACGGTGCGGGAAAGAGGCAGGAGTGGGGAGAGAGAAAGTCGAGCGCGGTGCCCATTGTGGTGCCAGTTGAAGAACCTCCTGCGCCTTCTGGGCATCCCGCCCATGTCGAAGAGGGATGGGGTGCTGAACCTGCCCCGATTCCAGCGCCTACTTCTGCGCCAGACAATGGGCAAGGAGGGTGTGGTCAGCAGCCCCAGCCCCAAGAGCCGGCTCTCCACACCTCGGTCCCAGCACCCAATTCCGCACCGGACAATGGGCAAGGAGGATTGGGTCAGCAGCCCCAGCCCCAACAGGCGGCTCCCCAACCCAAGCGGGCTGCTCCCGCACCCGGTATACACCCTTCCAGGTTGGCGATGCTCGGTGGTGATCCTCGTCCTTCGCCTATGCCTCCCGTTGACAACTATGGACCCCTTCCTAGCGTTGGCTCTGGCCGTGGTGTGGACAATGGCTGGGGCAATCGGGCCAACCGCAACGGTGGTAGCAGCAACAGCTACGAGGCACCTCCTCACATGGCGTATCGTCAGCCTTCTGCCCCTGCCAGGCCTCCTGCCGCCGCCGCCGCTCCTACCCAGACTTCTTTCACCTCCGGCTCGGCCCCAGGTATCCATCCGGCTCGACTGGCCATGATGGGCGGTGGTCCTCGTCCTTATTGAGACTCGAGCGACTCGAGTTACCACCCCGACGGCAGGAAAACCTCCTGGATGACAAGTGCTTGGTGGGAGATGGAGCTGCGCAGTCTTCAGGCCCCCTACAGTTGTAGAATTCTTAATCGTCCTACATGGGGAGAGTGCTAAAAGTTCTGTAAAATCGAAGCAGAGAGACGGTTCGCAGCAGGACATCATACCATCATAGACCAAATGGGGGTATGTTGTATTATCAGACAAAGGATGAATGAAAGCAGGCCTCCTGCATCATGCACGTTACATTCAGACTCTACGTATGATTTGCGAGCTAGGAAGAGGGTCATTCATAATTCGACGCTGATAGATCGAAAGTCAAGGCGATGGAAGGCGCTCTTGAGAAGACTAGTACAGGGTAGGGGCGATCAGTTCAGGTTGTATCCTGAAAATACTGGAGTGTCGATATAGGTGCTATTCCCTGGAGGAGCGGGTGCGATGAGATTCAATACAGAAGCGTTGTTGAGTCATTCCGATGGCATCAGTTGTTCGCCCTAGCTGTGACGTGAGGTAGGCGAGGCCTGAGCCATTTCTTGAGGTGACGATCCTGCAGGGAGCTCGGAAGCCGGTGATGACGATGAGGGATGAGGAAAGATCAGAAGAAGCTCTGTCGTTCTGACAAGCTTGGATTGAGCTTGGAAGTGGAGGGGCGAAACACTGAAAGCGAAGATTCCGCAATCTGTTTTTCGATTCTTGCCACAGAAGTAATGCCCTTCCCTTCTCTGGTAAAGCCTTGGAGGACATGGAAAGTTGTGAAGGCAAATCGGGTAGTGGAAGACCCCTTGCCTTAGCCCCCGCGGTCTCTTTTCTATACCGAAAGATAGCGCACTGATCCCCCTAGTCCTTGAACCTTCCTTCCTTTCTTGCAAAGCTGATCTCTGCCTCTTCTGCCCACCTTCCTACGACTGCAGTGGACCAGTTCGATATCGTCACAGGGTATGTGAGAACCCGAATCCTCCAAGTGATTTGCGACGGACAGCTCTCCAAGATATCGGAGGTACTCGCGGACATCGGGGTATCTGGTAAAGAGCAAATGAGATCAGCTATGCCCAGCTTGCTTTGCCGGCCTGTCGGCGTGAGGATAGCACACTCACTTGCCATAGTCAACACCGGGCCTGGTGTCAACAAGCAGGGCATCTATGGGCCAAGCAACAGTAGGCTGAGACGAGCTCATGATATGAACTTTCCTCTCACCCATAGGCCATGGCTTGCGTTTAGCCAGAGTGTCATCTGTTCCTCAAAGACACGAGTAAATGTGTATCCCGCCTCACAGAAGACGCGAGAAAAACTCGATGGACACGCCCCAAAACCGTCGACATATGGTACTCGGACCCGACAAGTCACACCGAACCGACCGCATAGAGACTCGCCAGGAGAGGGGCTGTGAGAACCCTTCAGTTATGATTTGGTCTGTAGCTAATCTGAAAAGTAAGCTGCAGCGACTTATGGCGCATTGTCGGGACTGTGGGTCCAGTCGTCCGACGTCAGCGTGGGATGAACAGGCAAAGAATCAATTTATTTTAAAAAGTCGCAAACCACTGATGTACCCTTTTCATTCTGCTTATCACTTTCTTTAGTGTTTTGAATACAACATGCTACCCTACTCGTACGATGACGCGTCTGACAAGGCCGTTTACTTTTCTTCGTCCTCGTCGTCGACCTCAGCGGTGGCAGGGGCTTCGGGCGCATCGTCATCTGCAACAGGACGCGTCAGCTCTCCCACATTGTACCGGCCGTAGTCGACTCACCCTCATCCTCATCGCCAGAGTCCTCGGGAACAGCATCCTCCTTGTCATCGTCATCTTCCGGCGCGTTGGGGTCAAGCTCGGCCTTTTTCCAGGCCTCAGGCTGTGGGCGTCGCGTCAGCATGCATCCGAGGTTGCAGACGTAGACGTACATCGGCATAGTTCACAGGCTTCCTGTTCCTCCTACCAGGCTGGATCAAGGTGTCAAGATCCTCCTCTTCTTCGTCGACAGGGGCAGTAGTCTCGACAGGAGGCTCGTCAGTGGACTTGCCCTTGCCCTTGACATCGTCGATCTTGGTCCTAGCACAGTCGGTCAGCCACGTTCCGGAGCTCGAGATTGGAAAGAACATACTTCTTCTCATCAGCCTCACCGACGACAGGCTCCTCGGCCTTCCTCTTGTCGCCAGTCTCGGGCTCCTTGGCAGTCTCGATGGGCGCGGCGAGCTCAACCTTCTCAGCGGCAGGGGCGGCAGCAGGAGCGGCAGCGTCAGGGGCAGCAGTAGGCGCAGCAGCGGGGGCGGCGGCAGTTTTGACTTCTTCGGTAGACATGATTTGTGGATGGATGGTCAATGTAGAAGAAAAGATGGATGTGCAAGTCTTGTTTGCCGAATGTGTGAGGTAATGATTCGACGCGTCGCGTATGGAGCCGATTTGATGCCGCTCAGAGTCATTACGTAACGACACAAGCTAAAAATAAGAAGCACGAAACAGAACGAAAGGCGGCTTGAAGAGGGCTATGCAGGCCATGCAGGATGGCAGGCTGCAACACAACTTTCCTTGGGAGCGTGGGACAGCCTAGGCTGTTTGCGCTGTCCGAACACAGAAGATGCATCTTCCCTCCCGCCGCTGCAGTCACTACCGTTGAGTCACCCCCAGTTCGATTACTGCCCAAAGGGGAAATCTCAGGGTCTCGACACCACGAAACGGAACCAAATCTAGATTTTCGGGCCTGAAACCAGGGATCTCCTCGGAGCAGTGAGGAGCCTGGAGCATATTTCTATCTCTTCTCTTTTGGATCTCTTCCACCTTTCTCCTTCTCCTCATACCACCCAGCCTCATCCACAATGTCCGCCGGCCAGTCTGTGAGTCAATGTTCGGTCGCGTGCCACAACCTCCTCCCGCTGTCCGCCTCTCACGCGGCTCCAATCACCATATCCCGATCGTCTTTACTGACCCACATTACAGGAAGTCATCACCCACGTTGGTCACAACAAGTTTGGTTTCGACTCTACCGTCGAGATCGAGCTCCTGAGGAGCTTGTACCTTGTGAGTCTGGCTGCTGGCTTTTTCTGCTCGCTCCGCGTCGCGCATTTGCGGAGACGCTGGGATTGTGTGGTTATCATTCCTCGTGGCAACAGTGGCAGGCGTTGCGCAGTCTTTAAGCTCCGCACACTGCTTGAGCGTCGTTGGCGCTACTGATGGTCCTCTCGTATGCGTTGCGAGGGCCCAGTGCGGCAAGGTCAAAGTTTTTTCTAACATGTTCTCTTTTAACGCTCGCTACGCGCCGCGCTATCTCGGGGGTAGTAACGTAACGCGTCGCGCGTGTATTCACAACCTTTGCAATGGACCCCATTGCCTGGGTTCTGTGATTGTTCCCATTTTCTCTCTGTTGAACTTGGACCCTCTGTCAACACCCCACCCGATGGACGCGCCGCGCGCGCAGCGGCATCTTTTGCCCTTTGCGGCTAAAGATACGATCAGTGCCTGGGACTCGCACCATATCACCCCTTTATACCCGCACATATACTCACTCTACCTCAGACCCCCGCCTACATCAAGGAGGGCGAGGACGTCAAGATCTCTCTTGATGCCCCCAGGAAGGAATTCAACTCCGAGACCACTTACGACCACAACACCAACAGCATCCAGTACTCCACCGTCAACAAGTTCCCTCCCGTCAAGCTCTTGCCCAACTCTGAGCGAAAGAGGATTCTCAGTACGTCTCTTTAGAGTCCTTTCAATCTTGAGCTGACGAAATGTAGTCACTGGTGGTGCCGGTTTCGTCGGTTCCCACCTGGTCGACCGACTCATGCTCCTCGGCCACGAAGTCACCGTCCTTGACAACTTCTTCACTGGTTCCAGGACCACCGTCTCCCACTGGGTCGGTCACCCCAACTTTGAGATGGTCCGACATGATGTCGTCGAGCCCTTCCTCATTGAGGTTGACCGTACGTCTTACCTTCCACTGCTTGCGTTCTTGCTGATCCTTTCGTAGAAATCTACCACCTTGCTTGCCCCGCTTCCCCTCCTCACTACCAGATCAACGCTGTCAAGACCTTGAAGACTTCTTTCGAGGGTACCCTCAACATGCTCGGTCTCGCCAAGCGAACCGGTGCCCGATTCCTCATCACCTCCACCTCCGAGGTCTACGGTGACCCCGAGGAGCACCCCCAGCGTGAAGACTACTGGGGTCACGTCAACTGTATCGGTCCTCGAGCTTGCTACGACGAAGGCAAGCGAGTCGCCGAGACTTTGACTTACGGTTACCACCGTCGTGACGGAGTTGACGTTAGGGTCGCCCGTATCTTCAACACTTTCGGTCCTAGGATGAACCCCTACGATGGCCGAGTTGTCTCCAACTTTATCATCCAGGCCCTCAAGGGTGAGGACATGACTGTGTACGGTGACGGTTCCCAGACCCGATCCTTCCAGTACGTTCACGACTTGATTGACGGTCTTATTCTCTTGATGAACGGCGATGAGACTCGACCCGTCAACATCGGTAACCACGATGAATTCACCATCCTCGAGTTCGCCGAGGCTGTCAGGGTGAGTATTCTTTCTCTGGAGAGTCGAATATATGCTGATATATGCCACAGGACATTGTCGAGAAGGTCCAGAAGGAGGAGAACAACCCTCTCGCCAAGAGGGTTAACATCATCCACAAGGAGATCCCCATCGATGACCCCCAGCGACGAAGGCCCGACACCACCCGTGCCAAGGAGACTATCCAGTGGCAGCCTAGGTGGAACGTCAGGCAGGGTGTTGAGGGTGAGTCTCCTACCCACTACACAAGTCAACAGAAGCTGATGGCATGTCGCAGAGATGGTCAGGTACTACAGCGCCAGGATCAGGGAGGGCGCTATCTAGATGTCGGGTTTTTATACAATACATCGTCGACTGTACTCTTTGTCTTGGGCTCCATCTTGTGCGATGTTATAAAGTTTGTGTTTTGCCATATCAAACTGTCGCCCGTTTTCATAGTGCCACGCTTCTTCCATTTCGGGTATGCTGTATCGTCAACGATATCTGGAGCCACCTAGCTCAAGATCTCAAGTGGTACGCAGCGATCAGTACCAGTATGAAAAAGGTCGGCCGGACCGTCTCAACTTGTAAATCATTCGAGAGTTGTTCAACGAGGAGGGCTCCCGTTTCTAAGTGGACTCCAAATACAAGCTGCTGAGCAGCTCATAAGCATGGGAGAGCCACATGAAGTCGTGCGCTTGGAAGATACACTATACAAGCGCATGCAGAGGATCCCACAGCGAATACATACGTGCAGAGATTCCAGAGAAAGATGGCGGCGGATATTGCCGTAACAGGCGCGGGCAACGGCGGGGCCAACAACAACATCATCGCTTGCCTCCGCCGTCATTGCATCCTCAAACCATCTTCCATCTTCGATCTTTCATTTCTTTCATCTCCGCAGCTCTACTCAATCGCCATGTCCCAGCAGGGTCAACAAGAAATACAGCCAGATGCCCCAACAATAGTCAGCCCGAGCTCGCCGTTCGCTACCAACCCCGCGCCTTCCCCCTTGGCAGATGCGACCGCAGCAGATGGGGCGCCCAACAACGATGCAGAGGCCCAGCGGTCGGAAACAATTGCTTCGGATAAGACTGCGAAGACCTCTTCTGAGGAAGAGCGCACTCAAGATGGCGAGGAGCAGCTGGAAGAGGCCCGAGAAGGATCGAGACACAAACAACCCCTCGACACATTCAAAACGCCCGCTCCTTCGCGCAGTTCTGCCGCTATTCTATCAGCACCCAACGCACCAGGGCCCAATCTTGCCCTTCAAGCCCCCCCTGCTCAGACGCCTGCCTCCAGTGCAACGCCCGCTCCGGGCGGAGGCAGCGCGGCCGGGATGGGCGTGGATCTGGCAGAGTTTGACCCTTACGCTACTCCTGTGCCGTCAAGCTCGGAATCTGGGCAAGAGAAAGAGAAGGATGCGAGCGCGAGATCAAAGGTGAAAGTAGAGGAAAGTCATGCAATGACACCCACTTCCTCTTCTCAAGGCCGTGCTAGGGCGAGCGAGACGGCAGCAGGGAAGCGTCCAGAAGGAAGCGTATCCGAGGTAGAGAGAGGTGCAGAAGAAGAAGAGGAGGCGGAAGAGTTGAAGGAGCCACAGTTCAACTTTTCCGAATTCTTGAAGGATCTCAAGATGAAGAGTGCGGATCCTGTTGCCCGGTATCTCAAGAGGTGAGTTTAGACTTCTGTATCAAGCTCTAGTGTGTTCATGGGCGCTCACGTGCTCTATACAGCTTCCTATCCAACTTTGTGAAGAAGCCGTTCACGGTGAATGAGCAGATTAAGCTCATACATGATTTCCTCGACGTACGTGCTTGCCCCCGAGGTTGTCTGTATAGACTGATGACACAAGAACAGTTCATTTCGGAGAAGATGCTTCTGGTGGAGCCATGGAAATCCCAATCACCAGCAGAGTTTGACAATGCTATGGAAGCTATGGAGAAACTCGTTATGAACCGGCTATACAACTAGCAAGTCGTCATATCTCGTTCAGACATATCGGACTGACACAAGGACCCTGTAGCACATTCACACCCCAGCTTGTCGCCTCTCAACCCATCACCACCGACGATTTAGAACGAGACGCCGTCTTCCAGCAAAGAGTCAGGTTGTTCGGATGGATCAGAGAGAAACATCTGGACGTACCCGAGGGAGAGGCGGCCGATGGTTTCTTGGGCTTTGCAGAGCAGGGTACGTTTTCTTCTGATTGTTGAAGCCAAGGCTAATATCCTTTTGTAGAGCTACTCAAGATCAGTCACTATAAAGCGCCAAGAGACAAGATGATCTGCGTACTGAACTGCTGCAAAGTCATCTTTGGCACGTCTCTTTCTTGCCTTACCATGTCATGAGCGCTAATGGAGGGTGCAGGTCTGATACGCAACACGTACGGCCCTTCGTCCGGTAGTGCCGATGCCTTCATTCCCATCCTGATCTTCACCCTTTTGCGAGCCAATCCACCGAATTTGATCTCCAACATTGAATACATCCAACGCTTCCGTCGCCCCTCTGCTCTTTCTGGAGAAGCCGCATACTACCTTTCTTCTCTGAACGGAGCGGTGCAGTTTGTAGAAACGATGGATGCCGGGTCGCTATCGGGGATAAGCCAGGAAGAGTTTGAAAAGAAGGTGGAAGATGCTATCGGAGAATTGCCGCCATCGCCTAGCGATGCTATGGGTGGGGGCAGTCTGGCAAGAGGGGTGAGGACGCCGCGAAGGGGCGAGGACGACCGTAAAGAACGGGAGCGGGCCGCTGCGGGCGTCTCTCCTTTCCAGACCCCTGCGCCAGGTGAAGAAGCGGCGCGCCCGCTCTCCATGATGACTGCACAGGCGTCGTTGGAAGGTACGAAAAGATGGTTTACAAAGACAGCGGGGACTACGGCGGGCAACTTGGGCAATCTGGTGCAGGAAGGTGTGTCGAGGCCTCTCAGCGCGATAGGCAAGATCTTGGAGGGAATGTCGCCTGCACCGGGATCGGAACAGAGGCAAGGGCAGAGGAGTGAAGATGGGAGTGACGAGGAGAGCCCGAGGAGAGGGGATCGGGATGTATTCGGAGTGAGACGGTTTAGAGAGAGGGAGAGGGCGGGAACACCAGATAGCCCATTGAGGTTCTTGGGTGTTGAGGATGTCAATTCCAGATCGTACGTTTCTCCCATTTTTGACGTACTGTGTGCTAACCATACCGAAGCACGACACCCCTTTCAGAAACACTCCCTGATTTCTCGTCCCTCCAGCTCCAAGCCTCCAATGCGCAGTCTCATTCTTCCGAGATGACACATCGCGCCAACGTTCAAACTCTGGGACAAATGTTTCCAGCCCTGGACGAGGATGTGGTGGAAGCAGTATTGGATGGATGCGGGGAAGATTTGGGGCTGGCTATTGATCGGTTATTGGAGATGTAGCTTCGCCCATGTTTGCATAGCATACAGTAGAATTGTATAGTAGTTATAGCACATTACCCGTAATGCATTATTTGGGCTCATACTTGGAGCAAGCGCGTTTGGATGCAAGAAAGCAGATGCATGTCTAGATAGATTCTGGTGGTCTATATGTCGACCAAGGGATTCAAGAAAGCCGAGAAAGGCATATGACTCCAACAAAAGATACAAAATGCAACAAGAGATTCAAAAGATCAGAGGAGAACCTGGTTGGTAGAGTTTTTGCTGAGAGACTTGTTTGGAAGGACGATACAGCTCCTGACAAATGTTTCGGGAGCAAGGGTGACATCAGACGCTACAATTACATTAGTTTTGACTGTCTGGAAAGAGAGTGGGCGGCGACTCACCAAGAATGGTTACACTGATCTTGCCCTTGACCTCCTTCTCGGGCTCGGCCTCGCCATCGACCCTACCCCACTTACCAATCTGACAATCCGCCCCGATGATGCTGTTCTGCACACATGAGTGCTGTCCGAGGACGGATCCTTCAAGGATGATGGCGTCCCTTACTCGGACGCCTTCAGAGATGGTCACGTTGGGGCCGATAGCGACGTTGGGGCCAATCTTGGCGCTGGGGTGGATAAAGGCGGAGGGGGATATGAAGGTGGGGGCGAGAACATGGTTTGGCTGGGCATCGGTCAGGAGGGAGGGAGAGATCTTTGAAAAGTTGTTGAGGTAGAGGGCGTTCGCAGAGACGGCCGAACTTTTGGCGAGGATCAGATCTAGGGCCGATGGGAAGCAAAAGTACTCACGCAGCAGTCTTGATCTGTCTCCAGAATTCCTTGGTCTGGTAGACGTACATCTTCTTGCCGGCGGCAAGGGGGACGATGACGTCCTGCTCAAGACGCAAGATCTCATCGGGCTTGACAAGAGGGTCGGCCCTGAAACGCGTCGCGTCAGTCATACTCATGCATGTAAAGCTCCGGGATGGTACTCACGCGGCTCGGGCAGTCTTTTCATCCATGGCCACCTTGATCTCATCAAACAAGGACTTGTCAAACAGGTACACACCGCCGTTCACCGTGTTTGAGATCCATCCCTCGGGCTTTTCGACATAGTGAACCATTTGGTTCGTCTCGGGATCCGTGACGATGCAACCGTACTGGGTAGCGGTCTCCTTCTTGACATTGACACCGAGGATGGTGCCGACGCCACGGTGGGAGGTGTGGACCTTGAGCATGTCGGCGAAGGGGAAGGAGCAGCAGACGTCGATGTTGCAGATAAAGATGTTTTGGGGAACGGGGGGGCGGAGGATGGAGTCTCGGACTGGCCAATGGGATCAGTACCTCATTTATGGGGCTAAAGGATTGACTGACAGTGGTAGAGACCGCCGGCAGTACCCAGAGCCTTGTACTCTCTCAAGTAGCTGATGCCAATGTTGGGGAATTCTCGCTTGGCCTCCTTGACAAAGGGCGCCATCTGCGAGTCTTCATAGAAACCAATGATGATGATTTCCGTGAGACCAGCGACCTTGGACAGGGCGGATACAGGATGCCAGATCATGGGCTTGCCGGCGATGGGCAAGAGAGGCTTGGGGCCTGAATTGAAAGAACGCGATACGTGTCAGTTCAGGAGGCGATGGAGCCGGGGAGCTTACAGTCGAGGGTGAGGGGCCTCATGCGGGTGCCCTTGGAGGGACCGCCGACGAGGATGACGCCTTTGGTGACAGACATGGCTGTGGATGGATGGATGGAAGAGAGAGGAGAAGAGTGACGAGAGGCTCATCCATCCCTGAGAGTTACCATCTAGCCGCGACTCTAACCTCTCAGGCACACTGCGCTCGGCGCTGGACGGTCTCGAACGCAGCGCAGAGATGGATGCTGTTGGTGGCTGGTGGCTGGGGCTTGTATGGTCATGCCGGGAAGCACAATCGCCCGGGGGCAGGAGAAGGAGGAGGCAGGAGTGTGAACATGAATGAGGGGAGGAAGAGAGTTGCTCTCGCCTTGGTCTATGCATGAGGAAGTTGCTGCAGGTCCAAGTAGATACTCTCCACCCATGCGTTGCAGAGCACCGTCCCCCCCCGTCCCCCCTCTGACCCCAGATGCATATCCCAGGTGGCGCCAAATAACGGATATTAGATGATGACGGATCTGGCGAGTGCGGAGTGCCCCACCGGATGCGGTGATTCATTCTTCTCTTTCATTTCTACTTCTCTTCATCCCCCCCTATCTCCTGCCCCCCTCCCCTGCCCTGCCCACAGACACAGCGGGCACCCTGACATCAGTACCACTGCGCACGTTCTTGTCTCCCACACAACCCCGGTCGGACACCACCATGGCGCCCCTCACCGTCTGGGCCATCCACACCTTCGTCGCAGAGCATGGCGACGAGCTCGACTTCAAGGCGGGCGAGGAGATCGAAGTCATAGAAAAAGACGATGCTTTCGGAGATGGATGGTGGAGAGTGAGTCCCTATGGCCTTGGAGACACTGTCCCGCTGACTGTCCCAGGGACGCAACAACAAAGGCGAAGAAGGTCTTTTTCCTGCAACCTACATCTCTCAGGACCTGCCGGCACATGCGGAGTCGGAAGCTGTTACTGAGAAGGAGGACACACCAGTCGAAAAGGAAACCGGATATCTGGTGAATGGAGCAACAAACGGTACAGCTGCATCCTCCGAGACGCCCACCCCCACGCCCCCTTCTCCTGCTCCCGCAACAGCATCTGTAAACGCCCTCAATGCGACCACTCCGGGCGCGTACCCCTCGGATAACAATGTCGCCGCATCAAACGCTTTGAGCCCGTCGGAAAGTCCCAACGGCACGAGTACAGTCGACGGGCCGATCCTTGATTCCGCTTCAGCAGCGGTGGGTGCGGCGACTGGTGTCGCCGGTGCCGCAGCTGCGAGCGTCGGAACGGTCATGAACAGGACCATCGGTGATATCCAAGACGCTATCGAGTCCATCGCCGCTCCCGCCGAGTCGGAAGACGGGGACGACCACTCTGAGCTCGGTATCGGTCAGGATGCACGAGCCAAGCTTGTCGAGCAGGCCCGCTTGGCCAACGAAAAGAGGGAGAGGGATGATGGCGGTTTCATCTATTCTGATGAGAGCGACGACGAAGAGGACGAGTATATCCGCAGAAGGAGTTTGCCCTTGGAGACCAAGAGCAGGACGAGCCTGGGGACGGCCGACTCGCTGTTCGGGAACGGGTCAACGGCCACAGCTCAAAAGGAAGTCCAAGCAGAGCCTGTGGCGAGAGTGCCTTCTCCTGTGAAGACTCCTGCTGCCGCGGTGCCCTTCCCTACTTCTGCTCCAGTACCAAGGGCAACACCTTCCCCCTCCAACCACATCATCGCTCCCGAACCTACCCACGACTCTAACTCCCAGGCTGCCGAGCCCGAGACTTCCAAGTCGGCTGTCACCCCCAAACTCGAAACTCCCGGTACCCTCGAGCCTGCGTTCTTCCCCACCACGCCTTCTGTATCCCAGACTCCCGTCGCTCGAGGCCTGACCCAGTCTCCCGCGAACGGGGCGGGCGGCATAACTTCAAGCAATGTGTCCCACAAGTCTGGCAACATCCCTGCCAAGCCACCTACGACTTGGACTGTCGACGATGTTGTTGCCTGGGCGCAAGCAAAAGGTTTTGATGAGGGAATCGTCGACAAGTTCAAAGGTGCGTTGTTCATCTACATACATGACCAGTACTGACCAAAGAACCAGAACACGAGATTTCTGGAGACATTCTCCTCGAGCTCGATGCCAACCTTCTCAAAGAGCTCGATATACCGGCGTTCGGCAAGCGCATGCGCATCGCAGCCGCCATCTCTGAACTTCGCCGACCTTCCTCTATCGTCTCCTCCCACTCTCAGCAACTCTCTCCTTCAGGCCTTCCCGGCCAAGGTGGCTACGGCGGCTCTTCCCGAGGTATGAGCGCCCCACCTTCCAGCCTCGGGTACCCGGGCTACCCCAGCACCCCACCTCTGTCGACTCCGCCTTTGAGCGCAAGCTCGGGCGCTGGCGAGGAAGGTATTGCGTATGGCGCTTGGTCGCATGGACGAAAGAGCAGTGGGCACCATGCCTCGGTGCCCGTCATGGAGAGCATCAATGAGCACGGGGGACAGCAGGCCCAAAAGCAGGTTCAATCTCCCAAAGAGCCCGAGCCCAAGCGCGTTAGCCAGCCTGCTTCCTCTGCACCCTCAACTTCTCAGGCAGCTTCCTCCCTCCCTGCCTCTCCCACCACTCCCGCCACCCCTGCCACTGCCAACTCTACCAAAACGACTTCCACCCTCAACAAACGCGAGTCCACCGGCAGCATGTCGCACAAGCGCGGTAAGCCGAGTTTGGGCGGTGAAGCCAAAGACAGGCTCTCCTTCTTTGGCAGAAAGAAGCCCGCTCCTGCCGGGTCGCCAACGGCAGAGGGCAATAGGAGCGTTTCTAGGTTGGGCTTTGGTGGAGGCAACAAGACCCATCAGGTCACTCCTGCTGTTCCTGCGAAGCGTGTCTCTGGACCTTCCAACCTGGGCGGATCTGCCGAGGGTGGTGCCGTGTCTGGCGGCTCGGCCTTGCAAAAGATTGGCAACCCCGACTACTCTGGCTATATGAAAAAGAAGGGCGAGCGTTATGGTGGTTGGAAGAGTCGATACGTTGTGCTCAAGGGTCCTACCCTGTACGTCCTCAAGAGTGAGCACGCCGACAGTCTCAAGGACAAGATCAATCTTCACAACCACCGTGTCGTGGCCGATGCCTCCGCCCCTTCGGGATCGTACGGTCTCCGCCTCGCCCCCAATACATCGGGCGACCCTGCCCACTTCTTCTCTGCCAACGAGCAGACGACTGTCAGGGGTTGGATGAAGGCGCTCCTTAAAGCTACCATTGAAAGGGATTACACAAAGCCAGTGACAAGTAGTTGTAACATTCCGACCATTCCTCTGGCCGAGGCGCAGGCGATGGCTCCCAGACCGCCCAGTCCCGCTACCAGGGAGGCCACGCAGAGGGCCACCAGGAGAGATAACCCCAACCAGTTGACGCCGCATGACGCGACCATCCTCGTAAGTTTTGGAGCTTTCAACAAACGAACGACAAAGCTGATTGATATCAAAGACGAGCTTGGATACATCTTCTGGACAGAAGAGGCGTTCTCAACTTTCAGCAGGTGCCCCGAGTCCTGGCAGACCTGATCGAGACTCGAGGCGGCCCTCTAGCCACGTCAGCCAGACTACACAAGATACCCAGAGAGCCTCGACTCTCGGTGCAGGTGAAGCTTTGGGAGCGGCCACCAGCCGCGGAAGTGGCAAGGCTTTCAGTGTGAGTCTTTATAGTCAGAATTGGGACAAGATCTGACAATTGAACAGGGCATCTCGTTCAACCCTGTAGATGCTTCCGAAGCTCCACAGCTCGTCCAATGGGTCAACGACCATCTCCCGGAGATCTACCCTCGGGTGACTTCCTTCCCCCAAGCCTTTGCTTCAGGCGAAGTCATCTTCCTTCTGGTCAAATCCCTCTCCGGTGTCGAACCTTCCCCGCCCGTCGGGCCTGAAGCGTTCCAGCCTGACCCTAACGGACAGCCAGGGATCGAGGGACTGTTTGCGATGATGGACATGTTGGTGGACAGTGGTGTCGGAATTGAAGGGGTCAGCATCAATGATGTGAGGACGGCAGACGAGGCGGGAGTACTGCGGTTGTTGAAGGATGTGAAGAGCTGGCACGAGAATGGACAAAAGGCTTGAAGGGATTGATCATGGTTGGGACAAATTGTGGAGCGGCAGCGAGGCCCGACTGTTGTTATGCTACATACAGAGTGAGGGTCTTGTAATGCCATAGATTCTATAATAAGTGCACTCTTATGCTTTTGCTTTATTCTGATTCGGCGATCTTGTAAGAATGCTGCATCTTCAATTGTTTATGGTCGTACATGCAAAGGGGATCAGGATTGCGATGATAACAGATAGCATCGGGATGGAATTGACAAGGTGATACATGATATACGTGTGCATCTACCCTTTTCACTCACTCCCAATTTTCCTCCGTGCTTCCTCCTCCCTCGTCCGGAAGAATGAGAGCTCGCTTTGCAGCCGCGGGTGGGTCGTTGGTCCTGGACCCGAGACGAGCTCGTGCATGACAATCTCGTAGATTGACGATACAAACGAATTACGCTCGGGAAGAGATTTGATCTTGAGAGACTGGTTCTGGACCAGACGGACGAGCTCATTCCGAAGGCGGGTCATGCTGACACTACAGTCAGCTTTGGAGAATGGTCAGGTGAAGAAAGGTTCACTCGCCTGGAAAACAACATTGCTTCGTCACTTTCCTCGCTCAGGCCTAGAATACAGCCAAACATCCCCGCATACCTTCCCGCAACCTTTCTGACAGCTCGGTTCTTGACCCCAGCCTTCACAAGACCAGCGAAGCCTTTCCCCTCAGCATCGTCCGCCATCCTTTTCAGGCTATCCACATGCTGGTCCATCTCTTTTCTGAATACTGGCCACAAGGAAAGCTTTTGTGCAGTGAGGTACGAATCAAGAGGGATGGTCCCCCGGAGGGACGCAATATTGAGGAGACGATCATTGAGGCGGATGATAGTGAGAAGAGGGATGGCCGGGGGAGAAGGGGAGAGGATGAACTGGTAGAATTGGGAAGTTGATTCGAGGGCAGAGTCAAAGACTTCGTGCCAGATCCTTTCCGCCTCTTTGAGCCCTTCACTGTTATTATCAGGTGTGTGGCCATTCGGCCGCTTCTTGGGAGTTCCCCGTCCGCCTGCTTCAGAAGTGATATCAACAAATGAAGCGGAAGGTGATTCGAGAGGCGTCGATGACGGGGAGAGCGCATTGAGGCGGTCGGAAGAAGGAGGCTGGGATTGCAGAGCGGGGGGAGAGAAGAACCGAACAATGAATGTGAACTCTGCAGAGGCATTATCGAGTAGGACGAGACTCAATGACCGGAACAGAGCCTCCACTGGGAGTTTCTGCTTGGAGTCAGTGTCCTGTATACAGCTCCACTGTCCAGTGACTCACATAGTCCTTGTCATCGGCCATGAAACTCAAGACAACTCCTCCTTCTCCAACTTCCGCGTACCCCAACCTTTCGTAAGCTTCCGATAATCCCTCCTTTTCTCCACTCAGCAAGGCCTCTCCACTGACAGCACCTATAAGCTCATTCTTCTCGGGACTCCTCGTGCGAATCTGCGTCAATGATCGAGCATACCGGCGGAAGGCCGTTTCGTAGTATGATCTCGCAGCATTGACATAGCCTCGTTCGACCTGTTTTGCTATTCTAGGCGAGTGGCGATAAAGAAAGGCGTAAAAGGGCTGATATTTGAGGAGCAATGACGTCTGGAGGACGGCGAGATTTGTCGACAGCCCTTTGGATGCGCTCTTGAGCGGCTTGATCAAACTCAACAGGAATGGAGGCAGAACATTCAGAGCTTTGATCCGAAGCCCGTCTACCACAGGCTGTAGCTCCGAGGCAGCCTGGACTTTGGCGGATCTCATTCGAAGGGTGACAAGCTTCTCGTCCAGCTGAGTGATGGCTGACAGCCAGAGATCGGGATTCTGGGCTGGAACGGTGTCTCGGAGAGTGAGGACCAGAGCAGGTGGTAGACTGATATCGGCCAACAGACGATTGAGGGCCGGTATGACTGCCTACGCACATTGTTAGTCGCAAAGACAAGCGCGGACATAGTATTACAAGATACCTTGCGACCATTCAGACGCCCTTCTATCTCGGAGCTCTTGCCTTGCAGCTCGGATATCTGTCCCGACACAGCTGACAGATCGGTTTGGAACGTCGAAAGATACGAAGCTAATGAAGATAAGAGCTCGTCACTTGACTGTCAATTGTTACTCTGTCAGCAGGGCTCGATGTCGCCGGCAGTGACGACTTGCCTCCACAGAGTGCTGTAATTCAATGTAATCGTTCTTCCTCTTGAGGACTGCGAGCTGTCAGAGTGAATCGAAGTATGTATAGCAGATCCACGTACATGCTTCTCTGTCTGCTTCTTCTTGGCTTTCATTCAGATCCAACTCCTCCTCATACGCCTCCTCGAGCTCGGGCTCGACAGACAGCGGCAGTCTGGACGGCCCAGCGCCGGGAGTTTCAGTTGCGACCTGTGGGTTTTGTCAAAGGCAGCCAGGTGTGTAGTATTCAGGGGGACTTGCCTGACTGTCGGACATGGTTCTGAATACTTTGGTGCATGAGAGGAATTCGCTTCATCACTTGTAGCAGTTGTCGTGTCGCGTCGGCTAGCTTTGCGGACATGGCCGCCCCGTCCCTCCCGTATTGTTCTTGTTGTTGTTCCGCGAAAGTCATCTATCGATGTAGCTTGTCCGTCGTTGTCCAGTGCGCATATATTGAGACGTCTGTGTCAATCACATGCGTTTCTGCTATCCTTCGATACAGCTATCTGTGGAAATCGCCACCCTGGTTTGGAAGAACATTGCTTTGCCTTACAAGCCCTGAGGTTTCTTCTCACTAGATTCTGGGCACATTTGGCCTACCAGCGTGTATTATATCACTGTCAGAGTTTGGTGTATATCTACTTTTGCATACATAATGACCAAAGGGATTCGTCCCAAATTGTCACACTCTGATCCACAATGTCATAAATGTCCCAATGCTATCTCTGTCCTCTTTAGAAGTCTGCCCCTTCCACCTTTGAATACTATCAGCTTCGGACCTTTGGAGATACACGAAGGCCACTTACATTGAATACGGTGGCATACTTCATGTATGGCTGCATGATCTCGAAGATACCCACGGGCAAGTTCTACAAAGCCGTCAGCCGTGCGCTTTATCAACATCAGAACGTGGGATAGAATACGGACCATACTGAGAAGAGAGTATTGTATCTTGGCATGGCCATGGGTAAGTCCCAGCTTGTACAGGTAATGTGCGACGAGTGAAGGATAAGCGGCATCCATGTACCATCTGCCTCTTGGTCAGCGCTCTAGTTACATGATCATGAAGAAACAACTCACCGGTGATGATAAGTAGTGAGTCTCACAGCAGCTGTCAAGCTCTTCGCCAGATCTCCCTCATTCGCATATACCTCCAGCAACTTCATAAGCGCCTTTGCACTAAACTTGCTATCCAAACATCTCTGATAAGCATCCTTGGCTTCTTCCTTGTGATGCAATCGCCATGCAAGCTCGCCCAAAATCTCCCATTCGGTGCCGGTTTTGCGGTAGGACATGTGTTGAGTCTTAAAGTGGGAAATTTCGGCGCGCCATATTGTGTAAACGCGGAGGTCCTCATACAAGACACTGTGAGGTTGTGAGCCAATGAATGTGGGGTAGATGAATTTTACGTACATGAAGAGGTTATCCAACCAGCGCTCACAAAGTCTCTTGTTGGAAAATGGTGAAGAAGCAGGCGCCTCGCCCTCGCCTTTCAACCCATGTGACTCTTCGTTCGCTTGGGCCGTCTCAGGCTTCTCCAAAGACGGCTCGTCCATCTCTGCCGCGTCGTCGCTATTCGCATCCTCAGACTCTTCTTCTTTGGTGGGTGAGAGTTGCGAAGGTGTGCGAGCATGAGATACGTTGGGAGTACGAGAGGACTCGGTTGAGATCCTGATGGTAGGTATTTCAGTCGGGGCCGCAGTCTCACTTTCACTATCCACGGAAGACGTCCCCTTTACTCCTCTGGTTGACGAACTCAAGTCGCCCTCGGCAACACCACCATCGACAGCATCCACCGAAGGCCCAGTCTTGTGCATCCTGTATTCTTCTTCCATGACGAACACGGAGGATCTAGTTCTGAGGAGCTCGTCCCAGCCAATTTTGGAAACCAGGAGGGTAAGGAGAGAGTAAGCTTTGGCAAAGGTGCCTCGGAGGTTTGGGGCAGGGAGGCGGAAGAGGGCGACGTCTGCCTGCATTGATGTCAGCGGTGTCCACCTCACCATCTCATAACCCACCTCGTTCTCGCGAGGCGAGTCTTCATCCAGCAGATTCGATTCGGCGATAAACTTTTTGACAGGGAGATGCGTCTTTGCGGGCCCTGGCATCCTATGCAGATCCCTTTCGTTATACGTAAACATTGGGCAAGAGTTCAAAGTTAACAATGCCTGGTCAAATTGGCCCAATTCAATGTATGTCTCGGCAAGTTTGGCCCAAGTGACGAATTCTGAGGGCGCCGAGTTGACCGCCTGTTGGGCAACCTTCTGGGCCCATTCCAAGCTGCGTTTGGAGAGGAGGAAATCGACCTGAACATGGAGAATGGGGTAGGACTGAGGATTGGACTGGAGGGCGAGGTTCATGATTTTGACCGCTTTGATTTCCTCGTCTACGCAGCGTCAGCAAAGTCGCGCAACTGGCTCATCCATACTCACTCATACCGATGTAGCTCTTGGCCACCAAAGCAGCCACCTCGGGCTCCTTGACCACCATCCTTTCGAACAGGTTGGCTGCGCGGTCCAGTCTGAAAGATTCAGAAAAGTATTTGATGATGGCCGAAGTCAGGTGATTCGTCACTACAGTGGCGACCTGGATTTCCGGATCTGACCCCAGCTGCCAACCTTGGAAGAGTTCAGCGACCTTCCTTCTATTGTCACAAGGCGCTCACCTCTGAAGAACAGCGCCTCTGCAGCCTTCAAAAACCTCTCTTCCGCCTCGGGCGTTGTGATAGGATCCAGCTTCCTGTAGCCCGCCAGCCTATAGCTCGCATCGTCCGCATATCTGATTGCTCTTAAAAGGGCTGAGAGATACGTCTCCTGCCAGAGCTCGGGGGTAGGGGCATGTCGATTGCCGTGGAGGTCCACGACGAACGCTTCAACACCACCTGGGATGTTGGCCTCCACTCGCATGTCGACTCTGGAGAAAGCATTGAAGCAGCTTTACGCGAATAAGCTACGCTCAAATGTGTGGAGAATGTGAGATCTCACCAGTAAGTACCACTACGGACTTTCCACGCTGACCCCTTTCCGAACCATGCTTGGGAGTCTTCAATGGAGAACTGGAGCGAGTTGAGGTATGCAGCAAGTGAGGCAGACGATGAAGCTTCCACACCAGAGCTATATTTAGGTTAGCAACACCGAAATGGCAGTCGTAGATATGATTACCAGTAGTGATAGGAGCCGAGCTATAAAACGCATCAGCTGCAGTCCGTTCGTCTCAATGTATACGCACGTCTCTCTGAGTAGGAGGCTTTCCGGACACCTTTATTACGTGACACAGATCGGGGGGACCCAGTTCTCTAAAAGAGCCTGCATGACTGTGAGCTGCGGTCGATGATAGGTGCTGGACGGCATACCGAGTGTTTCTGTCCTAGCAGCGAGGCACTCGCCGATGTCGGCCTGCGGGAAGTCAGACTAGTCCTATTGAGGGTTAATGACATACCTCGACGAACTCCGGGATGTCTTTGAAGAGCTCTGACATGGTTTGTGGCGATGGAGGGAGACAAGACGCGCAACAATGAAAGAGTACATGGTGACGCGGCACAACCCGCCAGTGGAGGTCCCCGCAGCCCGCTGCTTTAGTTCCGCGCGTCAGAACCTGTTGTTTGCCTGTTGCATATACTATGCAGCCTCCTTTCAGCCACCCTTTTCGAAGCCACTGTCACGGCATTGAGAAGGGTGCAAACGGTGCGAGAAGCCTGGCAGATTCGAATGCACAGCCACCAGACCATCGCGTCAGGACGAAGCCAGAATCATCATCTTCTTGCAGCTTAAGGCATGTGACTAGTGCTTGTACAACTTGTTGTTTGAGCGTCTCTGTGACCGGAGAAGAGCCACACCTGTACCTTAATAGCACTGGGATCTGCTTGTAAGCCGTGACACATTGCAAATACACTGATATGCTCTCTTGAGAGCTATTCTATCGGACTCCTTTCTTGATACGATACGATTTTCTTGCGAACATGGTACCTGTCTTCCTTTGATTTGCAGCATAGTCCCTCCAAGCAACTGAACTTACCCGATATATTGTATCAAAGCGTTTGGGATACATCCGTGTGGTCAAACGCACCTTAATCAGATTAGATAAGGACGCGCGAATCGGACTTGCACGGCCGATGGATCACAACAGCGCGGGTATGAGTCGAGCACGGCATGCATACATCTCAACATCCCTTTGATGCTTTTCCTCCCCATCGCCAGGGATGACTCTCCCTCCCAAAACCGAGGATGTCCTCGCCGCCTGTCACCGCCTGCCCAGCGACATACAGCTGCTTATCTACCATCAGCTCGCCCTCTCGCCCTCATTCTCCTTTATCCTCACCTGCAGAGAGAACTACGAGAGGCATGTCTGTCGCTTGTATACCTGCGTGGCCCTGAATGCCCAGACTGCTCCCTCCTTCTACCACGCCATAGGCGGCGACGATGATGAGGACGACGCGCCGGTAGACTGGCAAGAACCTCCCGAGCTATGGCCTATGGCAGCCCGCAAGGCTGCCTTCCAGCTCAACCGAAATGTCCCACCACCTATCCCCTCCCCCTCATTTCCTCTCCTCTCCCTCCCGCCCACAGCTCGGAAACTCCTCCTCATCAACCTCACTCTTGACATTACCCTCGTCGACCGCGAGGCCCTCGAGTACACCGAGCGCGTGGCAATGCTGTACTACAAGCAGTCGGCCTACCTCACTCTGGGGGGCGATGCGGGAAACGGAGGGTATTCCCAGGAGGTGCTATTTCTGAGGTGTCAGGGTATACACTTTGGGGCAGGAGTGATTGACCAGCTGGCAAATGGGCCGGGCGGCTGGGAGGAGAAGATCTGGAACTTGGCGTACGCGTTTAGAGGGCCCACGTTGGTCACTGTCGCAGTGCCAGATAAATTTGAGATGCAAAAGAGGAAGAAGGCGTTGGGGTTGATGGAGGGGTCACTGAAGTATCTGGGGTGTAAGCTGAGTGGCTATTATGGGACGGCGGTGAAAAGCCGGTGTTGTCTAGATTGGTAGCAGACAGATCGTAGCAAAGTATGCCGAAGCCTGGTACAATACAAATGCATTCTTTGCGTTACGTGAAATCTATCCCGGCCAACCATACGCTCAACACTCGCCTTGTTACAGATCAGACACCCGTTAAAGGTGCAGGCTTTGCGTCGGTGATTGTCCTGAGGACATAATCGTCTCCGTTCTGCGTAATATATCTGACCCATGGAAGAGCCTTGTACCCAGACTTTTCGACAATCTTGAGATACCGCACTTGTATACCCGAGACAGTAAAGTATGGGATCTCGAATTTGACCGAGATGGGGGCACGCTTGTCGATTTCCTCTGCGAAAGAGTCATCAGTAACCAGCCACGTAGGGTTCATGATTTGAACGTACCATTTCTGACACTTGGCAATCCAAAGTGCGCTCGCATGAGGTAATCTCGTCCACCTCCGAGCTGCTTGATCTTCCACACGAACGCCGACTTTTCGGGTGCGTACACCACCGAGCCCACCGATGCCTTGACCGCGAGTCAGCATTGCATGATGAGATGATTGGCAAATGGACTTACCCTGAATTTCGGGCTGTCCGCATCGTCCGGCACCGGCACATAGATCTCTACATTATTTGCCGTACTCCTCCTCTTGAACTGTCCCTTCACCTTGACGATATACTCCACCCGACTCCCCTTATGGCTCTCCACACTAGCCTCGACAAACACCAGCGGCTTCACAGGCGTCGACAGCCTATACGACATCAACTCAAACTCGCCATCGGGCGGGATGAACGAGATGGTCCTGTCATTCTCGAATCTCGACAACCGTACACACTGGTGGAACTTGACGTCTTCCATCTCGATAGACTTTCCGCGGGCGGAGCGGCCGGTCGTCTCAAACATGGCCTTGTCGTTGAGGCCTAGACGGAGTTCTGGCATGCCGGAGAGGTAGCACTTCATCTTGACGGCACCGAGGATTTCGGATCGGATGACGTTCCCGCTGGCATTCACCTGGCGCTTTCGTCAGTTTGGCCTCCCCGGGGATAACGGCATACGCACGAGCAGATTGACACTCTCTACAACATCCAAAAACACTTCATTCTTCCGGTATCTGATGCCTTCAGATCGCCATGACACTGCGTTCGTGACCGCCATAGGAGGTCGGACCTGCACCTCGAGCTTGTGTGATTCTTGCGTGATGTACCTGGAGGATTATAAGTACCAGACGGGGTGACGAGAAAGAAGTCTCACTCTTGCAGGATCTTGCTCTCTGTGGTTTGAGGGTAGCCAAAGTCCATCATTTCGTCCAAAAGCTCATAGATGATGACAAAGTTGTCACGGATAGATTCTTCTTCCAACTCTTTGAAATACTCTGTAAGAACCTGGGTATGGTTAGCCAGATAATAGGTATGGGATTGAAGCCGAGCTTACAGAACAAAGTCGGTGAAGGAAGAAGATGACCTCTGCGGCGTTGCTATTTCTCTTTGACAATGCCAATACTACGATTCCCAAGTAAGTAGCTGCCAGCCGATCTAGCCAGTTTCGCTCACAGTAGAGGTTGTTATGCCTTATGTGCATATAATTCACTCCCTCATCGCTGAAACAAGGCACAACTGGCACATTCTCCTCTTCCATGTCCAATATCAACGGCAAGAATCGCTCAATGTACGATGGTGGGACGTCATCTTTGTATGATCTTTGGATAAGCGACTAGCCAAGCATACATGTTAGCTGAGAATCAACATGATTTAAAGAGCTGAAGACATACTTTGCCCTTGACGTCGAGGATAGCGACTGGGAGACAGGGTCAGCAGCTGTCGAGTGGAAGCAAACGAGCGTACCAAGAGAGGCCATGGTCAGTGGAGGTAGTGCTAGGGAGGAGAAGGTGTGTTATGGTTTGCGGTGGGTGGACAGGAGATGAGCACGGCAAGAGCATGAGAGTAAAGCAAGAGAGTAACCCGACGCACCACGACGCGACTCTTCTTTGAGCATTCACCCCCACTTAACCGCCCGAGCCCAATACCATGGATGCCGGTTCTACATTAGCTTTTTCATTGCATTCGCGCTGGGCCAACAAGATCTAGCAAGTCCTTGCACAGCGAGCATGAAGTGGCCGGAGGAATGATTAGGGCTCAGCTCCAGGGATCTGCTGATACGTGCAGTCCTGGAGCACCGCGTTGTCATTCAACGCGAGGGCAGCAACCCTCCAACTTGCCTCAACTGGGGCGATCCCAGAGTCCATGACAAACTTAGATGCAATCGCAATGTTACAGTGCAAATGGTTGTTTTGAAGCGCACACATCGACACAGTGAACAGTACCACCAATTCATCTCTCCTAAAGCGACAAGATCTACCGCCAACGTATATACAAAAGAGTTTTACAAGCGCGTACTGTACGCCTTCTACCATTCCTTGCCGAGTTTGAATCCTGTCCGCCAGTCAGCTCCACTCGGACTAGATCCAAAGGCACACTCACCCCACTCAAAGTCAAGCCAGACAGTCGCATCATCGTCAATGACACGACTCCTCACGACGTAGCTACCACTCCTGGCAAGCATACCTGACGGGCTCTCTTCACTGGCAAAGATCTTTTCATAAGGCTGCTCCTGGGGGCCATAGGACCCGAGCATGGCCTCGGTCTTGTCGACAGTAATACCAGCCCGCTTGACGACCTGGATGTATTTGAGACCCGAGACAATCTCGTTGGCGATCTGGAAGGTGATGCCGACAGAGTACTCGACGCCCTCTTTGATGGTTACTGGAAAGCAAAAGTCAGTACAAGGTGGCTTGACGACGGGGCGGTGTCAAAGGGCACGGGCTTACGGGGTTCCTTCTTGAGCTGGGCGAGCTGGTCCTTGGACTGAGTCAAGTCGATAGAAATCGGGTGGTGGAGGGTGGGAGAAGTGAGGAAGAGAGACTTGAGGATAGCCTGGGCCGAGGACGTCAGAGCGCTGGAGTGGGGTCGCATGAGGACGTACCTTCTTTTCACCGCCAGCACCGGCGGCAGCGCCGATACCGAGGGACTGCTTCCATCGCTGCAGGGACTCGTCTTCCTGTGCAGTGTCAGTATAGCATGCATGGCGTAGTGGGCGCACGCACGTGGTCGAGGGCTGCGAGCTCTGCGACGGTCTTGGACTGGCCGAGCTGTGGAGGGTGAGCGGGAGCTGCATGGGAGGAGCGTACGCACCTTGTAGCCCTCTGTTTTGCTGGGGGCGAGTTCGTCTTCGTGGTGGTCAGACATGGCGGTGGGGTGTTGCAACCAACAAGGAGGAGCGATGACGGCCAGGGCGCGTCGCGTAAAAGCAGGCCCGTGCAGCGCGCCTACCCTGTACGCCTATCGCCCTCCCTGCACGCCTAGCGGCCCTCCCCGCCACAGCCCTCGACACTCTAACGCCGCCGCCATTCTTCTCTCTCTTCCATCCACCCATATCCCCATAAACAATGTCTGGAGAAATCAGGAGGAAACTCGTCATCGTCGGTACGTCCTGCCCCCTCCCCCTCCTCCCGGCCCAGCTCACCCCCTCCAGGCGATGGTGCTTGTGGAAAGACATGTCTGTACGTATCGGCCCACCCCGACCCCAGCGACCACTGACACCCCCCAGCTTGATTGTATTCAGCAAGGGCATGTTCCCCGAGGTCAGTCCCCCTCTCTCCCCGTCCACGACCAGACCCAGCGAGTCGTACGCGTGTGCGCACGCGTGGCGGCCCTCGGGCGGATGCGCGAGAAAAACAACGGAACGCGACGGCTAACTGTGCGCGAAACAGGTCTACGTCCCCACCGTCTTTGAGAACTATGTCGCCGACGTCGAGGTCGATGGCAAGAAGGTCGAGCTGGCCTTGTGGGATACTGCTGGACAGGTGCGTATACCCCCCCTTTTTTCCCAGGGGAGCGTGCTCGGGTGGCAAGGGCCGTATGCTGACGCACTGACCGTCTTTGGTTTCGCCCCGCAGGAAGACTACGAGTATGTGGATGTCTCGCCTCGGATTGATGGATAACGCGTGGATGGCGGAAACGTGTGGATGCGTTGTTTGTGGAATTTACTGACGCCTTGTGCGCAAAATAGCCGTCTTCGACCCCTCTCCTACCCCGACTCGCACGTCATTCTCATCTGCTTCGCCATCGACTCTCCTGATTCCCTCGACAACGTCCAAGAAAAGGTGCGGCCGCTTGTCCTTGCTGCTGCCATGCATAGCTGACGTTCTGCGCAGTGGATCTCTGAAGTCCTTCACTTCTGCCAAGGCCTCCCCATCGTCCTCGTCGCTTGTAAGAAGGATCTCCGAGAGGACCCCAAGACTACCCAGGACCTTGCTAGGATGAACCAGAGGCCCGTCTCCCGCGCTGAGGGTGTTGCTGTTGCGCAAAAGATTGGCGCCCAGGGCTACGTGGAGTGCAGTGCAAAGACTGGCGAGGGAGTGAGGGAGGTGTTCCAGACTGCTACCAGGCATGCTCTCCAGGTGCGTCGCTCTGTGTATTGTGTAGGGCAGTGCTGACATGTCCACAGAGCAAGAAGGGCAAGAGCAGGAGCGGCAAGAAGGGATGCGTCGTGCTCTGAGAAGAGGGACTTTGTCATCGAGTCCCCTTGTCCCTTTCTCAAAGTTGTACTTTATCTTGTTAAGACGGAACTGGCTGGCGTTTCTCTATACCTCTTCCCCTTCATCATTCTACTTTGTTGCGAAATGGTTTACCCAATACATCCAACGACCTTTCAAGCATTCCACTTTTTTTTGCTCATTTCAATTCTAGTTACCCCTTTTATCGCCCCCTTTCCTACACGCCCTGCCCGTCTCTTCTGTGATTTGATGAATCGATGAGTTAGTTACGCCTGCTCGGGTTCCTGTGGCAGCTTCACTACCGCTCTCTGCTTGGACACTGCTTGCAGAGATGGCTTACCCTGCAGGACCGCTTGATCTTTGCGGCATGCTATGAAATCTGATACTCTCGGGCCATACACTGATGGTCTCACGCGGTGTTGAGGGACTGTGGCAGTGGCGGTGAAGGAGACGGGCCTGTGCGCAGCACATCGCTATGCGGGTTCGTGCGGTGGGCTTTGGGTGGCAACGGCTTTTGCGAGGGGAAGCAGCAATGCATGCCAGGAATGCAGCTCGTTGTTTGGCCCCCATCACGACACATACATACTGCACGAGTATATCCTTGTAAATGATGCGCAGCCCGACCAAGTCAGTCGGGTGTCTGAGTTGGATGATCCTTGAAAGGATGATCAACCGCCACATACGAACGTAGTATGTACATAGCGGCAGCAGAGCCACATAGTCGACGTGCCGACGTGCGTATGGATGCAGAACCAAGGTCACAGGTCTGTTGCCGTGTACGACGTGCATGCGATGATCCGCCGAGCGCTTCCAGTGCGGCTGTAGAGTGGTTGGTGCAGTGGCGAGGGTGACCCTTTGCACGCCGGGGCCGATGAAAGGTTCCTATGCATTGTGTCTGGGAATACGTTACAGAGGATATAGCTGGTAGCCCGAGAAAAGCAAGGGAAGAGATACCCGCCCACTTCCAAATAGCACCAAAACATCCTCGCCGTCATCACCGCCTCCACCGCCAGCGCCATCCTCTTCCGCCAACAATTCTCACCCCTCTCTTCCTCCTGTCCATCACCCAACTTCCCCCACCGCGTCTCCTGGGCACCCCCTCTGTCTCACTCAGATGTCCTCCGCCCCCGTAGCCCCCATCCGCCAGCCCCGAGGCCCGTCCCATCACTCATTCTCATCAACCTCCCCCCCCGCGCCCCCGACCGGCAACTCGCCCACCCCGCCAGGGGGCAACACTGCCAGCGGCCCACCAGCAGCTGACCAGGAGACTCTCAAGAGGGCCAACACGGTCTCAAACCCGCGCCATCACCAGGCCAGCGCCTCCATCTCGGCCAACCCTGCGGCGTCCTCAGCTTTTCATGGTCCTGCTGTTTCTGCCAACTCGGTCTCTTCTGGCACTACCACAGGGTCCGGTGGCCGGAGCCGTGTAAACAGGTTCAGGAGCGGATCGTTGTCGGCTGCTTTGCCTGATCCCGGGTTGGTAAGGCGAGGAAGCGGGAGGGAGGTTAGGAAGGAGGTGGTGCTGGAGAGCCAGGTCGAAGGAGAGGACCATGAGATGGGCGGGCAGCAGTGGAACAAGAGTCTGAGCAGGCAGTCCAGTCTGCCTTCCAGGCGAGGTGAGTTGTCTTTTGCAGTATGACTGCACGATGCTAATAATTTTCATCAGGTCTCAACCCAGTTCAGCAGCCCGACCAGCCACTTCCCTCCCGTCCATCTCGCAGGCTCGCAGTGAATACCACTGGGCAAACAACAGGCGCCACCCCGCCTCATTCGGCGCATGGTGCTTCTCACTCGCTCTCGTCCTTGTCCATGCTCTCGCAGCCGCAATACAACAACCAGGGGTTGGATGAACCGATCAATGCTGGTGTTGGCGGGAATGGAGGCGGCGCAGGCGTATCAAGGACGCAGAGCTTGAGGGCACAAGCAAAGCATATATCGTCTGGCAACCTGGGAAGAAGCACGAGTTTGAAGGCCGTTGGCGAGGTGAGCCAGAGCGCTATTGTACTATCGATGATGCTGACCAGAATATCAGCACACTTACCGCCCATCCATGTCCAATATCAACCCTGATTCCCAGCCGACCCCGCCCAACGTCTTCTCACCCCAGAATGCCTTTTCTCCCCCTACCCCACCCCCTCTTTCTTCCACCGCCGCCCTCCCGCCCTTTGGCCTGCCCGGGTATGATAGCGCCATCGCTACCGGTCCTGCCGACGTTAAACGCCACCAAAGTCTCAACCAAGGTTACGGATCACACTCTAGGGTGCGAGACAGGCTTGAAAAGAGTCCAGCTGTTGTGTCGTTGGAAGGCAGAGGTAACGAGGTCAGGCAGAGACTGGACTCTGGCAGGCTCGACGAGGATGAACCTCCCACGAGCCCCGTTGGGCCCTCGGTGTGGTCCAACAACCCGAGACTTGGCGACGGATGGGCGTCTGCTCCCGGTCAGGCCAACAACACCAAGAATGCTTCTCAGCAACTGCAAGACGCTTTCGAGGCCATGAACCTCGGCAGAAAGATGATGGCGCCCGAAAACGGTTTCGCCCAAGGACCGCCCATCAACGGAGGCTACGGCCTCAACCGCGAGAGGCTCAACCTCGAGACCAACATCATGCGTCACCCGCACGCGGGTTCGCCCGCCTCTGGTCAGCTGCAGCGAAAGGGTTCCGGAGCAGATGGAGAGCCTAGCTGGGTCAACAAGCTTGTAGGGGGAGACAACACCCCTATGTTGGGGCACAACATGCCCCGATCTGCCAGCGCTCACAGCTGGGGTGGTGAGCGAGACCGCAATGACCAAGGGTACTCGGGTTACCCGGGCAACTACATGAACTTTAACAACAATGGGTATATGCCCATGCCTCAGAATCATCAGGGGAGGATGATGCCTCCCATGCCGATGCCTGGCATGAACTACATGGGTATGCCGGGCTACGCTCAAGGCTTCTCGGGATATATTCCCAATGGTCAGCAGCTCGGTGGGCCTGGGAACGGGCACGGGGGACAAGGCCAACATGCCTATCCCTCTCCGCCAGCATCGGCGGGAATGGGCGCGCAGGACAAGGAAGTGATTGAGCTGGCAAGGAAGAAGGGTTTGAACCCTGCGACCTTTGAGTGTCGGCCCCAGGGAGCGAGGTTTTTTGTCATCAAGTCCTACACCGTGCGTCCATCCATCTTTCCTCAGGTAATCGATGAACTGACGATTAGAGTAGGAGGAAGATGTCCAGAAATCACTCAAGCATGAAATCTGGTCCTCCACTGTGCTCGGCAACAAGCGTCTTGATGCGGCCTACCGCGAGAATGCCGGTAAAGGTCCAATCTACCTGGCCTTCAGTGTCAATGGCTCTAGGCACTTCTGTGGCGTTGCCGAGATGACCACTCCGTAAGTATCAGCGCTTATCAGTCATAGTTGAAGCTGACAGGGGTCGCAGGGTGGACGAAACCAAGACTTCCAAGGTCTGGGCCCAGGATAAGTGGAAGGGCATCTTTGAGGTCAAGTGGATCTTTGTCCGGGATGTCCCCTCTGCGTAAGCTCCCACCACCCTTCCTGTGCGTCAAAAGCTGATCCTGATTAACAGCGCCCTGCGCCACATCCGCCTTACCAACACCCCCGAGTGCAAGCCCATTACCAACTCGCGCGATACCCAAGAGCTGCCTTATGAAGCCGGTTCCGAAGTTTTGCAGATCTTTTTGGATCATCAGACAAAGAGCAAGACGAGTCTGCTGCAGGATTTCGCCTACTACGAGGTATGTGGCGAATATTGTCTCGCTGGACGATGACTGATGACGAGTAGCAATTGTCTGCGAACCGCCAAGGCCCAAGCCCTAACGGCAATGCTGCCCAACCGAATCAAATGCAGACACCTGTCTCTGCTGGCGGTCATCAGCCACTCCATCTCGCTCCTGCGATGGGCATTTCGAATGGCGCCTCTGTCCCTCCCGTCCCCACCATTCCCGACCGATTCCGATAGACCATTCTCTGTCTTTTCATCTCTTGTTCCTTCTCTTGACCGCTAATTTGTGTATTCGCATTTTCTTTCATCTCGCTCTCGTCAACCTTCATGGACATTCTCTTGTGGACGATCATCATACTTACTCTCACAACACAACACGAACTCTTTCCATGTCCAGAAACTTTTTCATCACGATCCTTTTTTCGTCATAGCGTATTGGTCCTGTGATAGATAATGTACTTGTAGGGATTGAGAGAGAAAGAGAGGTATTTTATTCGTGTTTACGGCTTTACTGTTACGATATAGAGAAAGGCATTTCCCCTTGTTTCATTTACGCCAGATGTGTCTTCTTTTCCCTTGTTTAGATTCATAGTTTGCTGAAGATAGCAATGAGGTCTCATACCTCCATGTCTGCCTTGTGAATGTATATAAGTGGTATTGAGGCATGATGTTGCATGCAGGATGATCTGAATTTTGTACAGTGAATTGAATACAAAAAAAACTATATAGAGATCCTGACTTTTTATACAGTGCATTAGAAGGGAGCGGGATCGGGAACAAGTCCGAACTATGGGTTGCCCTTGTTTGTTGTTTGGCGCCTGGACGACGCTCTTGAAAGCTCTCTGGTATGAGTGGAACCGATCGACGACCGAGTCATCGACGATGAGCCGCAAAGGTACATATACACCGGTTGCAAACGCGGCGAGTATCAACATGTCTAAAAGTCATATCTCGAGAAATCTAGCCGTACAACAGTTACACTATTCAAACGCGCTTCTCTCTTTGACAGATCTCTCCTACGGCAGCTACACCCAGAGCTTGCCCATGCTCTTCCTGGCCTTTGTGATGGATCCTGTCCACGTCTTGAACCTCTTCGGGTCATCCTTTTCACCCTTCCCCTGCTTCTCCAACTGCGCCAATCTAGCGCCTTTGTTCTTGATAGTCGACCCAAACTCGTTCGTGCTCAAGAGAGATACCATGGAAGCGCTAGCAGCACCCATCACCGACGAGGTCTTTCTGCCTGCAGATATCGACCCGGGTTTCAATGGCGTGGTGAACGCATTGGGCGTGACGAGGGTTTCGGTACTTTCATTCTCGAGCCCTGCACTGGAAAAGGAGAGGAGCAAGTCTGGCTGAGAGCGCGAAGTGAAGGAGGATGTAGGGATAGGGGAAGAAGGAGGCGATGACCGGGGAGAAACAGCAGGTTCGCGATGGTACGTGGGCGTACATGGGGTGGAAGGGTTGCTTCTTGTGGGTGGAGCAGGGAATGCCCACAACGCATCGAGCCCGTCCTCGCTCACGGTCGCCTCGCTTTTGACACTGCCCGGGCGGATGACAAGCTCCTCGCGCTCCTCTCCAGGTTCCTCCTCGACGACGTCCATGCCTGCACCGGTGAACCGCCCATCTTCGCCGAGGACGAGTTCTTCTGTAGGCGTATCGCAATCGGGAGTAAGGCAGGGTACGACCTCGGGGGTGTAAAAGATGTCTTGCACCATCTCGCCCTTGAGAGAGATCCTTTCGGATTTGGGCGAGACCATCTCGCTATCCTTCCACGAGGCGTTGTCGCGGTTTGAGGGGTCTTCGCGCGAGAGCACGAGCTTGGGAGGGGCCGGGCCTCGGGCGGCAGAGCGATCGGGGATGATGGCATTTGCCGATTGGCTCGATACTACCTTTTCCTTCTCTTCCTTTTCCTTTTGCAGACGTTCGCGCAGCTGGTTTGCAGGTGTGGGCGCGGAACAAGACCTCGCCCGGTTGGTATGCGTCGCCAGTGGAGAAGACAATGATGGAGCGTGATAGTCGATAGAGCCAAAGGAGGAGCGAATGTGCTTGGGGATGGCAGAAGTGAGGGATTGGATACGCGGGGAGCGACGGAGGGGGGAAGCGGGGAGGGGAGGAAAGTTTGGCTTTGGTGTTGAGCTCGGCCTTGTAGACGAGTCGACACGGGCCATAAGGACCGAGGTTGAAGGCTCGAGACTTAGTCTGGCAGACCCGCGACGCATCTGCAAGACTGCCAACATGGCCTTCTTCTTCCTCTCCACAGCATCGCCCTTGTCTCCAGAGCTAGACATGCTCCTTTTCAGCTTGATATCATGCACCTCCACAGAGCTCAGAAGCTGGCGATGGCCCAGGCGCAAATTCGGGTGCGACCTCGACCGACCAAGGGTCCGAGACTGGCGCAAAGCCCAGCTACCTTCTGGCGAGACGTCGAGATCTTTGGGGGTCTCGGGGATCGAGTGCAGAGGCGTGAGTGGCCGCGAGTGGCTGTGCACCTGGATAGGAGGTGGGACAGTGTGGTTACGTGTCCGAGTCATGGCCGAACGAGTAGAGCCGCCCGGAAAAAGCAGCTGCTCAGGTGAGCTCGGCCCGGAGCCAGAGCTGCTTGAGCTTGCAGAGGAAAAGCTCGGCGGGGACGTGTGGTGGCTTTTGAGAGGCGGGCGTTGTGTGCTCTGCAAAGTTTCGGGGTCTGAAGACCGGCGATCAGGCTGGGTGAACGGTCGCCACGAGCCGCCCATGATCACCCTCGTGTTGTCTACACGGCCTGCATGTTTTCGCGTCAGCCAATGGTTTTGGTGTTGAGAGTAGACTCTGGCGACTTGCCCTTACGCGCTGCTCTTGCTCGTGTGCCAGCATCGACAGAGCCGCCGTCGATGGCCTCCAACACGAGGCTGGGAAAGGCATCCTTTACTGCCACAGTGCTGAGGAGGTACTCGGCAGAAAGCGGTGACGCCGAGCGCGACGGAATGTCCTCGAGGGTTTGTGCCAGTTTAGTAGGGTAAGTAGGGTAAGCCAGGGCTGGCAGGAAGGCGAGGTGGGAGGGGTGCTCGAGGCCAGAGGGGAGGTCTGACTGGGGGAGGGTGGGGGAGTCGTCGAGGGCGGGGAGTGCCATGGCTGAGATGAATGAGATGCGATGAGAGGATAGTAAAATAAAAATATAGCGTGGAATGGCCCTGCGAGTCCATGGCCAGCCTCCACCGCGTTACAGGTGACTCCCCGTGCCTCGTACCACACTTTAGCGTGTCTGTGCCTGTATTTACTCGCTTAACTATATGTCTCGAACTCCCGGAGATCCCGGCGGACAAACTCATCTGCTCCCGCTCAAAAGTCGATCATATACTTGGGTAGTGGCTGGTAGTCGCTCAGCTCGTCACTCAACATGGCCTCGACATCAGACACAGCTTCCAGTGGGAGCCGCAGTCCCAGCCCTTCCTTCGACCGCCAGCCGACGCCCGACCCACAGCTCGTGCAGACCTACCATGATCTCATGCTCAGCACACTTCCTCAAGATGCCCTCCCTCAGCTGACTCTTGTCGCCCAGGAGGCCTCCAATCCACTGGCAGGGGGCGAGGCCGACGAAGAAGATAGTATGGTGGTGACAGAGACTGGTGAGAAGCGGCCCATGACAAAAGGTGAAAAGCAGAATGCCAAAAAGAAGAGGCGGAAGGAGAGAGAGAAGGCTATGAGGATGGAGATTGAGAGACAGATGGCTGAAGCCCAGGCTGTCCAGAAAGGAGATACTGGAAAGGTCGAGGTGAGGGAAGAGAAGCTCGTCGGTAAGTGTGCTTTGCTTTTGCTTCCATTACTGCCACGGCTGATCAAACCAGACTTTCGGCTATTCTCAACTTGCAATGTCAAGCCCGTGTCTCTGCTACCTGCGCCAGAAGTGTATCCTATACCCGCGTATGTGCACTAGTCAATCAAGAGAGAACTTTGCTCATTGTATGGTAGGAATCCGAGGTACCAACCACTGCCTGCCCACCAACAAGCCAGAATCCATCAGCTTGCAGTCGAAGCTGCGGTTGAATCAGACAATTTGGGAGGACATCCGGACCACCCACGCTGGTCAAGAACAGACGTTACCCCACGAGAGTTCTCCGTCTCACATCAGGCTTTATCTACTCTCCCACACATGTTCATTGGTACTCTCTCTGAAGATGCTGTTCGAACCGACCAACCCTCTAAACCCGTTGCCAAATCCGAATCAACCGCCAAACCCATCTCTACGATTCCCTTGGCCTCTTCCCATACCTCGTGTCCTGCTCCAACCCTGCCGCCCGTATCAAAGAAACGCACCCGGAGAGGACGTCGTGCCATCCCCTCGAGGACCGCCCCGCATTTCTGGGCTCCACCCAAAGGGCTAGGTGGGAAAGCGAGGGGTTATGCTTGGGGGTTTAGAGATAGTAGGGAAGGGAGAAGAGAGGAGGGGTGGGGTACGTATATCAGGGGTACCACCATTTGAGTGATATTGGGTTTCTGGTCTTTTGGGCAATCGCTACTCTTTGCGAGTACCCGTGATCGTACCGTATTCCTCACGAGAGGAGTTGTTGCGCTCGATTTGTTATTACATAGTGCTATCCCCCATTAAAGTCGGAGAAAGCGGTATGGCTTCCAAGCAAGACTGGAAGGATCGCCTCCGGGTCACATCCGTAGATGGCGCATCAAGTCGATTTCGCGATGCTTTGACACATGTCGGGCTCCCCGTTCCCCGTGTCTTGCTTGGGACAAGAACATAGGCCCAGTGGCTTCTTAAAGAGAGCCTCTACCCCTCCTCGACGTAGTTGGCAGTGTCCATAGCTGGAATAAGCCGATGCACATTGGTAGCTCTCGTCAGCCGCTGAACGGTGGGCTGTGCCTGACGCTTGGACCCTGAAACGGCATCGTCCGAGAGCTGGCGCACTGACTTTTGTCCTCGCGTTTCCCCAAAACTATCTATCTCATTTCTTTTTCTTCTTCTCTTTCTCTATTCTTCTCTACCCTACTCCCCTGCTGCAATGTCCACCTACGACGTCCCCGCCCGCCCCCAGAATGTCGGTATCCTCGGCATGGAGATGTACATCCCCAAGAGGGTGAGTTCAAAGGCTTCTTTTGCTCAACGCGCGTATGCTGACGGGCTATGCAGTGCATCTCTGAGGATGCCCTCGAGGACTTTGACGGCGCTGCCAAGGGGTGAGTGCTGCTTGCAAATTGGGGCTGCAGGACATGAGCTGACCAGGTGTCGCGTCGTTCCTTCTCTCTCTTGTTTTTGCCGTGCATTGTTCATATCGTCGTACGATTCCTTCTGGTGATGAACAAACAGCAAGTACACCATTGGTCTTGGCCAGAAATTCATGGCTTTCGCCGATGACAAGTGAGTGCTTTTTTTTTTCGGGGGCATACACTGACAATGCTGCAGGGAGGACATCAACTCTGTCGCTTTGACTGGTATGTCTGAACACTAAAATCAGGTGGGGAAATGGTACTGACGCGTGACACAGTCGTGTCTTCGCTCCTGAAAAACTACAACGTCGACCCCAAGTCTATCGGCCGCCTCGACGTCGGTACCGAGACTCTCATCGACAAGTCCAAATCCACCAAGACCCTCCTCATGGAGCTCTTTGCCCCCTCCGGCAACACCGACATTGAGGGTATCGACTCCAAGAACGCCTGTTACGGTTCCACCGCCGCGCTTTTCAATGCCGTCAACTGGATCCAGAGTGAGAGCTGGGATGGCAGGAATGCGATCGTCATGTGCGGTGACATTGCCATCTACAAGGAGGGCAGCGCTAGGCCTGTTGGTGGTATGGGTGCTTGTGCTTTGTTGATCGGTCCCGATGCGCCTTTGGTGCTTGAGCGTGAGTCGCCTACTGAAAAGAGAAGACGTGGGCTCATTAGTCTTAGCCGTCCACGGTACTTACATGGCCAACACCTGGGACTTCTACAAGCCCGACCTTTCCGCTGAATACGTGCGTCCATTCTTAAATCTGATCTGCCTTCTCTGACACGCCATAGCCCACTGTCGACGGTCCCTGGACCATCGCCGCCTACCTTGGCGCCCTCGATAACTCTTACTCTACTTACGTTGAGAAGGTCGCTGCTTCCAAGGCCCGAGCCGCCAAGAAGGCTGGTGTCGCCCTCAACGGCGACGCCAAGGACGAGGGTATCTCCCAGTTCGACTATGTGTGCTTGCACTCTCCTTACGGCAAGCTCGTGCAGAAGGGTCACGCCCGTTTGCACTACAACGTGAGTCAACAAGACGAGTGTGAATTGGCGCTCATGAATGGCAGGACTACCTCCGAGGTGTCACCAGCGATGCTTTTGCCAACATCCCCGAAGACATCAAGTCCCAGGACAAGACCAAGACCTACACCGACAAGGTGGTCGAGAAGGCCTTTATCGCTGCCGCTGCTTCCCACTACAAGTCTGCCGTTGTCCCCGGTTCCGACTGTGTCGCCCGATGCGGCAATATGTACACTGCCTCCCTCTACGGTGCCTTGTCCAGTGTCATCGCCAACAACCCTGAGGGTATCGAGGTCGGCAAGAGGATCGGTCTTTACGCTTTCGGTTCTGGATGTGCTGCCTCTTTCTTTGCCATCAGGGTCGCTGGCTCCACCAAGGACATTGCTGAGAAGCTCAACTTGAAGGAGAGACTGGCGTCTATGGATGTCAGGCCTTGCCAGGAATACGTTGACGCGCTTATGGTAAGTTGACGTCCCGTCGAGTTTGGAGTGTTTGCTGATAGATGTGACAGCTCCGTGAGGAGAACCACAACGCCGTCAAGTACTCTCCCCAGGGTTCCATCGACAACATCTGGCCCGGTGCCTACTACCTTGAGGGTGTCGACGACCTGTACCGAAGGACTTACCTCCAGAAGCCCGAGTAGAGTAGTTCATATTCGTTTTCTATTCTCTTCATCATCTCGATTTCTCTTATATTATCACACATCCACTCTCATGTTTTAGACCTTTTTCCTCTTCCTGACTTGACGGACAATCAGTCTCAATGGGTTTTGTGACTAGATTTTTGACCCCAGTGTAATGCGCAAACATGCATCTGCAACATTGGCATAGATCAAAGCGGGAGATCTATTTCGTAACCGCACTCTCCCTCTCTCCCTTCTCTTCCCCATCTCTAACTCTCCAGCATCTCCACCCATGTACCGTCCCCCTGACTCTCTCATCTCCCGGATCATTCTCAAACATGGCACCCGCCCATTCGTCCACCACCTTTTCGTATACCCACCCTCCGCCAGATTCGGCGAGCCGGGGGAAGAATGCCAGGTCGGCGTGCGCGAGATGGGGCCGATGGTGGGTGAAGAAGACGAGGATAGAGGGGTGAGTAAGAGGGGCGGAGGTGGTCGGATCTGAGGGGGTGGAGGGGGCAGGGGCGAGAGTGGACTCGACTGTTTTGATCAGGGCGTCGTGCTTGTGATATCATTAGCTTCGTCGTCAATTGATGTAGAGCGTCGTACTTGAGAGTGGTTGAAGACCAAGTCGGATAATATCAAAAGATCAAACATCTGCCTTTGCGGCAGATGATCCAGCAAATGCCCGACTTTGTGTCCCCAGACATGGCCCTAGTCTCATCAGTCTTCCCTCTCTGTCTCTCATCAGTGTGCTCACATCGACAACACATCGTTCTCTCTCTTCCGCTTCCAGGTCCACTTCCACATTGAATCTCAAATTCTCCAACAATCCCTCATCTGAATAGTCGGTCACCACGACCTTTTGCGCATCCGCACCGGGCAGGCAAGAGACGATCGAAGGCAGGCCGGCACCGGCACCGAGTTCGAGGATGTTCCGGGAGGAGGTAAGAGCGGGGTTGGAGAGAAGGTATGTAGAGAATGTGCGGGCAGTATTCCATCTATCGTGTCATTCCGTGAGCGCATATCTCTTATAGAGACGCTCGAGGGACGTACAGATGGTGGCCCCAGAGAGGATGGCTCCCGACCAGCCGCAGGATCATTTGTCTCCTGTGCTTTGGCAGCGACGGAAGCAGGCCATCTGGAATCTCGTATGCGGCAAAGGAGAATGGAGCTGGCACCGGGGACTCTGGCTCCTGCGTCCAAACGTCAGCTCTGTATTTTCGGCTGGTGCTCGAACGCACCGGCATCAAATCGTCCAAGCCAAAGAACTCTTCATCATCTTCCTGTTCTGGTGTACCGCTGCGTTCTTGGGCCATCCTGTATTGGTTCGTAATCTTATCTTATCTCTGGTATACGCAGGGCAGCTTGTTCAACTTTTTGGAAAGAGGGCATAGGCGGGTGGAGGCGGGGATCGCCGCCCATGCCACAGGGTGGGAATCGCCGACTTTTTCCGTCTCTTGCGCGCTCATCATCTCTTTCATCCATCGTCGTATATACCTGCATCACCCAGCATCATGTACGGGAACGTCGGTCTCCAGACCGCTCGAGGAAGGTGAGTGGGCGATACTTATGGCGGGATGGCGCTGACAAGAAGCAGTGGCACGAACGGCTATGTCACCAAAAACTCGGCTCATCTCCGTATCAGAGATGGTCCCCCTGGCGGCCCATTCGGGGGCTTCAACCGCGACGACGACCTTCACAAAGCCCCCATCTACCGTGCCCCAGACCAGGGTATCCTCGAGCACGAGCGCAAACGCCGCATCGAGGTCAAGGTGATGGAGCTTCGTGACGAGTTGGAGGAAGCTGGCAAGGATGAGGACGAGATTGATGAGGAATGCGACAAGTTGCGCCAAAAATTGAACTTGGTGAAGGAGCAGAATACTGGAAAGGGAAAGAGCTCGCATTCGATGGCTGCTGCCAAGGAGGTGGAGATGAGCCGTCTTGGAAGGGCACTCGGAGTCAGGAAAGACCATGTCGAAGGAGAGGCTTTCAAGATCGAGACCCCGGAAGAAAAGGCGGAGAGGCTCGCGAGAAGGGAGGAGAATGAGAGAATGAGGATCGAGGCTGCGTTGAAGCGAGAGAAGGAGGACGAGGAGAGGAAGAAGGCATGGGAGGAGAAGGAGAAGCTAAGGAGGCGAGAAGAGTATAGAAGGTGAGCAGCGCTCCTGTAAACATCTGGTCAAGGCTGATTGAATTTCAGGAAACAAGAAGCTCTGAATCCTCCCAAGCGGGTTCGCTCCCCGTCCCCTCCTCCTAGACGCCGTCGCTCTCCCTCCGATTCTCGTTCTCGCTCCCCCGTCCGCCGCCGCCGTTCCCCCTCCGACTCTCGTTCTCGCTCCCCCGTCCGCCGCCGCCGTTCCCCAAGCTACTCCCGTTCCCCATCCCCTCCCCCACGCCGCAGAGCAAGATACAGCGACTCTCCCCCCCATGGCGGCGCCGACTCGCGTTCACCTTCGCCCCAGCCCAGAGGCAGAAGGTACAGTGACTCTCGAAGTCGGAGCCCGGTGAGGAGATATGACTCTAGAGAAGACTCAAGAGGGAGGAGTTATACGCGGTCGCCTTCGCCGGCAGGAAAGAGGAGGAGGTATGCGAGTGATTCGAGGAGTCCTAGCCCTCCACCCAGAAGAGGAAGGGCCGCGAGCGAGGACAGTTTCAAGTCTCGAAGTGAGAGGAGCTTGACGCCAGAAGTATCCAGAGAGAGGGTTGACAACACCAGGAAGAGGTTGTAATGAGCATACGTTGTATCATTGGTTTTACATGCATCGAACAAGTCACTACGAGTACAGACCAGAGTCGTTCTACAATTTACTCTACAATCTCGCATACTCTACACTTCTACACCTTGATCACAGTGATAGCTTCTCCCCTCTCCTCCTTCCACTGCACATACTCTTCCCACACGACTTCTACCTTGACACTCCCGTATACCTGCACACTCAGACTCTGCCACACCTTGTCACCAACAGATACCTTGCCCCTGTAGCCAGACTTATGGATGGCAGAGAGAACCGTCTCTTCTTTAGTCCAGCCTTGCTCGGGGCATATCTGGGGGAGGTAGGTGGCAGAGTAGGTCTTGGAAGGGGAGGTGGGGTGAGGGAAGGTGAGGTGGATCCCGTGCTCGCCGGGGACCCAGTCCAGGGGGTCAGAGATGGACGTGAAGGGGGTAAGAAGGGAGACGCTGAGGCCATGTCAGGTTCATATAATGTTCGCATCGAAAGGGTAAACTTGCTCGCAAGACAGAGTGGGCAACTCGCTAGCTCTTACAGGTGAGAATCGGTGATCTCTCAGCGCACTACAGGATGATGAGCGCCTGTCAGTTTTAGTTGGCTGGCGATTACCTGATCAAAGAATAGTCCTTGACACCTTTGGTAAGCGGCATTGGCGAGAAGCTGCCAATACACCCCCGAAGAGCGGGCTTTCGTCCAGGCTTGACCACATGCCACGAGACGAACAATGCACTTGCCCTCGACATCAGCTGTACCCCAAATCTCACCAAAAAGGCCTACTACTCATCCCTGTAGTTGTCAAAAGGTGCCTTGACTGGCTCACGCCCTTCAAAGTGGGATACAAGTACGTCGAAAGCCCACAGCGGGTGCAGCTCGTTGCAAATTGGCTCCTCGACCGGCGTCGCGGCGCGGTCTCCCTCGGCAAGGGGTGTAGCTGTGGCAGAATTGGACAGAGAAGGGGTCTGAGGGGTCTGGAGGGACATTGCAGCTGGAGTGGGACGGAGAGGGAAGGGAATGATAGAGGAGAGTGGCGCATCATGACGTCCGGGGGTCCGAGGTGGAGGCTGAGACGGAGACAGCCGCTTCGGATTTTGGGCCCGACGGCTTCCTCTTCCATCTCTTTCGTCTTTCTCCTCGCCCCTATCCATCCTCAGCTGCCAGCACGACACTCAACACCCAACACAATGCAAGCTTTCCGTCGTCTATACCCAGCTATGATCGCAGTCGGCGTCGGTGCGTCCTCTTCTTCAACGATGACTTTCAGAGCTATTTGGAGCTGATCTTGCCTGTCGTTCCAGGAGTTGGGACAGCATACTACGTGGTGGCTCCCGAGTATGCAGACGGCGGCCTTGGAGCAGAGGTCATCCCGGAAAGTCAGAGGAAGAACGTCCCTGTGTAGGTGCTATCTTCATGTCTAGGCCTTTCGAGGTCGGATACTGGTTGTATGTCGATCTTGCACGAGAGCTGACATATACCACTTAGATCTCCGATAGGTCCCCCTCCTCACTTGAACGCCATCCCACCACTTTCAGCAGCAGAGCAGAAACACGACTGCTGCGGTAAGCCCCTTTTCTACGGCACGGGATACTTGGTCTGACTTTTCGGTCTCCTGCAGATCACAACTCGACACCGAAACCTATAGACTCTTCATTCGGATCTGTCTCTGGAGGAGAAGCCTCATTGCCGTTCAATGCAGGTACGACGGCAGTCGAGGCGAAGAAGAGTCGTTGGTGGTGAACGTGAGGTCCCTGTCACAACAATATGTACGAGTACTGTACAATCATCATGCATCTACTGAAAAAGGGACTGGTGGGTATATGGGTGTTGATCAGCGACCCTCTATCCTACTGGAGCGTTGGTAGATGTGTAAGCCATCAACTGGATTGTCGCCATATGAGCGAGTCGACTTTCACACAACCCGTCTGCTGCTTGACTGCAAAGCTACATCTCGCACTGCTGGAACTCTTGAAACCCCCCGAGCTGTGTCATCGGCGGACGGGGCCTGGCAAGAATGAGACATGCTGAAACGTCCACGCGAGAATGCCCCATTACTGCGAAGAGCCCAAGCAACAACCACGAGACTCAGCAAAGTACTGCGAGTCTATGTTTCATGATTCGTCAGAGGGAGGTCATGAGTGTTGACAACGAGATGAAAGATCTACATAGGCGAGAGGTGGTCCGTGCGCACTCATAAGTCATATGGAAGTGGCTTGCAGGCTTGCAGCTTGCGGCCGTCGGAAACTGCAGCAACGTAAGAGGCTTGCCGGGCTGCCGAAGTCGAGCGACGAGGGGAACGAGGACCGTAAGAGTCTATGTTAGCTCTATCCGTGACAGGTGAATGCCCCAGACCAGTGACATCAGGTGCATGAGCTGTCAGATAGTTACATAGGCGACAGCCAGGGGACATTGCAAACCACAAAAGCACCGTGAAAGAGTCCCAGATGGTTCCAGCCGGCGCTTCGGCGCGCGTTCAAACCACCGAACCCTGAACAGAACAACAACAAGACAGAGCATGCATAGTTGAAACTTCTCTACCTCGCTCGCTCATCCACGCAGTCCATACTGCCCCATTCTCTCCCCCCTGCCCTGCTACGACGTGCCCAGTGCAATGCATGGGGCGATGAAGCAGGCCGAAGGGGAGGTGAGGACAATAGAGGAGGCCGAAAGATGTTCGGAGGAAAAGAGATCGACAAGGGTACCGAGATGCACTAAATCCCACTAAATTGCAGCCATTCACCAGATTTCTTATTGTTCTCTCTCTGATCACCCCCTGCCCCCTCCCCCCCAGATCCGCCCCTTCCAGCCCCCTGCACCACCCCATGGCAGAACAAATTAGCGTCACAATGGCCGCCTTTCCCTGCACAGCACAACGAGCGAGAGAAAAGCCCATGTGGGTCGTCCGTCGGGTATATAGCTGTATGCCTCGTTGACCCATCCCGTCTACTCTCTTTCACCTGGCTTTCTTCCTTCTTGTGCAGATACCATATACCCCGCCATCATGGGTATACCTATTCGTCCACTGACCATCTGCGAGAGCCTTGGCCTGGCGCTCCTGGCCTTCGTGGTATGGGCCGTCCACATCTTTTTGTACAAGCCTTTGACATCGCCGCTCAGACACCTTCCCTGCCCAGAGGGTGGCTGGGCTGTAGGAGGCCATATCGATCACATTCTCGAGTACGTACCCTCGCCGTCACATTTCCCATGGACGCTCAACCAACTCGCCCAGCCTAGGGAGTGAAGTCCCGAATCAATGGATTGACGAGCTCGGCCCGACCTTTATGGTCCGCGGTTTCTTTGCTGTACACCATCGCATCTTCACTGTCGACCCCCGTGCTCTCGATCATGTGCTCCAAAACACAGACGTATACACCAAGCCTGATATCTTGCGAAGTCTGGTCAAGAGGTACATGAAGAATGGTCTTATCGTGGCCGAAGGCACGCGACATAGGATACAGAGAAAGGTGACGCAGAAGCTCTTTTCGACTGTCAGCACGCGAGCCATGGGGGTGTTGGTGCAAGACAAGTCAAATCAGGTGAGTACTTGGCACCTCGGGGACTTGCAGCTGACAGGGCGTCTCCAGCTTCGAGAGATCCTTCGTCACCTCTGTGCCAGCCCAGCCACCTCGACCCCCTTCTCCCAAGCCAACCCCACTCTCCCAGCCGTTACTCGTCAAGTCGACGTCTACTCTTCCGCTTCTCGCTGCATGTTTGACGTCATCGGCGCCGTAGCTGTCGACTCTGTCAACCCACCCTTCAATGCCGCGGGCGACTACACCAGCTTTGGGGCCCATCTGTTCCACAAGTATGAGAAGATGCAATTGCTGTGCGAGGGGGCAATGGGTCTGAGGATGTTCTTTAGTTTGTATTTCCCATGGATCGACTCCATCTGGGTGAGTTTTGTCTGTCTGGGATATGAAGTCGAGCTGACACGTCGGGTAGCCGAGTGAGAATACCAAGCGCGTCAACGATGGGATGGGCTCTCTGCTCGATTTTGCCAAACACCAGATGGCCGAACGACGCGCCGAGCTCGAGGCAATGAATGGGAAGAAGGGCGACGTTGCCGAGAGGCGGGATCTGCTTACACTCATGCGTACGTACCAATCAGCTCATGAGGGTAATTGCTGATATCGAATCAGTGAAACACAACATGATGAAGAATCTCAGTCCTACAGACAAACTTCGAGACGACGAGATCTCTGGTCAACTCTCCACCTTTATGTTTGCGGGCTCCGAGACTACCGCTGGTACCATCTCTTTTGGCCTCTACGACCTCGCTCGCCATTCCGAAATCCAAGCCAAACTTCGGGCAGAGATTCTCGAATGTGCCGAGACCTTTACGCCTGAACAGCTCGACGAGCTTCCTTATCTCGATGCGGTTGTGAAGGAGATCATGAGATGCAACCCTTCGCTTCCTGGGACGGTGAGAATGGCCACAAGGGATGATATGATACCGCTCGCTGTGCCGGTAAAGTTGAGTGATGAAAGAGTGGTCAGCGAGATTAGGATCCGAAAGGGACAGCTTGTGAGTTGATTTTCACGGTGCTTCCAATCGATTCCTAACGTCAAGATAGATCCATGTGCCTATCGACCACTTGCATGCTTGCACGCACATCTGGGGACCGACAGCCAACGAGTTTGACCCCTCCCGCTTTCTCGACGCCCCCTCCACCTACCCGTCATCAACACCAACCACTCCGTCGTTCCCACCAGATGCGGGCCCCGTACTTTCCAGCCGACGTACATCGGTGCCATCTATTGTCCCCGCCGGTCCGGGAATCTGGCCAAACTTTATGACATTTATAGACGGACCCAGGAGGTGTATCGGGTACAAGCTGGCGGTGATGGAGATCAAGATGGTGCTCTTTACGCTTTTAAGAGAGTTTGAAGTGGAGCCTGTCAAAGGAATCAGGATCGGGAGGTGGAACATGTGAGTGGTTGCCTTGTTGATCCAAAGTACTAGCTTATGAGACTTAGGATGAGCAACAGGCCCTACGTGTCGGGTACCCTGATGTCCGAAGGATCAAGACTTCCCTTGAACTTTCGATTGTATAAAGGCGAGAACGAGAACGTGGCGCAAGACGCCAAGTTGTAGCAAGAGGCGGGAACAGCAGTAAACATAGAGGACCTCCACCTACATAGTACAGTATGAGTACACCTGTAAAGTATATGCATAGTTATACCGTTTTCTATTCTTCTTTTCTTTTCTTGTTTTCACGCCCTCTGCGTGCAGCACACGCACCTCCCGCGCGCCATCTCACTCGGTAATTGGTACAGTAAAAAGGGCAAAGTTTTCGTCGGTGTCATGATCTTGTACAATGGTTTACCAACCTCCACTAGGCCTAAGGGACGAGCGAGTCAGCATCTTTTCTCGGTGCCCCTTCCCCTCGTCGATCGAGGGCGACAATCACACGCTGACCCGGTAGAGTTTACCTTTTCAATGTTCTCCTCAGTGAGCTTGGCGGGCTCCTCCTCCTTCGCCACAGCCTCCTCGCCCTTGCCCTCGGTCTCGGCCGCAGCAGCCTCGGCAACACCCTCCTTCTCCTTCATGAGCTTGGCAATCTTGGCCGTAATGTTCCTGCCCTCGACCAGAGTACCGTTGACCTTTTGCACGGCCTCCTCCCGTTGCTTGGGGTCTTCAAGCTCGACAAAGGAGAAGCCCTTGGAGACGGACTTGCGGGTGTTGCCTCGTCGAACGCTTCGGGTGACGACAGAGGCACGCTTGACCTGGATGGAGAGGTTGGTGAAGATGGCAGTAAGGGCAGCGTCATCGACAGAGAAGGGGAGGTTGGCGACAAAGATGGTGGACTATGTCCGAGTCAGCAAGACACTGGAACATGGCACAATAAACTGACAGGAGAGTCCTCGTCAGAGATCTCGAGCTTCTTCTCCTGAGGAGCCTTCTTGGCCTTGGGCTTGGTAGCCTTCCTGGGAGCGGCCTCGGTAGCCTCCTCACCGTCGATCCTGGCCTTGGAGGCGTCCTCGCCTTCCTCACCCTCGTCCTCGTCTCCAGGAGCACGTCGGCGGTTCTTCTGCAGATATCGTCAGCTCCGCTTTGAACAAAATAGGTTGACTGACCCTGGCGTTCTTCTTCTTCTTGGGCTTCTCAGCCGCCTCGCCAGCCTCGGCAGCGGCGCCATCAGGGTTGGCCTCCTTCGCGGCCTTGGCCTCCTCAGCCTTCTTCTCCGCGGCAGCCTTCCTGGCGGCATTGCGCTTCTCGGTCCTAGCCTGGCGGTCGGCGTTGGCCTCCTCCTCGCCCTTGGCGTATTGGACGATGACAGGTCGGCCGTTAAGTTCTATGACGCGTCAGCACAGGAGAGATGACGAAAGGAGCGACGTACCCTGGCCGTCAAGCTCAACAGCCTTCTTGGAGCTGTCGAGGCTGGTGTAGTTGGCGAACGCAAAGTAGGCGCGTCGGCCGGGAAGGGTCCTCTCGTGGATGGAGATGCTCTCGCTACAGGTACAAAGTCAATATATGTATCCAAGGGCAAAAGGGACGCTGCGAAATCGGCCGGGACTCACGTCTCACCGGCAGACTTGATGAAAGCAGTCAGATCGGCCTCGGTGGTCTATACAAGGGTTAGTTGTAGCACTACCCACTTGAAGAGCAACTTACGCCACGAGCAACCTTGCCAAAGTAGACCTAGATGGGGCCATGTCAGCTCGTGTCAAGATCGACGCCTTCCCAGGCACAGACCACCGCGCTCTGGCACCACTAACCAGCGCGACAGTCCCGCTGCACAGCGATGTGCGGCCCGATATCACTCACCCTCAAGGAAGGCTGGGCAGGGGTCTCTGTGGCAGTGGCGGTGGCAGGCACCTCAGCAGCAGGCTGTTGGAGCTCTTGGGGAGCGCCGATGGTGGCCTGGACGTTCTCGGTAGTAGCGGACATGGTGGGTGTGTGGGAGTGTATTCTCGCTGTCAGAACTGTAGATGGTGCTGTGGTGCTGCAGTGGTGGCTGTAAGTTGGAGCAGCGGTGGACAGAAGAAGAAGGGGACCGAAGCGCAGAGCATCCAGTTAGGCGTGCCACCACCCACAGCGGCGACCCCCGCCGCCTCCACCCGTCATCTCCGCAGCCATCTGCGCTTTTCATCTGTGGCCCTGTGATTTGCTGGGCGCCCGGGGCGATAATGCATGCTGTTGACTTTGACATCGGGCAGGAAGGCATAACTCTTCTGGCAGCTATATATACGCCACTCTCCTGCCACTTTCAGCTCTTATCATCCACCCAACATGCTCTCTTTCGCCACCCTGTCCGCTCTCCTCCCTCTGCTCTTTCCCGTAGTCGCGGCAGACCATCTCCGCAACCCTGCGCCCCAGATCTTCTTCCCACCTTCTCCCGACGATGTCCTTCACCCCGAGTGGCCTGACCGACAAGCTGCTCTAGGGTGGAGTGGAAAGCATGCCAGCGAAGGTTCGGGTGTCGTTGGCAGTGGCCCTGGAGCTTGTGGAGGAGTTTGTGTTTTGACTCCCGAAGTCATGGAGGTAAGCCAGTCATTCTACATCGTTGTGCAAACGCCGACATGAATTAGGGCCCATTCTACATTGATTACCACCTGCCCCGCTCAAACATCACCGAAGGGCTCCCCGGACTTCCCCTATCCCTTACCATCCATCTTTACTCCATCTCTTCTCACTTGTCCGACCCCACTCTGCCACACTCTACCTGTACGCCCCTGTCCAACGCTTGGGTCGACATCTGGAGCTGCGAGGCCGAGGCGGGTATCTATTCTGGGTATGGGAAAGCGGCCGAGGGAGGGCCGGATGGACCTGGGGGTCCACCCGACTGGCCTGGAAAGGGACCTAGCAAGGGTCCGGGAAGGCCTCCTCATGGTCCCCCAGGAGGACCCGGCGGCCCGCCTATGCATGTTGAGCCAATCAACGTGAGTTGGTCTTCACCTCCCAGCGTACTCTGCTGACGCCATACAGAACTCGACCTTCCTCCGTGGTATCCAGCAGACCGACGCCGAGGGAAAGGTCACCTTCGACATGATCTACCCTGGCTGGTATCCCGGCCGCACGGTGCATATTCACATGAAGACCCACGCTCCTGCTTGGGGAGGTGACGCTGCAGCAATGTCCAACGAGACGCACACGCACACCACACAAATATTTTTCCCTCAAGAGCTCAACGACCAAGTTGCCGAGCACCCCATCTACGCCAAGAACGGTGCGCGACGAATCACCAATGCGCAAGATGGCTTGTTTGAAGAGATGGAGGGGGCGAGTGTCGTCAAGATTGATCAGGGGATGAACGGAGACGAGGCGATCGAAGCTAGCTTGGCGGTCGGGGTCGACATGTGGTGGTAGATATACTTGATTCTTTGTCTTTTGTTCTGTCTGTACTCTGGTCTGGTTCGGGTGACTTGTAATGTGTATACGTAGCTGAGAATGAATAACATGCTAGAAGAAGAAGACCAGAAAAACTATTGATAACAACACAAGCACGTCTCACAGTCTGACGAGCAGCCTGAAGAAGAGCACCTCAAACACAATAGAACCAGATACCGTACTATTAAAAGTCCATGTCCTTGCTCCAATCCAACTCGAAACCATCTTCCTGCTCCTCCTTCTTCTCGGACCCCTCGGGCACATCCACCTCCATGTTTGCCCACCCTCCCAACACCGGCGCACTGTACGCCTTGGCGAGCGCAGACTTTTTGCCGCCCGGCAGACCCTTGAATGCCCTCCCCTTCCTGGAAGGAGCAGCGGGCTGCTGAACGGGGTTGACCGGGTTCGGCGCGGTGAAGAGTTGGGGGTGGGAGATAGCGGGAGTGTTGAACACGGGCGGGAACACAGACTCGACAGTGTTGAAAGAGGGGGTACGGGCGAAAGGTCTGTTTTCTTCTTCATCTTCCTGGTCGGAAGTTTCAGTCTCGCTCCCGGCGTGCTCGTCCTCTTCAGCAGGGGACGAAGCACGCTTGGTCGAGCGCGTCAAAGTAAACTTCTCGCCTTGCCTCTGGGCAGACGCAGAGGACCCTTGTCCGAACGCGACCCTCCTCTCCACCTCACCCTCAAGCTCCACCTCTCCGTCATCTCTAAACCTGAGCTTGATGTCCTCAAACTCTCTCCTCGCCCTGTCCTTGTCCAGATTGTCTGAAGAGTTAGTGGGAGACAAGGAACCAAAAGGCTGGAGTTCACGCGCGCGCATGAGCTCCTTGTTAATGACACCGCGGGCGTGGGTGATGGCATCGAGGGAGGAAGTGAAGGGAGAGTAATTGGGGGTGGCAGAGGCAGAGCCAAGGGCGGGGGAAGACTGGTGGCGGTCGAAAGTGCGCTGACCCCTAGAGACGCCTGAAAAGATTTGTCGCGTCAATTTCGCCCCTGCCTCTTGGAGTAGAGAACTCACTCATTCGCGCTCGACTGCCCACGTTCTGCAAAGCCAGTTGCACCTCCAGCGGGATCCCGTGCTTCTGGGCATAAATTTCAGCGGTGGTGGGTTGCGCCTCGGTAGGCTTGATGTGGCGCTTGGTGGGGGGAGGCGCAGGCATGGCAAAACCATCGCTATCTCGCAGAGTCTGAGAGGCGTTATTGGACATTGTGAGCGTTGCTCAAGCAGGCAGTGAGAAGAAAAGAATATGAAAGAGTGGTTAAATGAGAGATGGTGGATTTCGCGACGCGTCTTTTCAAGGAACCAAAAACGCGAAAAAGCACGTGGTCGTGTCCCTCAAGCCCCAACGGGCCATGGCAGCCTCTCTTCTGAAATGGTCACTCATACTTAGAAGAATGTGTAGTATGCATAGTAATGAGGCATGAAATGCGTTGTTGGCTATGTAGCTACCGGATAGAGTAAAGTCCCTCCACAAGCGCTTTCTCCGCGAGAGAGAGTTTCCGGAGGCTCTCCGAACAATCGGCTGGCTGATCCTGGCCCCGTCTTGATGCTCGCCGTGGATACAGTAGGAAGTGATATACCACACGCCAGATATCAATTACGGCATGCCGTTGTCTTGATGTACAAGAGCAACATGTTGTTACTTGGTCGTTGGCTCTCCCTTGAAGCCTAGACAGACGAAATACGCCTCGCTGGATTCTGCCATAGATATACGTCAGCACAGCAGCAAAACTTGTCGTGCCACTCACCACTACGAGATTCTTTGGGTTTGTCAATGACTACTTTGCCGAACCAGGGATCCAACTCGACCTTCTTGAACTCGTCAAGATCTGGGTGTGCAAAGAACTTCATCCTGGCCATTGTGGGTGAGCCAAACGGGCCTAGTGATCATAGCTAACTCACACAAGATTTCCTCCCGGCCAGATCTTTTTGCCCCTGACGACCTCCATCTTCTCCTCCGCCTTCTTTCTTCTCAGAACTCTTCTGGCAAAAGCCGTCGCAGCCTCACAGAGCTCCAGACTCATACTTACATCCCGAGCCCGGACGCCGGTCATTGGAGCCATCATGTCACTTAGGACAGTGTCTACTCCTGCTCCAGACTCCGGAGTGCCAGTTTGGGACTGAAGGGCGGCTTGCACGGAAGGCGAGAGAAAGTTGCCTTGAAGGATGTGCACATTGGGGAGGCTGTCCATCGGAAGAATGTCGATGGCCCATACCCTGGTGTTTTCAGGCTTATGCCCCTCCTTGTTCCCGACGCCCAAAACTTGAGAAGCAACTTGCGTCCATCCCCCGGGCGCAGCTCCCAAGTCTACGACGCTCTTCGTCTCTTTGTTCAAAAGCACCGGGTGACTTTTAGCCAGGGAGACGAGCTTGAACGAAGACCGGGATCTATAGGATGGCTGATTGGAAGTCGAGGAGGAGGCTGGGTCGGAAGAGCGTTGGCGGACATACGGGTCACGCGACTGGCGGGCGAGCCAGCGAGAGGAAGATGGGGATTTGGCCAGGAGGGAAACGCAGCTTCGCATTGGGTGATTCGGATTTTGATGAGGGTAGTGAGGACGGTTGGAAAGGAATCCAAGCTCAAGTTTGATGCCAGAGGGAAGCCTGTTGATTTGATGTACACCGTAGAGTGCGTGACAGCAAGCAAGTCGTGAAATCAGAAGCAAATCAGAAGGCCAGCGGGAAAAGGCCGCGAAGAAATTGAGCTCATTGTTTGGTTCCGGCTGACTGAGTCCGTTCGCAATTCGCTATCTCTGATCGGCCCCTCTTTCTTCCCGACGCCCAAGATTTTAAAGGCAACTTGCGTCCATTCCCCGGGCGCAGCTCCCAAGTTTACGACGCTCTTCGTCTCTTTATTCAAAAGCACCCGGTGACTTTTAGCCAGAGAGACGAGCTTGAACAATGACCGGGATCTATAGGATGGCTGATTGGAAGTCGAGGAGGAGGTCGTTCCCACTGTCTGGACTATTCAAACACAGTTGCACCTCCTTGCCATGAAGATCCTTGCCAAAGGCAAAACCAAGGCTCATTGAACAGAACAAGAAAAAAAGCAAAAAGAAAAACGCAAAAAGAAAGCAAAAATAACGACACAAGCAGGGTTCGAACCTGCGCGACTGACGTCACGAGATTTCTTGGATTATGTAATCCATTCAAGTCTCGCCCCTTAACCACTCGGAGCATTGTGTCCTATGGGAATTATGATGTTTTGCTGGGATATATGGCCATTCCACCGAGATATCACCTATCCGCTTGTTGCCGTGTTCATATGAACCCTTTCCAGGCATGAGAGTGACTCAGGGCTTCTATACTCGAGTACAACTTTTACCAGATTAGACAATGCATGATGGGGGTTATTGAATACCTCTGAAATCTACCACCGTATATTGCTCAGCGAACGCGACCACCTCGATGCGCGCTGGAAGTCATGGCTGGCTTGACCGCAGACAGTCTCTGTTGCATTCATACACTTCAAGTATACCGCCCGCTGCTCCTGCCCTCGTGCTTGGACTGGTAGCCAATTGCGCTCGCATAAACTGACTCGAATTTCAATGGCGGAAGGTCACTTAGAAGAGTGTTCTATGCGGGGCACCATATTTTGCCACCGTCTTCTGATCCGAACGTGCTCTTTCTTTCCTCGCTGCATACTCTCACTTCGACTCGCCCATATATTTCATTCAACTCGTTTCTCCAAAGGCATATATACCGACAAAGGGCTTTCCTTTCTTGAATCCGCATCTATACAATGTCCACCCTCAAGTCCTTCCAGGCAGAGATCGAACAGTTCTCTCACGACAAGCACAAGCAGGCAATCCAGCAAGCCCGCGAGCAACACGCAGCAGCAGAGCTCGCGAGGCATCACGGCAAGCTACCCCCAAAGAAGAAAGAGGAGAAGGAGGCGGCGGCGGCTGTCGCGCCAGTACAATTAGAGGAGGCCGAGCATATTGAGCTTTCGATCGAGGTGGGTATTGGCTTGCCATAGGGACAGCTGAGGCTGACGCGAGGACAGGATCTGATAACAGGGGAATGCGAGGCCGAAAACCTCCAATCACGGTTAGCCTCCATTCTGCTGAAGAACCACGGCGAGTGTATGCTATCCCTTGGCGCCCACCCCGATCCAGTGCAGATGTACAACCCCGCCCCGTCAGATGACGCTCCAATATCTCATGTCGGCAAACCCCTCACCGAGAAGCTTCTCGCCGATAGCGTATCTCGGTTACGGTCTGCCTGCCAAGCTCTTCAGGCGGATCTCATTGAGCTGTACCGAACCGATACCGGATCGACATCATACGGCTGCTGGCTTGTCCGTCTTACACCGCGCGGGGTAGAGGAGATCATGGAGGTCCGTGTAGCCGTAGTGGGAAATGTGGACGCTGGAAAATCTACCACTCTCGGTGTCCTCACTCGTGGTGCCCTGGATGACGGTCGAGGCAAAGCTCGAGTAGCGCTGTTCCGGCACCCGCACGAAGTCGAGACTGGCCGGACGAGCTCGGTGGGTGGGGAAATCCTCGGCTTTTCGACAAAGGGAGAGGCGGTGGTGCCGACGACACACGTGGCGGAGGTAGCAGATGCCCATCACCCATTGTCAGTGGCAAAGAGGGAGAAGCTCGGGTGGGAGGAGATATGCAAGAGGGCCGCAAAGGTGGTCAGCTTCATCGACCTGGCGGGGCATGAGAGATATTTCAAGACTACTCTTTACGGGCTGAGCGGGTGTGCTCCAGACTATGTGATGTTGATGGTTGGCGGCAATGCAGGCCTGATCGGGATGTCCAAGGTGTGTACCTCATACTGGACCTGGGGTAGTGCTTACGATATATCTAGGAACATCTTGGTGTAGCACTCGCGCTCAACGTACCGATAGCAGTCTGTGTTACCAAGACCGACATGACCCCTCCCAACATCCTCGCTCAAACCGTCTCCATGCTCACCAAAGTTCTCAAATCCCCTGGCTGTCGCCGTATTCCCCTCTTCATCGATACGCCCCAGAAAGCCGTAGATGCTGCGCGCTACCTGTCCAAGCCTTTAGCGTCTGCCGGCGGGGCAGTGGGTGGAGGAAGATTATGTCCAATCTTCATGGTGTCGAACGTGACGGGTCAAAACTTGGGGCTTTTGAGGAGCTTTTTGAACTGTTTGCCGAGCTCTCAGAGCGACGACAAGTATGTGGTGGATGCGCCTTTCGAGTTCCAGATCAGCGATACGTTCTCTGTACCTTTTGTCGGGACCGTCGTGAGCGGGGTGATTACCGCTGGTCAAGTGCACGGTCTGTCTTATCCATCTCTCTCATCTGATCATGCTGATGACAAAACAGCCAACGACCAGGTGCTTCTCGGTCCCGACTCGGTTGGGCAGTTCCTTTCCACTGCCGTCAAGACTATTCAACGCAAACGCGCTTCCGTCGCCAGCGGCGAAGCCGGTCAGAGCGTCTCGTTCGCGTTGAAGAGGATCCGGCGGTCGCAGGTGAGAAAGGGGATGGTGTTGATTGCAAAGACGGATGTTCCACCGAAAGGTAAGTCCATGACATTGAGATTGGCACGGTCATCTCATGCGAGTTCCATAGCGGTCAAGTCATTTGAGGCAATGATCATGGTCCTCCATCACTCTTCGACTATCCAGCCAAACTATCAGGCTATGATGCACTGTGGTGCTATTCGAGTAAGCTCCTTCTGTCTTGTCTTGTCCTTCCCCTCTCTAACTTGATGCAACAGCAAACCGTCCGAATCAAATCCCTCGATCACCCATCTGGTCTCATTCGCACAGGTGACAGGAGCAAGGTTGTGTTCGAGTTTATCAACCAGAGTGAATTCATAAAGGAGGGACAGTTGATCTTGCTGAGAGAGGCAAAGACGAAAGTTCTGGGGGTGGTGACCAAGGTTTTGGGATAAGACATTAGAGATGCGCATCTAAAAGAAGGGGGCAGAGAAGACAACAATCTGGCATCGGTCCACTTCATCGCCGTGAAAGTACAATTCATTGGTCTACTGTTGCATGTACAAATCTGCTACCAGTTTCTAGGCATCACCCTCTTAGATCTACTATGGCTATCAGGTGTTCGCGGTGCAGACAACGAACCTTGACATCTCGTCCAACTTTCAAGAGGTCATGTCATCGTCGCGGACCAGGTCCCGAATCCGGCTGTCCGCCGCGTTTTTGTTTTTCGACGATCATAATTCGTTTCTGGCGACAAACGCAACGTCAGTTTCCACCAGCACCCCATGGCCCCCAAGAGACGCCCAGTCAATGTCGTCCGCTCCGGTAATGCAGGCAACTCCTCGAAACCATCAGCAACTCCGGCAGCCCCAGTGGACCCGAACGCACCCCATGGCACATTTCGAGATGGAACCCCCAGGCCAGCACCCCTGTTTCCTGCAGGATACAAGACACCAGTAGCAGTTCTGAATGAGAAGTGCCAGAAGATGGGGTGGGAGAAGCCTGTTGTGGAGAGCGTGAGTGATGGCGGGCAGACGTCTTGGAATGAAATTGACTGAAAGCTGATCGGGCATCTTGTTGTTGCGATAGCATGCAAACAGGGGATCACAGTCTTTCACTGGCAGCGTGATTTTGAAGAAGCGCATTTCCAAGAATGTGTACAACCTTGAGGAGGTTCGATTTGTGCCCCACCCGCCATTGGAGATTGCTACAGCTGCTGAGGCAAAGCATTGGGCTGCTACCTACGCTCTGTTCCGAGTGAGTCCTGCTGAGTTCGAAACCTGCCATAAAGCTCATCATAAGCTAGTTCTGCTCCAACCTTCCCATGGCCATGACACTCCCACCCTCCATTCGTCCGTACTGGTCAACCCTCACAGCCGACAAGGCAGCTTCTCCGCCCCATAGGGCCTGGGAGTTCAACCCCGACCCTTTTGCGGCCAAGAAGGAAGTTTCAGACAGGCAGAACAAACGACAAGAGAAGGAAGAAGAGAAAACAAAGGCCGCAGAATCAGGTTCTGGAGCAGGGAGCGGAAGGAACACGCCCGCGGTCAGACAGGAGGCCAAGGGAGGGCGGGGGGCGGCTTGGGACAATGCGCCAGAGGTCAAAATGGCTGCTGCTTTGAGAGAGATGGTGGAGGGGACTGTTCGCAAAGTGAGGCCTTGCATGAACATGCGAGTGATCTGCTGACAACGGTGCCTAGATGATGCAGCAGTTCCCGTCTGCTGTCCTCGAAGCCAGTCGTGATGCCACGGCCACAGCATCGACCTCTCCCTCAGGGGTGAATACTCCCTCTCTCGACCTGTCTTCTCTGCAGACTCAGCTCACGACCCTCGGCTTCCGACCTTCACATATCAATTCATGTACCAGTGCGATAGCATCGGCAACCTCCCGTCTTCAGTCCTCTTCGACTTCTACCAAAGATCCTCTCGTGCTCGCGCTGAGCATCTTGTCGCCTTTGGAGGCTGCTATTGAATGGGTTCTTCTCCATGTCCCGGAGGACGACCTTCCTCAGCGATATCGCCCCTCGTCGAGCTCTGCCGACTTTATTACTGGTAGCAGCACAAAGTCCGCCGGAAAATCTGCGCTCGTGAAGTCCTGGCTCATCGACAAGCTTGTCAAGCAAGCCGGATTTCCTCGTAAACCTGTAGAGGTCATTCTCGCAGAAGAAGAACGCGAGTCTGCAGCCTTAGATAAGCTCGGCAGGAGGCTTTGTGGGTGGGAAGAAGGCGAGGACGGATGGGGTGTGGAGGAGTATGGAAGTGGGTGGATCGCTGGGGATGAAGGTGCGGAAGAGGAGAGGAAACAACATCGAGAGGAAGAGGTTATGGCTCTCTCGGCCGTCTTGGGAGAGAGGTTTGAGGAAGTTTCGGCGTCAGAGTACACTATTCACATCACACCTGAATTCAGCAACACTCCTGATTCCCTTGACCTGCACATCATCTTTGACGAGGTCTCTCCATATCCTTCGGCTCAGCACCCTACCCATGCCCCGACATTCTACCTCTCCTCCGAAACACTCCCTGCCTATATCAGACTACACCTCCACGCTCAGCTGATGCGACAATTTAGAGATCCCGAGAGACATGATCTACGGTCGGTCTTGGAGAGCGGCTGGGGTGGGGCGGTTTTGAGTATGGTTGAATACCTGGAGACGACTCTTCAAGAAGTCGTCGATAGGCCGCCAGACGTGGGCGAAGTCACAAAGTATCTAGCGCCCAAGGTGGAAGAGCTCGTCCCCGAGGTTCGAGCCGTGCAGAAGA